TTATTTCATAACATTTCATAAATCATTTTGCGCATGGCCTTCGAGCGAGTAGGTCGCGCTATTTTTGAGCTCTAGTTCGGTGTAAATCTCTGTTAAATTTCTACTACTAAAACCTAAAGCAAAGCGGAAGAAAACGATGTCTTTCTTGCTTTTGAATTCATTACACGTATTTCTTCTTTTCTTTTTCTTTGCTTTTTACTTATTTTATTTGAAATAATATCTAATTTGAAATAGAATTAATTTGGCACGCCTCGACTAGCGTTTTCTTGCTACCTGCGCGCCAAAAAATTGTACTTGTAATATTATGATAATAAATGTCTTGTCTTGTCTTGTCTAGAAAAATTCTAAATAAAACTTTGGAATTTGCTACTTTAGAAACGAGAAGAAAACTGAGTTACGTTTCACAAAGACTTCTGGGATAGCTACTGGGGAGAGGGAAAAATTGAATGGCCAATAGCGGACCGGCGCGTTCCCAGTACTGGCCGTCGCCAAGCTACACTTGCTGTCTTGGGTGCTGGATCCTTGTTTGGGCTAGTAACAAGACTGAAAAAAATTTTAGCAAATTTAGAACCCGAGGAAAAATCTGCATGTCTTGTCTTCAGTGTTGCAGAAGCATTATAGGAATTGTTCAAGAATCGCATTTTTGATGGCCTGTGCTTGATGAAGATACTAAAAATGAGGATTTTCACCTGAAAAAGATTCAGATTCAGGTCCAAATTCATTGTCTAGAATCTGAGAGTTCTACAACCTGCGAGTATCAACTAGCCATGGAGTGCAATTTGTGTCGGTTACCTTTCAATGTGCTTTCTAAACATAGCGAGTATGAGAACTTGGAAAAATTTTCATTGAACAGTTGTTATCCTTAAATAGCTATGGAAACTAACTGAAGAACCACATACATACAGGTTTCCCCCAAAATAAGTATTTGATCCAGTGCTGACAAATTTAAATAACCTCTTTGGTCCATTAACATATAACAGCTGCCTTTTTTCTTGTGTTATTTCATTTATTTTTGACAGAAATCAACGAGAAAGTTTGAAACAGGAAAGTTTAAGTGTTAGTTTCCAGAAAACACATTTTCATTGTATTATGAGCATTGAACACCTGAGCATTTAAAACGCAAAAATATATCTGTTTTGGAAAAACGTCTCCCATTTGGTTGACCACAGCTGACCTGCATCTCATCTAGACCCCAGTATTCTTATTAGGCTCCCCATTTTAAAGCTCAAACTTATGCGTCGTCAACTCCATCATGGGTAATGACAAAGAACAGTCCAAAAAAATCAGTAAACTTAGATTTGTTGCCCTCAATGTAAGTAGAGAAATCTAGTAGAGAACTAGTTTTGTTTTCTTTACAATTAACACTTTTGATAAAGAGCGCAAGCAAAATTTCCTGTTTAAGTAACAAAGGTATGCAAATCTCTTCTCTATTTTGACCAATTTCTAAGCTATGGTTTTTTATTTGACACAGTTTATACTGTGGCTTAAAAGTAAAGTTTCGGTCTTACACAACTGTAAAATAACAAGAAACGTCACGTTGGAGAAAACGGAAAAAAACCCTTTAATTATCCTGTCCTGTCATAAACTAGTCTGACTTGATGTATTTTAAAAACTCTCCAGAGTTGAATCAACCATTTGTCGAATATGACCAGTTTTCGACGGATTTTTTTTAAAGTACTTAACTTGAGAAAGCTTGTATGGCAGGAGTTCGAAAAGGATCGGACAGGTCATGCGCGTGAGAAAGGTCCCACTCCTCCCTCCTCCGCGCTTGAGGGGGTCATAAAAACCATAAATAAATCGATGAAAGCTGAAAAGGAAAAATTAAAGGAAAAAATGAAAGAAAAAATTGGTGTGGGTACTTTTCCAAGTGAATTTTAATCAATCTTTTTTCATCCCTGAAACGACACTAAGTTTTGACACACTTTTTCAATAACTAGTGATGGGAGCTAACGAAAACTTTTGAAAACTTGCTCAAGAACGTATAGAGAGTAACAGCAATAAAAAAAAGAAAAATTATCATTTTAAGACCCAAAAAATTCACTGCTTTAACAGCTGATGTTTTTTTCTTTCTTCTCTCTTCTCCTTTGTTTTCGACGGAAATCAACTAGAAAGTTTGAACCGAAAATTACATATTTTCTTTGTATTACGAGCCTTGAGAAACGGATCATTTAAAATGCTTCTGGAGATCTGTTTTGGAAAAAATTCTCCCGTTCTATTTGCCACAGTAGGTATGCGTCGTCAACTAATTCATGGGGAAGGACAACAATCAGTCTGAAAAACGAATCGATCAACTTAGATTTGCTTCCCACGCCTTTGTTTTTATTTCATTTTTGTGAAGGTTTGAACCCAGGAGTCATTTCGTAAGTAAATTGAGTAAGATCGTCCGGGTCAACGTAGTCATGAATAGGACTGTTGTTGTTGGCAGTGACTGACGTTTCGACAACATGTGCGGTAGTCGGCATCTTCAGAGTCAAAGTGAGTTGTATCACTTCAGTTGATGATATTAAACTCTTGTCAATGACCTGTTTGGTCAATTAAGTCGCGATGTTATTATTGGTCGTCTGTCAGTTAATCCGTGATGTTATTGGCTAAAAGTCTCGTAATGTCATCGGTGCTTTCCACCAATCGGTCGTTTGTTGTTAGTCAAATTGTCAGTTGTATAGTCGTTCTCTCGTAGTAAGTTTGCCTAATTCCGTCAATAAGTTGTTTGTGCGGTGCCGGTAACTGTTGATTACGATTCAGTGGCTTTTGTTTTAAGTTCGTAAACCAGCTTTCCAAAGTAAGACGTTGATAGTAGTCTGTAGAATACATAATACATGTCGCAGAGGTCTCAGTCGATTTGATGCTTCGTCTGTAAATGGTGCTCAGCAATGTGATTATTAACGTCACCATTTCTCTTCGCTCGTTTCTATTCGGTCAGTCGCGTGCTAAAGTTTCTGCAAGTTTCACCAATGTAAGAAGCTTGGCTGTCGCACCATTTGATCTTGTATACTGCTCTCTATCTGTTCTTCGGTTTGTCTTTGTCCTTGACATTAGTAAGTAGTCGTCGTAAAGTGGTTATCGGTTTGTGTGCAACACGTACATTGTCGGTAAGGTTGTAGTATACGTGCTATAGTTTCAGAGGTGCAAATGGATGGGGAGGGTATGCAACAAATTAAAAAGTAAAGACAAAGAATTGACATGGTTGTTTTGAAACAAATTCAATGTCTCGGACACGGTATTTTTCTCGTGACTTGTCCCGCGCTTATGACATTGTTCGAGTTTTCAATATTGGGGGTAAAATTATAAAGAAATGATCTGAAGGGAAACAAAAATTACTTCATGTTACCGGGAGGTTCAAGTTATCGAGGGGTCAAGTTCCCGAGGGTAAAATTACAGTAAATGTATGAAGGAAATCCTGGGAAAACCGACTTTGGTTCGAGTTAGCGAGGGGTCGAGTTATCGGGAGTCAACGGTACTTAAAGCTTCTTTATAAAAGACTCGGTGACTTTGCGTCTTAGAAACCACAGTTGTTGATTCAAATGTGGGCCCACAGATTTTGCTTATATTTGTATTCGCATTTTATTAGCTTTCGTCAGTAAATTTCCGAATGATCGTGTGACGCTTCTTCTCGTGTCTTTGCCAAATTCAGCAAGCGAGATATTTTCAGCATACCGTTCAATAAACTTTTAAAGTTCATCATTCGCTTTAACTTTTTTGGCTCCTTTAATATGACACACCCTTTTGCGGGTCTTTTGTGAAGTTAAAGCCCGGAGTTAAAGCCACCGAAAATGGGAAGTGTAAAAACCCTTAAAACGATTTATCTCGAAACTTCATAGGACATACACGATCCATATTTTAAGCTTTATTACACCGTACATGTGAGGGGGAAGTACAGTATCAGCAAATCGCGCAGCCTGAATAATCCATAGGACCATGACCCAGATGTCAACATTGAGTTACTGTTTTATATTTTATGGTGAGTCTAGTTCAGTCTATTACCCAAGGACCGTGAAAAAACAGCTGAAAAAAGTTTCACTATGGTGTAGGGTAAAGATTCGTAGGATTCAAGTTCAGGCACTGGTCGTTCAAACGTTGAATAGCACTATCCAGCAGATAAGTGATTATAGAAACCTATTCCGTTATCCACTAGACAAAGATTTATCCAGTGGATAGAGTTATTCAGCTGGGAACAGGATAATTTTCTTCCATAAAAATTCCTCAGTTGCGAGTGAGACAAATGGCGGGCTTCAGCGAATCTTCATTTCATGTACAAGTTGCGGTAAACAATCTGTTACTGGCCTTTGAATCTAAATAATTTGCGTGAAATATGACAACTTTAAAATTCTCAAGGTCAAATAAAGCAAGCAAATTAGTCCCTCTTAAATTTAAGTCGAAGAAAATAAAGTAAGAGTTAAAGGAAAATATTGTGAAGAGATAATTTATGATCGTGGCACGTCGACCCTAAAATAAGATTATCAGTTGAAGGAGGCCAGCGGATCGGAAGTAAATCCGGGATGGAAAGGGGCTTACTTCCCCCTAAAAGCTGTCAGCCGTCTATTGTGGTAAACTTCTAGTTTTCATACAATACGATATTTCTGTTACGTGCAGGTGTTATGACAGCCTAGTAAACGCCTGTGGGCGTCTAGCTGTTTAAGAACTTGTCTCGGGGTTTAAAGGAGAAGTCTAGGGGCAAAGAGACAGCAGGTTTTTATGTTCAAGGAAATTGAAACGTTTATTTCCAAGAAAAAAAAGGGCGAGCACGTGTGTGGGGGGCTGGGGGGTGGTGGCGTAGGGGTTACAGAAAAGACTGAGAAAAAAATTCCTGCGAAAACGAATAACAAAACTTCCAGCATCTGCTAAATGATGCAATTGATCACATTTGTAGTAAACAAAGAAGCAACCAAATTTTTCAACTGAAAATCAAAATGATTCACGTCAGGAAGGTTGTCATGAAAGCAATTGCTATTTGTTTCTTGCACTTAGTTCTATGAGCCAATAACGCGCGGTCGTTTTCCCACGGGTACCCTGCATAAATTAAGATTACCTTGCATGATTAAGTTTAACCTACTCGTAAAACATTAGAGAAGTGAGAGATGACCTTCAAAAAATGCCTCTTGATTAGTAACGCTTGAGTGGTTTTCATTTCTTTGTCTCTACACAACACAACTATGCGTACAAAGTACATTAAGTCAAGAGTAATAAGTTTGTATAGAATACAATTCCGTGCGTAAGTGGATATATGGTGCTACAATTGTACATTGTTTACCGTAAACCTAATGAAAGGCTTGGTGACTAGGGCGTAACCCGACAATTTCGTTTGCTTACAGACTTGACGGTAATTACCGTCTGTCCTTTTAGGAGCACCTAAGAAATTGTTACTGTTTACCAGCCTTTGGCCACTATAGGAATAGTTAAGTTTCTTTTACACTCGGAGATATAGAAAAAGTTGTGTCCAGTATGAGATAAATTCCGCTGACACACAAAGGGATAACATTTCATGTTATTTCTCCCAGCTGGAATACGCCTTGTAATGGGCCGTTCTCTACATTATGACCCAGTTATGTTTTTCGCGTCCTACCTATACCACCTAGAGATTCGCAGTCTAAGTTAAGAAATCTCGTTTCTTCGGCATTTCTATTCATGAACCATGCGTCCAGCTGGCGCTTGAGCCATACATGCAGGTTGAAACAACTCGGTCCGACAATAATTTTCTGGTTAAAAATTTCTTCCAGTTCAAAAAAAGTTCAGTTAAAAGATGTTATTGATATAGGTGTATTAGCTCTCACACACTCTTAATAAATGACACCAACATGATGTGGATAAGGAGTTCTCAATTTTTTGCTTGGTAAAGCCAGTTGCTTGTTTGTGTTAGTTCTTTATCATGCAAAGCTTGGTTGCCTGGGACCTTGCTCCCGCATTGGGAAACAAACTCTACCTGTCCCGAACGAGAGGACGGGACTTATTTTTGAGCCCTGGTATGGAGGATAAACTTCAACAAGAGATATAACGGACCGTTTTATAAGAAAACTGAAAGCATCAAGAATCGATTGTGCTTCATCTTCACCTTTCCTAGTCTGATAAAACAGCCAACACTACGCGACGTCACCACTGGTTCCCCGCGAAATGACGTCTGGGGAACGAGCGCAAAAATTCCATACTAAAGACGTGTCACTATCCTGATCTTGCTAGCGCTTCTGATTGGTCGCGCCGCCTCAACCAATCAATTTCTGTGCTCGTTTATCAGACGTCATTTCGTAGGGAAACCAGTAGTGGTGTCGCGAAATATCGGCTGTTTTCTCAGGCTTCACCTTTCCGTTCATGTTGATTTAACACCAACAGCATTTAGGTACCACCAAGCCTGCCGACCATAGTGGCACTCTCTCATTTACGTTTGTAATTCCAGCATTAGCCATGGCTTAGAAGCGCTTTTACCAGCTCCAAGCTGATAAATGAAAGCCATACTCGCCGCAAGGGCAAGCTCATGAACTATATCACAGCCTAGCCATTTTCCTGAACTGTGGAACCGTTAACACGGGGACATTTCTGGTGTACGCCTTTAAGCGTAAGTTCCTGTCATCTGTCAACAACACAACTTTTCTCTGAATTGTTATCGGTTGGTTTGCTGGGAAAGGAAACAAACTCATGAGAGAATAACATAGCAAGGAAATATTAATCTAGAGAGACAACTCTTATTGAGCCGGGTATTCACAAGAAAAGGTCAAACTGACCAACATAAATAAGGACCTAGAAAACTGACTCCCCGATGCTTGACTTGAAAAGGTTTAAAACGAGAACAAGTCTAAGTACATAAGCTATTCCTCGTTTATCGCTCTAAAGGCCAGTTGGTTCGGATAAATATCAAAAGAGTTACGAAATGAGTCTTCAGTTTTACCGAGTTTAATTTTAGTTTTGTCGTAGTCAAATCTAAAATCTAAGAAGGATAAACTAGGCAAAAGCTTAAGTCATAGAAACACATTATGAGGGGGATCACTTACCAGTTGCTAGTCTATTGACAAAGTTCTCTTCACAGTAGTATAAACAGCAGGAGAGAATTACATCATCATTGCAGCCTTTACCCTGCACAGGAAAAAGATTTGAGTGTTGGATTATACAACGATGATGATAATAACGATTGCAAACGATTGTCATTGTAAAAAAGATTTTCAGCTAAGTGTCAATTCACATTAATAGTTATGTCATGTCATGTTGTGATTATTTCGATGATGATGATGTTAATTGACAGGAGCATTATGGGCTCCTAAGATTAATGATGTTGTTGATTATGATGACAACGGTGATGATGATAACGATAATGATGATGACGATGATGACTAAGATGAAGATGACAGAAAAGCAAGTCATAATATGCCTCAGGACTGCTAGTGATTTTATACACAACCAATTTTCTGTTTTCAAAGTTCTTCCCGCATTTGGGGTATTCATCAAGAAGCAAATGACCATTAAGCTTGTTTTGACCCTTCCGACTATTCATAGATGAAAGAAATCGAGACCGCCAAGACTGGAGATACTGATTTCACAATCATACGAAAATTATTCTATTGAGCACCCACAGATTTGGCCAAGACGGGTATGAGCCGTTGAATAGGATAAGGTTTTAGGGTCTTAAATATTAAACACTAACAGGTATGCGATTTCACTATCTAGCGGTGTTTTTGGACCAAAAGCCTTTAAAAGAGTGTGAAATTTGGCGATAACCGTTCCACATTCAGTTAATTTTGTAATCCGAACAATTTTTTCCCCCCAAAAATCTAATTCCAAGGTATTGCTTCATTAAAAAATAACTTTATTAAGTATCCAAAACGAAACGAATCTGGGCGATAAAATCTAGTCTCTTGTTTTAAACAGGGCAGGAATTGAAGGTCTCGGCAGCACACTTCTACCCAAATTTCCCTTAAGTGCCCCCACGCGATTGAACAACACATCTCATACGAACCTTTCTGCCTGATGGATCTTCGCTTCTGAATGATATGGTGTCCAGTTCAGAGCCTTTGCTTGTCACTGCTTTGACTTGAGGGTTTCTCTTACTAAACTCGCACTCAAGAAAATTAACAGCACTCCTTTAAACGTGAAAAGTATCATAATCAGACTCAAGCAACAGTTGTAATAATAAATATTAATAATTAATAATAATAAATAGCTCTCTTTATCCCGAAAATGTGATCAGCGAATCTTAGAGAAACGTTGGTGTTGATCAAGGAAATTTATCTTAGGGCTGATTTCCACTGTCGCGTAATTTTTACGTGCGTACGTGTGTAAAATTTAAGTTCGCAAATAAAATAGAGGTAATGGATGAATGGTCGTTCGTAAGCGTAAAAGTTGAACCTCGCTCAACTTCACGGTTAATCTGAACACTTTATATCGTGTCTCTATTTTATTTACGTGATTAAATTTACGTGCGTTAACGTGCGTTGCCAAAAACGTGTTAGTGGAAATCAACCTTTACACGGACAGCTCCTAAAACACCAAGATGTAGTTTCAAGTGAATTCTTGGCAAAATAATTATCGAGAGAATGGTCTTCCTGGAGACAGTGACAAAACGTTAAATGGGTAGCCTGACTATTCATGTTTCTAGCATTTCAACGTACCTGGCATTCTCCAGTACATATTGGGCATGTTGAAGATTATCATATTTGTCAACCTGGAAATCCTTCTTTAAACCATCGAGTTCATTTATTACTGCAAGATAAAAGTAAGTAGCAAATCAAGCCACGTTCTTCAACTGACAATCTATTTCCTTACAAGCATCATTCTTATTACGTTTATCAAACACGTTCATAAGCTAGTTATCGTGTCGCTAAAGTACGTTGTATGTGTTGTTATTGTATTTACTTCACGTATTACGTATTTGTGAACCAAGACCCTCAACGTTACGTAACCATGATGACAAATACCATGATGACAAATAGCTTGCATGTTTCTTGCAAAATTGTACATCATTAAAACTGAAAACGGTGCTTTTTAGTCGGAGGGAGAGAGGAATTTGTGTGTGAAACATGTTTCGTGTAAGTAGCGACAAACGGAGAGAAAAACTGCTTCGTTTTCTTTCATACTTTGGGTTATTTGTCCTTTAATTCACATTTGTGACTTAAGGAGGTCCTAGTTACGTTTTCCTTTTTAAACACACGAAGAATTCATTCCACCTGATTTGGTTGAATTTTAGAGCGTGTTTTAATAAGGAAAAACGGGGAGGGGTATGGTTAAAAAGAGACAAATTTGAGTATTTGTAAGTGATGGAAAATGAAATTTTGTAGATAGTAATTAGTAGACGAAGACCAGAGATAGCCTGGGTTTATTTTGGTGTGTTTTTCGTTTGTGGTTCGTTAAGTAAGAGACAAAGCCGCGCGGAAGCTAAACAGAAGTCAAACGAGAAAAAGATGGGGGAGAGGGTGAAGGGGAAAAAGGCAGAGATCCTCTCTCCCTTTCTTTCCCTGCCCCCCCCCCCCACCCCCCAAAAAAAAACACCTTCTACGCAGGCTAGACCAGACGGGGAGTCGTAAACATTGCGGCCTAACTGGTATACGTCTTTAGTAAAATCCAGCTAGTGGGCTATTATCAGTGCTGCGTTCTGATTGGTTGAGCTAATACTAGGCTATATGTTATAGCCCCCAAGTAGCGAAAAGCGCGGGCTTTTTGGCGGCAAAAAAGGATTAAAATCTAGCTTTAACTAGCTAAAATTTTTTTATTCTCGATATTTTTGACCAACTAGTTGGATTTTACTAAAACAATTATTCCTCTCGCCCTCACAGCCTCTGAGTCAATAGCCCATTCGGCCCAGAGCCCATTCCGGCTCGAGGAATAATTGTTAAATACCCATCTACTCTCGTTCTATAAGGGTATAATTGTTTATGCCGCGTTTTTCAGAAAAAATCAACCAGAAAGATCCGGGGGCAAAAATCCCGGCCATACCCTTCATAAGAAAGCTGTTTTTTCTTTCTACGCCTTTAATCTCCGAGCTGGAATTCGTCATCATATAATTATTATTGTTTTTGCCCCAGCGGTGAAAAAGGATAGATGAAGCTGGACTTAGTAAAAGGTATTTTTTTCAGAGTGTTAGAAATAAATCTGTCTAATTTAAGTTCTCAGAAGGATCTGTTGTTTGAAATGCCTCAAGTAAACTTTGTTGTCGTTAATACACCTTATTACTTTTCTCAAGTTTTATTTATGTAAATTAGCCCTCTTCGGCTAGATTGCATCTGCAGATTTAAAGAGAACTTTTACCTTGATACGAAGCATTAAAAGCCGACTATCATGAAGGCAAAACAATGATTTAATTTGCCATAATTGTGAAATAATGTGTTTAAATCATATTGCATTCTTACCAATAAGTGGCACCACAAGCGTGAAAGCCTGACAGCTTACAATGGCCTTGAGTCCGTCCAAATGATCCACAAAGCAGTTGGTATCAGCGACAAGATATGTTGGGTAGTTTTCAAACATCAAACGTGGCTTGGAGATGTGCTCCTCAATAACAGCCTACGTTGAAAACATTAGTTATTGTTATATAGCTGGAAATTTTTTCCCAACAGTGCGCGCTTTCATTGGTTACTTCGAGGTCACATGACATCCAACAATGAAACTGTTTCCTGACAAAATCTCTCAGTGGGTAACATTAGCAAAAATCTATGACGTCAGAGCGTAACAGTGCACCGTTGCCCGCGAATGTTGACCGACGACCGCCGTTTACAGCGGGGTTTAATGAATTTCCAGCTTCAAATTTTCCACCTACATAACAGGTCCCTCGAGAAACAAAATTAACTATTTTCCTCGGGACCAGTGATTGTTTATTACAAAATGGCAGGGTACTCATTTTTGACTGAGGTAATGTTGATATTAAACAGTCAAACCGTCAGTCATTGGTCATTCTTATACCAAGGATCCAATCGTTGAACAATGCAGGCCTCATCGGAGATATGACCAGTCAATTTGGGGTTCGTTTGAAATAAGAATATTCAAAACATAAAAGGAACATTGAAAATTAGATTATCTACCATAAAAACGAGTCTTAAGAGTTATGACCGAGCAAAAATTAACTTGACCTTCGTCATGACCAGCAACCTGTTGACCGTCATTTTTTGCCCTACCATGGGGAATGGCCAGCTGATGGGTTGGTTTGCGGCCTTATGTCCCCACCAAATCATGAATCATGTAATAAAGGTAAAAAGAAGTGTCAATCACAAGAAGAATTAACTGCAAAGACTCGCTACCTTCCCTTGTGACAAACAGAAGAACAGAAATGGTCATGCAGTGCAGTGGTGTGGTACCTCTAAAAAAGTAGTTTGCGTAGGGAGTTAAAATCGCAAAATTTCTTATGGGGGGCATGCGCCTGGACCCCCCTAGAAGATTGCGCCTTCGACGCTCGTTCAGGGAATCGATCAGTATTTATCCTAGATCCACGCCTGGTTAGTGTACGTTTTACCAAAGCAAGCCACATTTGGAACCTTACCTTTGCTTTATCTTCTCTTTTCTTGTGAAATTCTACTTGTTTCCTAAGGGCATCCTTTTTGGCCTACAAAATAAATATCTCCTTTACTACTTTATCAAATTAACCTATTCACCCCTGAACCGCCTGCGCGGATCCACTGCACGTCCCTTGTACCACCTGTGACGTCATCGGTTTTAACGGTCAAAGACAACTTTAAAATTTAACTTGTGCAGGGGAAAGAGATCTTTCGAACCATACCCAAATAAGCACGATCCAGTCAAACAGGCGAGGAGAATCTTGTCCCAGTGCCATTTGCACTTCCTTCCACCTAACACGACGATCCTATAGGTTATCCCAAAAAATGTTTCCCACCGAAATGAAGTCTAGTAAGCACAAAAAAAGGGGGGAGAAGGGGGCAAGAAGAAACAAACGAGAGAATAAATCATCCAAGGCTCACCTTGAGATGTTTTAAGTCTCTTTCCATCTCATCCCTGCGACAACAAATTGTTAAAGGTTAATCAAAAGATACAGGCTGAGAAAACATATGTGGTTGCCCCAGTATTCCTCATCCTCATGTGAGGTTTTTGGAGGAACGCAGAGGGTTAGTTTTTGTTTTTGCTTATTTTGGTAGAGGGAGTAACATGAAAAACCAAACGAAAGAAAACGCCGAGTATTGCAAAGATCAACTCACATGTGAACCTGGGGACTGAATGTTGTACATGTGCTTACAGTGTATGACACAGGAACGAGAGACAAGAAGCACATCAGCTGAAGTTACAAATGTAAGTGTGATTTACCACTATCACTAGCGCCAGTATGGCTATGTGGCTATTGTTTTAATACCCTAAAACAATTGCTACACTTGTCTATAACATTTGTGCCTTTAATGTTCCAAACTCCTGAATTATGATGTTCCAGCCCCTACTCCCCCACCTCGCCCACATATCATATCCACACAGTTTACTGCTCGGAAACTCCTAAATCAAAATGTTCCAACCCACACCCCTTATATCCCCATACATCACTGTTTGGAAACTCCTCAATCACAGTATTCCAACGCCCCTACTCCCACATCATATCCTCACGTAACTGCTCAGTTGTAGACTTTCGAAACAACTCTCAGCTTGATTTACGGCTTTTTTCGGTGAAACTTGGGAGGATGAATTGTAGCAAGTCTAAAGCACTTGGAAACTCCTACATAACAACGTTCCAACCCCCACATATCATATCCCCACTGATTACCAAAATGAAAATGTTCCAACCCTTCCTTCCATATCATATCCGCATACACAAAACTGCTTAGAAACTCTTAAATCACAAACACTCTTACCCTGAGTCTATCGGTTCCTCTTCACTTTCAATAATCACATCATCATCATCATCATCAGATTCCTGGTTGGACAAATTTTTAAGATATCACTATCAGATTGATGACGTACCTTCAGCATGATAAGCATGGAAGATTTGGTTGATGTAAGTATTCATTATGTAAACCCATTCAACACTGCTACATTCAAACCCCGCTTTATGGACACCCGCTTAATACAGAGATCTCATTATTACGGACAGTTTGCTTTGTCCCTGGGGAAAGAAAGCCCTTACATTTTCTCTAAATTGAACCCGCTTAATACAGACATTCCGTTAATATGGATACTAATGGGGCTTGACTGTATTTCAAATGAGGTCTTCATTCAAATGGAAGATTTCACCACCAATTTGAGAACAGAATTTGATTCCAGTAATCAGGAGAGGCTGAGCTAAGCTTGGGTCATTCTTTCTTCCAGTAATGTAACTGTTCCTGATTACAGTCAACTCCCTTAATAATGGACACTGTAGGGACCTTGAGTTAGTGTCCTTATAAGCGAGAGTCCGTAATAGCAGGAGTTTATTTCAGTCAAACGTCTGTACTTTGTTTTTGCCAGGGATTTAGCTGCCGTGCGTATTATTGGGGTGTCCGTTATAGCGAGGTGTCCGCAAGGTTTGAGTTGACTTTACTAACTAAGGACATTTCCAAATGCTGGGTACTTTGAGTGTAATCTGTACAAACCTCGTGTTCCTCTTGATCAGCTTGCTCTGATGTATCCAAGTGAATCATTGCCACAGCCGAACTCTCCTTGACTGGTGACACTTTTGTGCTTTTGATCACGGCTGAGAATTCACCGCTTTCATCATCAAACTCCAACGGGGGATTTTCCAAAGAAACCAGAAAAGCAGCAAACTCCTTGAGACACTGACTTCGGAGATAATCCTCAACCAAGTCCTGGTAGAAACACAGTTCAGTGCTACTTAATAGGGAGTTGAAGCAGCAACGTTTTGGAGTAATGCGCGTCAAACGGAAGTGAGTCCTTTTCCCTTTTAACCCTTTAAGCCTCAAGATCCATATACAAATTCTCCAGTCTGATCTCCATACATTTCCTATACGTATAGCTGAGAGAATTTGGTTTAAGATCAAAACGTTCTCCGTTTGGTAATCAATTAAGCAATTCTCATAACCTTTACTCTTGATGATCTGCTGATGTTGTTAGGAGAAAATTGATGTTAGTCACTCTTGGGACCTAAAGGGTTAATACCCCTTGATGCTAAGTGTCTTTACCCTCAGAGAGACAATTTTCTCAAAAATTTGTTCATAGTCATTGTTCAAGAGTGCAAAAAGTCCACTTCCGGTTGAAGGGCATAGCTCAAAAACATCACTGCTTAAACTCACTAATATTTTCACTACCAGCTTACCCAAATCTTAACAAAAGAAAACCTTTAAAATATATTCTCAAAAAAAATAAATAAATAAATAAAAATCAGTAACAGGAGGTCTGCCATTTTGCTATTTTGCTACAGTACAGCGTTCATGATCTTTCTGGTAACGTTTGCATCAAGTTTAGGAAATCTTAAAGGGGCTAAGTCAGGAAATTTTCAAAATTCGGACAGTGAGAACTGCCACCAGATAGAGTGAAAAATAAAAATAACTGCTCAAAAAACTACACGAAAGGTATAAATAACAGAGCAAATTGGAAGGACAAACTTGAAGAAGATTTAAAAAGATTGCAATTAAGTTTTTTGGTAAACATGTTATGAACTTGTTATAAGTTCATTTTTGTTGTTTGTAGCATTTGATAAAATGTTTGGGAGACATATTTGTTTGACACAATCAAAGCTGTGACTTTGTCATTTTCAAGTGCATAGCCAACAGTGACACAGCCCCTTTAAACCCTAATATCAAAATTGAGATTCTCATTTACTGTCCCTATACTCTTTCAATAGAAGTAGTGGGGAGAATTTGTAGAAATATCAATTAGACTCCTATTCCCAGTTTTCTTAAGCATTGATATTATATGGAGAAATTTCATGCTGATCACTTTTAGGGCTTAAAGGGTTAAGTTAAGGCTAAGATTTCTACATGTATTTGAATTTTATAAAACATGGATGATGCCAATGTTTATTGGTTCACTATATGTACCTTAGACTTTAAATTAGGCACTTTGCAGAGAGGCTTGTTAGCTGTGATAAGTGGCTTGAACCCAGCAAGGAATTCATCTTCATAGAGTGTAACCATCTCAACACCTGAAGCAGGAAAAAATAATTGTTGTTAGTGAGAAAATTTAATTCTGTTTTGATTTCCTAAAGTAACAAGTGCCCATCTCTTTGCTTAAAATGGCGAAAAAGTGTCCCCTTCCTGCCGAATAAGCACGCCCTTTCCCTTTTTACCCCTAATGGTGGAGAAAAAAAAAATTTTTTGGAAAATCTGAACAAATAAATAGTCGTATGTATGTAGAAGTTCTGCTAAAAAGGCTTCATTTGAGTAGTAACATCAAAGGATTTTGTCCACAGATTAAAAGGTCAGTGATGAAACTTTTCTATCTTGAGATTCGCTTTGAGTCCTGTGTCAGATGGAAGACACCTAAACAAGTCCCCAATAGTGTCCACTCACAGTACCGTCAAACCTGTATTAAATGGTCACCCTTCACTTGAGGAATGGCCAAATGACCACTTACAACAGGTTTGACAAACCTAAGAGGTTATCAAGAAAATAAAGATGGTCAAAAAGCGAAAAATCAATATCAATCATGCAACAATTTAACCTCACAGTGTTTCTACCTCTTCTTGTGGTAAAAGAAAGGAAGTAAACACCACTGAACACCATACCAAGTTTATCCATTGCACTCGCATAGGCTAGTATGGTAAATTTTGACAAAGTGACTGTTTTATACAGGGGCACCCAACGAACGGACCTTTAAAAGCAAGTCAAAAATCTCTAAAATGGATTTCTCTATGCTTTAGACGTCCGTTTTGCTAATTTTAGGGGAACTTTGGCCTTCTCAAAAGATTTAGCTATCCCAACGGGTCTTGTCGAGACTGCAAGGACACGGAATAACCATAAATTCATTAGAAAATTTAGGGGACGCTTTTTCGTCATACCGACATTTTCAGGTGACCTTTTTTTACCTATAATAGCAAAATCTTGAGAATAAAATTTGAGAATCGAAGGGAAGTTAATAAAAAACTTTTGAATAGCTTAGATGAATGACCGGTTATCCAACAATTTTTTGCCTGGCTTATGCTACAGAAATTTCTATGCAATATCTGCTCCTTCCAACGGATATTTTACAGAAAACAGTTGTTGGGTGCCACTGTTTATAGAGGTGAGGAAAATTTAAAAAAAACTTGTGGGACCTCGGAAAAGGTGACCGAGACCACTTAAGGACAATTTTACAGTGGTTAAGAGAAGTGTTTCCCTCGAATTTGGAAAGTGACCCCTTAACCGAGGGTGACCGCTTTATACAGGTTTGACTGTACATTATTAAAGGCTACAGGAAAACCGATTCCATTTAGTTTAGACAGTTCTAGTTACAATTATATAATTATCATAACATGCGATCTACATCCATTTTTGCAGAGTTTTTTTGTTATGTGAATGTGTGTCATCTCCCAAAGTTTCCTATTCAGTTCCTTAGAGGAAAGAAAAGATACTGTATATTGTAAGTAGACCCTCAAAGAGGAACACTTTTTGAATGTGCCCTCGCATTTGGCCATACTACAGAACCTATAAGCAGGAGCAGACTTTTCATTTGATAGAACACTGTACAGAATAATAGTAAATGTTGTCAGTATCATGTTCTGGCTGGATAAATATTATTTTCCTTGGTGAAACTTAATCTACATGACAATTTTTTATTGTATTTATTTCTCTTTGTGTGTGGGCATGGTAATGTACAGTACCGTAAAATTCCGAAAATAAGCCCCTTCATGTATAACCCCCTCCAAATGTAAGCTCCCCAAACTCAGAACGCAAAAAAGCTCCGTTAAATCACCCCTCCTCTGGGGGCTTGTATTTGGAAATGGCCCTCAAATACAAAGTACGACAAAGCAAAAACGGTCAATTCCTTTCAACTATAAGGCTAGCCAAATCGATTTTGAAACACAAATTTCCCTCCGTAGATAACCCTTCCAAATATGAGCCCCTCCAAAAATAAGCCGCTAGAAAAAGGCCTTTGAAAAATATAAGCCCCGGGGCTTATTTTCAGAATTTTACGGTACATTGTGCTCATTTGATGACGAGCTTGAAGCAAACAAAAATAGAATTTAAACCAAGGAAAAACCGAACTACAAGATAATTAGATACAGTTGCAATAACTATAAGAGAAGAAATTCATTGGACTTACCATCTTCCTGGTGAAGATTATCAATATCCACATAAGAGAGAGCATTTGTGAACTGACTCACTGATTCCCAGAGAATTCTATGTGTGCTGAAAGTAAATGTATATAAATTATGTTAATGTAACAGAAATAGTTTCTAGAATGAGTAACCTTAATGTACATGAGTGGGACGTCATTTTGTACACTCCTGACCACTTCCCAGCAAAATCCCTTGAGGAATCTTACAGAAAGCATAAACATAACTTATGGAGAAGCAGTCATATAACCCCTTGATGCCTTATACATCTGTATCTACCCAAAGAGTAAGAATCAAGACGAATTTATAACTACAGACATGTAAATGTAATTAACACTTAGAAGTTGTGGTGTGCTGATCATTGATCATAAACCTTGAGTAATGTGATAATAATATTTATTGATAATGGAAAATGTTTGATTGATTATTGCAGAGAAAATAAAACATTATTATTGTTAAAAAAAAAAAATCAAATTATGTGTTTTCTCTCTAATGGACTCATAATGTAGCTATAGTCCATTGATATCCCTTTTCTGATAAAAGTTTGAATGTTTGCCATGTTCTAAACCACAACACAATGGCTGTGCAGAATTTTAAAATGGTCCATAGTCAGAACTTAAATTGTATATTACATTGACTTGCACTAAGTGAAAGATAAACCAAACTTTCCAGTAATAATAACTACAATTTGTCTTGGTGGTTAATTGGTTGGGTCAACCCAATTAATTTTAATGACACCCAAGGCTGCTGCCTAACGGGCGCCCGGTCGCCAGAGGCGCCCAAGGTAAGAGCATGGGCGACCAAATTTCGGTACAAGGAGCCCGCGCGGGCGCCTGACTTAACACACGGCATTAGACTTAACCTCCTTGTACATTATATTCCTTTAGCTGGAGTAGGACTTTAAACAGTGGAACTGTTGATATGGTTAGCGATGATGCGATTAGGCAGTATAAAATTTCCACAAATAAACCGTAAATTATGTAAACCTAACGTGTTCAACTGTGAAGCTTTGTCGAAACGAACGAAGCCATCGTTTCCGAGTCCGGATGGCAGTTGAAGACTGGGTCTGAGATTTGACTTCCAAATATGGAATAGCAAAATTATGGGCTGTTTGTTGCCTATGTTGACATTCGTGCAGTTCATCGTTTGCTTGGGTTTTCGTCGATTTGATAACTTTTTGTGGCGAGAATGGGAAGCTATCTTGCGTGCTATCGACTGGACGTGCTTGATGTTCGATTTCATGTACCAGTTTGCAACGTATCAGCATTTTCAAGAGACTTTAAAAACAACACGCCAGAGAACGCAGTATGATATTTCATATTTGTAATGTGATGTCTTTACCTTGAATAAAGAAATTAAAGTAATGATCAACTTTGTGTTGGTTGTATTTCTGCCTTGCTGCACGTGTTAGCGCCCTTTCCCGCTAAAATCGGCAAAGGTTCTGCTTTTCCCGCTAAAATCGGCAAAGGTTCTTCTTTTCTCGCTAAAATCGACAAAGGTTTCAGCAATTTGTCTTAAGCCCAGTGACTACAATGGAATTCTCGCAACAGGTAAGCAATGTTTATTTCTTACGACTCCGTATGTGAACATTTATATTAATATAGATAACGATTTGGAAACTGTCTCTTTCAAAACAATAAAATATATTTCCCGCTTTTAAAACACAACCGAAGATGCTGTGCCTTCATTTGACCTATATTCAATGCGGTTTTATTTAATCCGTAGTGACAACTTGACATTCTTGACCTTCTAAACGAAATAGCAGATCAGCTAGGTAGCTGTCTGTGATTGCCTCGCAAATTCATGCAAATTTTCTTTGACTAATGAAATTTGAACCGCGTTTGTTTTGAGATCAAAGATACTGTAAGCTTGATATTTCACTTATAATAAAACGGCTTCTTTTCGCGTACAGTTTCTACAGCTTCGATACACTGATGTTGAGTTTGGTTCTGGAACATGCTCACAGAAAAGTGCAGAAAGTTTAAGACAGTAGCGCTTGAAATGTAACAAATATCATTTTCGTGACACGGCTATTTTTGTCGTGGAAGGAAATTTGATCGGGGCAGATTTTGATCACGTGCTAGGTAACCAGTTCTGACGGCTCAGATGGAGAATCTCTCTTTTCCATAACCAAACCAGGAATTTACCTTCAAGATGACCATGCAACGATGAATGTCTTGTTTATTCATTCTCATCTTAGTTGAACATTAATTATAAGGAAATTTGGCAAAGTTAAATTTTGTTGCGGGAAAATACTCGGTTATAAGACGCACCCCGAGTTTTGAGAAAATTTTTATCGAGCAAGCACTGGGTGGACAAACATCCAGAGGCTAGAACCTGGAGTTCTCTTAAGGGGACAAAACCAAAAGACTGATGAACATTGCTCAATGCTGTGATTTAATTGTAAACTACACTGTGAATTCAAAGGATCTGTTTTGGACCCAAAATTGGGAGTTTTTCCTTGAGTAAAATACAGTACTATTTGAGGGGCTAATTAAGCTCTTCTAAAATGGAGCTGTTTTGGACAACTCCGAGCTGTTTTGGAGAACTTATAAGACTTAAAAAAATGATCTTTTGAATTTACAATGTAGTTACATTGACATAAAATTCTTTTATAGCACAGAATCAGATAGGAAAATGTTATTCAATTTAAATGATTCCTCAAATGTTTAGCACTTCATTTAATGAGATCCATCCAGGCTAAGGTTTACATAAGGCACTTGATGTTCTGTTCTGTTTTTCCTGTTCATGTATAAAAAGGTAAGGAGAGGATTGGTCTACTTTAGAAAGTTTTTGAAGACTAGTTAAGTTGTCATGTGGAACACAACTGTTACTGAACAAATGTGAAAGTCAAGTAAATAATTCTGAGTTGAAATTACCTACTGTTATGTTATTCTTTTATTGTGAAAATTGTGAAAATTCCTTTTACACGCAAATTAAGCCCCTCAAATATTTTTCCGGCTCATGAATGTGTATAAGAAAGGTAAGAAGCAGTTTAATTGTTACATTTTAGAAAATTCTTTGAAGGCTCTTCTAGGTCACATTGAACACAACAGATGTGGAAGTTAATTGAATAAATTAATAAATGAAAGTAAATAATTCGGTTAATTCTTGTTTACGTGTTATTTATTAGGCCCGGCGAATTCTTATTAAAGTGTGCAAGAACCTCTATAACCTATGTAATGATCTTGGAAAAACAATACATGGATTTCAAACTGGGCTCCTAACAATGTGGCTCGGGCTCCTAACTTTAAACTTTAGGAGCCCGAAGGGCTCCCTAAAATTTTTCTTAGGCAGCAGCCTTGACACCATTTCATAGTTTAATCATATTCTTGCATATATTTCACTAGCCATATCGTTAGTTCTTATACTCGTTCATATTGATGTAGAACTTCTATATTGCCTTAGTTTTATTTATTTTGTACTTAGACTTTGTATATCTGGAATCTTATGTTTTTTGCAATTTAAACTTAGATAGAGGGCCACAAGTTTACGAGTTTCTGTAACTATTCCGTGCTACCGTCTTTAAATAAAGTGTATTATTATTATTATTATCACCATTACAAAATCTCAGTCAATTCAAAAGAATAGTTAGTGGTTCTTAACAACTCATTTTAAAACATCCTCATGTACAAAATTTGAGATCAATATTATTAAAGGGATATGCCTGGAATAAAGCCCTTCATTGTAACTGACTTCTGATAAAATGCTTTATTCTCCTTCCACAGTACTTTGTATATGCTTGATAATCAGAAGAAGAATTTGGTAATAGATAAGAAGTGACTTAGGGCTTTAGTCCACGTACATGTACCCCTTCAATTCGAAATTTGGAAGTCTTGGTTTTTGAGGAGAGGGGAAAACTGCGGTTGTTGCAGAGAAACAACAAACTCAGTCCACATCAATGTATTCATGTAGCATCACCCCTGGGATGTAAATCTAGCCATATTAGTGACCCTTCCTCTTTGCTATCCTTGCTCCTCAGATAAACTTTCATGTAACATGGAACAAATTAACCTTAAAACAAATATTAAGCAGTGCTAGTAACCTTATGGATGATGCTTGCCATAGATCAGCATGGCATGCCATCCAGTCAGCAAAAACCTTGACAGCAGGCAGGAATTGTCTAAGTGGCACACTGAGACCATCTTGGGTATTTCTCGCTTCAAAGTCAATACTCTGTAACAGAGTGCAGCAGCTCTTCAGTAATGAGATGAACATTTCTGTGGCAAGATTAAGGGCTTGATCCTGAGGTGTACCCACTCTCACATAGGGTTCTGTGGAATCTACAAATAAAGCAAAAGAGAGTTACATCTATGATTCCACATAGCAAAGAAGTACAGAGGTCTCCAAGGTAAGAAAATTTAAAGCTCATTTCAACAACAATTTGACCAATTGTTATTAGTGCAAGATTAATTCAATCCTTCAAAGTAAGATGTGATGTTTCAGAAAAATAATTATATCAATTGACTCCCTCTCCCCCCACAAATTAACTCCTCCCTCCCTCCCACACACAGAGTTTATTGGTTTGAACCTCTTCTCAATACTGGAAAATTCCAGTTAAGGTTCATACATACTTAGTTTCAATCTTTAAATACTTCCCCCTACCCTAGAATCAAACTACACTGTGTAGATTTAAAAACTTTTTACTTAAATGTCATTTTGAACTGAGACACAATCATGTGACTGATGGAGAGAGAGCGGTGCACAAAACCATACCTTCCGCTGCAGTGTTGGTAATGGCAAATATGTTGATGGCCATCATCTGAAGCAAATTGGATCTGCTGATTGCTGAAGATGTAGGATACTCCAACAGAGTGTCAAACTCACCAATGAGCTGGTATTGCAATGTAGGTAATCTCTCTATACTGTCATTAAGTAATAGACAAATATTTTTTTATTCCTCAAGGATAAGCTCCCAGACACAATTTCAAAATTTCAGCCAAGAATGATGGCTTCTAATTGAAGGAAGGCACTTAATTGAGGGGGGGGGGTTTGGGGGGCAGAATTTGGACTTAAGTTTGAAAAAATAACATCAAAGTGGGAAACGAAAGTGGGAGTTCCTTATGATATCCCTAATATGAAAAAAACTGATAGCAGGGAAGAGGCTACTTTTGGTTGTTTGACCAAGGGACTGGGCTATGCTTTTTAGAGAATATGTGCTATGTTTGAGGAAATACAATTACTGTATTTAATCATAACTATGAAAAAATTCTCAAATCTGATTGGCTATCAACTGTCCTGATTTCATGCCTTAGCAAGCGTGCACTCCAATGGCTTTTTTTCACTGCCAGCGGAAAAAAAACTCTTGGAATTTCTTGTGTTTTAATTGAAAAAAGCCTAAAATATCACATATTTTGTTATAGTTATGATTAATTGGTAACAGAACTTCGTGTCATCCAAATCGGCCTCCTGCTATGCAGTTGTCTGATTTTGTTAAATTCAGACCGAATTGGACTCCATTCAGTCCTATTACCATTATTCATTAATGAAAAACAACATTTCTATAACAAGAACAGAAAAATAAAGCGTAAGAACTACATTTCATGAAAACAAACCTCATGTTATGCCAAGTAAACTCTTTTATCGCTAATTACAGCGCAAATGACCAGCATCTGCACATGTACAGTGTAATTTCTCCTTAAAATACTACTACTTAACTAAACATGTACGTATAACAGTCGTGAGAATAAAGGAAACGACCAACTAATAAAAAAGGTTGTGATCGTTAAACAAATTCTCCTCAACATGCAGTAGGTAATGCCTATTGAACAATATGGAGAATATGCATGCTGATAAACGAGTCTTTAAGGTTAACTCAGTGTCTTACCCAGTTCTTGAATACAACAATCCATGAGCACAAAGGAAGTGAAGCATGAATTTCTTGTTCACCTACAAGTACAAGGTGAAAAGAAGAATAAAAACAATGCACTTTTAAGCACCAAAATGTCTTTCAAGAACTCCCTTAGATTGTATAACAAACAATGAGTAAGCCAAGAAAGTACCTCTTGTAGAGAAATCTTTGGTGCCTCCTGAATTGGCTCAGGTTTGCTATTGCTGGCTTCTGTTATTGGTTCACCAGCTGAATTAACCTCTTCTACTTTATCAAGTTCTGTGAGAATAACTCTTCTGTAGGCTCCATTCAGAACAAAGATCCATACTTCGTGCCTGTAAAGTTTTATCGCATGAATCAAATATTATTAACTTACAGTCATGAATAAATGAATGAAGCTTTATTTAATCTTGGGTTTGATGAGGTTGGTTAGACCTTTGGCAAAAAGTTGCTAATAAGCCGAGAAAAAAAAAACAACAACAACAAACAAAACAAAAACAAATTCATTTCTCAGGAACAATCATGGGGCCGCAGGTTAGTGCTCTAAGAAAATTAGTACAGGCCGATAAGAATCCTAAGAAATCCATGAAGCTAAGAATATACATGTAGGTTTGGTGAGAAAAATAAAAATTTCCTCTTCACTGAAAGGGAAAAGAAAGTCATTGCCAAGTCATTGATGAATAAGTAAGGCCGGTGCTGCTTAAATTTCTGATCCCTAACCCTTAATGACAACCAGTATCATAGTATTGGATGTTACACCGCACGAAAAGCACAAACAGTGGTCAACCACTTCTAGTTACAGGAGCAACTTCAGCTGACGTAATGTTTTTTAACGTTTATATCAACAAACACCTCCAAGGCATGAAACTAAGACCTCAATCCATTAATTACAATGGATGTAAACTGTGTATCAAGTGGCTGTCTCCAGTAGTTACCTTCCATGATTAGCTTGGTGCTCAGCTGTGATGAGCCCAACACCTTTGGCTACTTCCCCAAAAACAGATCGTTCTTTGCCACGCCCAGAATGACCTCTATCTTTCATCTGATGGCTTTTTCGGTCTGCCAAAAATTTCTTTTCATCCTCAGCTCTTTGAAGTCTGTCTGCCTGCACAATGACATAACACAAAGGTATTTAACAATATAACTTATGCGCTATCTTTACTAAAACTGATAAGACATCTTAAAGGTGTACTACAAAAAACATTTGCAAAAGACTATGCCCCAAACACCTTATGCTTAGCTTTTTGGTACATGTTACCATTGGATCTTGAATGCACTCAATTGTACTCAATTTAGTCCCCAGAACAATTGAAATCACACTTAATGGCTTTGAAATTTCAACATCCATCTTCAAAGGAAGCTTGCCCCCAGACCCCTAGAAAATGGGAAACCCACAGCTCCATGTTGATACAGCCGGTTACTCTATTCAAACCTGTTGGCTACACTGTCCTTCAGTTTCTATTGAAATCCCTGTGTAGTTTTCTGACCATAAAAGAACAACTTAAAGCAGAGATGTTCATCACAGTTAAAGATGCAACTTATACAGTTGTGAAAAGAAAGCCTGAAAAAAGTCAGGCTTGCCGGGATTCGAACCCTGACCTGTACAATACTGGCGCAGTGCTCTAACCATTATTAAGCTAACAAGCCAATTGGGCAAATTGTGTATTAAACTGTGATTATCATCTCCGCATCTATTTCTTCATCCTCCAGTTTCACTAATTATACGAAATTCATTTAAATATACTCATTATTTCAGAAAAAAATAACTTAACATTATAACTGCACATGTAGACAAAATTGCAATAAGATCAATAAATAATAAAGATTACCTTTTTCTGGATGTCATAGAAAATAGAGATCAGTTTTTCTCTAGCTGTCAGGATAGGATTGCTTACTGAGAGACTCCGTATGTAGAAATACACAGAGTCCAGTTTACGGTTGGCAAGCACTGCAATGACTCCCAGCTGGTTGTAGGGCTTTCCATTCTTGGGTGCCAGTTTGCTAGCTTTTAAATACCATGACCTGATAGATGCCCAGTTCTGGCTGTTGTGAAATTGGCCTTGATACCTCTCAATGTCTCCGAGACAGATTAAGATGTGGTGTGCACTTAAGAGTGCAAGTTTAGCCTATAAGGTTAACATACATATTGGAAATCATTTTCAATAGCAAATTTTCAAAGTATGAAAGACCAAGCACTGCAGTCCGATACAATAATGTCAATTTTCACTGTAAATTCATAATGACAGTTACAGTGGTGGTATTTTATAAACAAAGACAAATAAAATAAGGATTTAAAGCGTCCAAGCGTCTGTATTCTTTAGTGCAGTTAAAGAGATCAAGAGTTCCTCGGCAAGATATGTCCACTTTTTACACTGCTTGTATAAGCTCTGTTCTTAAGTACGCAGCACCCACCTTTCATTTTGCAACCCTGTAATTATCAATATTTCAAAGGATAAAAGAAATCAAATTTGGCCATTCATTTTCACTGAAATAAAATGCTCCACTTTTTTGGAATTTGTGTTCGGTTTGATAGCACATTTTCAAATAATCGATTTTGTGCATGTAAGCCTGATCAATGTTTAACTTTGTAGCAGTTCTAATACACTGTACTTTAAGCTCACTTGCCCAGTGGGTAAGGGTCTAGGGAAGTCACCTATCAACTAAATCATTAACAAAGACAAGCAAGAAGTGGTCTCAGGCAAGCAAAATGTACGAGCTGCTTGTCCAAAGGACAAGCTGGAATCCAAGATTTTTCTAGCCCTGCAACTGGGTACAAAACCATATGTTACAGGTCAAAATGTTATTCTGCTTGAAAACCCAGTTTGATTCTTAATTTCCTTTACATGTACAGTGTGTCTACTAGCCCTAACTCATGAATAATTAGGGCTAGGAGACAAACAAAATTGAGAATCAACCTAGATAAAAAAAATTACCTGAGTTTAATTTTGACCTGTAACATATAATAATTTATATTGTTCCATGTCAATTGTGTTTTCAACTCTTCTTTGGCTGGACAGTACAATCTACTGTGATATGCAATAGAGATGGATCAGTCTTAACAGTTGTTATACATGTAGGTTGCAACCGTTAATGATAGCCCAGTACAGGGCTGCAAATAATTTTTTTCTCTTGAAAGGACATATGTCTTACTAAGACACCAGCTTGGTTGGTCGGACATCACCAAAAAAGGTTGAATTTTATATCGGGTAAAACAGAGGACATGCTACACTAATGTAAAAGAAAACTTCATTATCCAAGTCAATGTTATCTCATGATTTTGAGGTCGTCCTAACACAAAGTAAGATTTACTCAAGGTGGACTTTTATTCTTCCTTACCATAAAATGATTTACAATGAAAAAATTATCTGGACATAATGTCCGAACACAGGTGGGATTTCCTTGGACACTAGCAATTTTGGTCAGTCAATGTCCAATGACTGACTGTTATTTGCAGCCCTACAGTGTATAGTTTCTCACCTTTTTCCCGAGTTTTTCTGCTTTTCTTGGTTGACTAACCACATCCTGAACTGAAAACTCGTGATCCTTCTGAAGTAACTCCAAAATGTTTTTGTAAAATGTTTCAGCATTTGCAAGGAACTCCTTCAAGCAGTTATTTATTTCTTCAGGAGAGAGCATTTCTGTTTTATCTGCATAACCCAGAAAAAGCTTTCCATACTTCCTTAGTGTTTCAATCACTTTGTAAAATCCATTTCTCCAAAGGTTCTGATCAACTTCTTGCTGAATTGCAAAGGAAAGATCAAGCATCATGACACCTTTGTAGGCATCCTGGATTTCTTTACTGATGGAATTAATTTTTTCAAAAGCTGCCTTATCAAGAATCTCTCGAGACAGTAAATTGCTTAGTGATGTCTCTCTTTGGGCCACTAATTTCAGAAGTTTCTGAGCTCTTTGAAGATGTAAGGATTTAACCTTTTTCTCAACTTTAGCACTGCTGTTTGGCTCTGGTGCTACTATGGCATTTTCCCCATTGTGATACTCAGCAAAACGTTTAATACTTTGACCTTCAGGCGTATAAACATTTTCTTGTGCTATACTGTTTCCAGTTTTCCTTTCATTTGCATGAAATTCAGAGTCATTTCCATCACTGCACTTAACTTCTTGTCTTTGTGAAGGAGTATCATTTGAGTGAACGGAGTCAAAAAACCCTCTACTTTCACTCACACTTCTCTTTTTAGGACTACTATGACTTTGCCGAATCTCTTTTTCTTCATCTTTCTCCGTTAAATCAAGCCCCTCAGGTAATTTGATTATTCCTCTTGGTTGACAATGTTTCACATCATCCTTAAGTGATCCCTCTAAACCTTCATCAGGGGATTTTGAATTTGAAAGTTTCAAAACCCCACCAGTTCTAGCTCTCAGTTCAAGTTCATAATCATTGCACTCTTTTTCACCATCATCGTCTGATACCTCTTTCCTGGATACACTTCCACGATTTCTAGTATCTTTTTGTTTAGACCCACTAGCCTTTTTGTTGTCGTCGGTAGTAATACCATTGTCCCGGACCGCGCTATCCTCCTTTTCGACAGATGATTTTCGCTTTGGTTTCGACTCTTTTGAATTCCTTTTATCCTTCTTTGCATCTTTCTTTGAAACATCTTTACTTTTTTGTTTATCACGCTTGCTTACGTTAATAGTATCGCATTCTTCTCTTTGTTCAGTTTTCTTCGGGGAATACTTTCCGCTAACGTCAGAAGAACCGTTCTTGTCAACTTCTTTCTCTGATTTCAGCCCCTTTTCTTTACTCTTTTCGTGGCTTTTCTTTTTAGATTGTTTTTTATCTTTCTTCTTTTCTAACTCATCCGCATAAGCGACCAGTTCATCGTATGTAATTCGTAAAACAAGCGGTAAACTGTTCCCGCTGGAAGACGCCGCCATTTTGAATACAACTAGTACCCAGCCTCCTGCCTTTTTTGTGTAAATTCCGTGCCCTGGTACACGAAGAAATGCGAACAGAGGAATATCTCTCGCAGTCTGGCTCTAAAAGGCGGACACCTGGAATTGGTCCCTGCCGTTTGTCAATCATTTTCTTTGACTCTCTATAAAGTAGACGTCTCCCTAAATCAGACATCTCTAGAGTTGGTCCCTGTCGTTCTTCAGTGATTTTCTTTGACTCGCTGTAAGGTGGACACCTCCTTAAAAAGGGACACCTAAAGTTCGACTCCCTGCTGTCCTTCAGTCATATTCTTTGCCCCTCTCTAAGACAGACACCTCCCTAAAACGGACACCAAGAGTTGGTTCCCTGCTGTTCTTCAGTCATATTCTTTAACTCTCTATGAGGTGGACACCTTCCTCTGAAACGGACACCTAGAGTTGGTTTCTGTTGCACTTCAGTCATATTCTATGCCCCTCTATGAGGCGGACACCTCCCTAAAATGGACACCTAGAGTTGGTCCCTGCTGTTCTTCAGATATTGTTTTGAGTTTCTGTAAGAAGGACACCATTCCAATACAGACACTTTCTGCCGTTCCAAACACAAAAAAAGGGAACAAAGGGCGGAGTAAAGGAGAGGGACGTATCTGACCCTTTTACGGTTTTTTGATCAGTGACGTTTAAAAGGACCCTTTTTTGACGCATGAAGGCTCGATGTTTGGTCATTTGATGGCTGATAGCTAATCTCATTCATTACAAGGATGAGTCTTCCCTGGAGCTTAGTTTCTTACCTGGCGGAATGTCCTGGTTTGGAGGACCGCGCCCTTTTTTGTTTGAATTCTCAGTAAAATCAATCTCGACTCCAAGCTTCTAGAGCGTCGTTTTCACATGATTTGTGAAACTTAACCAAAAAAATGCTTAACTGCACATAAATACTAAACACTAACTTAATAACAAGGGCACTGCAATTATAGTCTGTTGAAAATTGTTACAGGCAGTTTATTTACAGAAAGGCAAGTTCGCAGAAAGTGATTGGTTAAAAGATGTTAAAAATTTTCTATTTATTGTGCACGTGCCTGGACACATCAGTACCCTAATTTAAAATGGAGTACACTGTTATAACAATAGTAAAAAAATTACAGACATCCAAGCACTGAAAAAGTTCTTATTGCCGAAGGTAGGAAGTATCGATTGCCATAGTAAGGAATATCAACTGCCATGAAACTGTCTTAAAACGCGAGGAAATCGGCTAAATACTGTTGAATCAAGGATAGTGGTTGTTCCGTGAAACCTACTGATGAAAGTTAAAGTCGAAGTGAAAGCTACAAAGGTATGCAAAAATTGTTCTATTCACAAAGCCAGTTTCGTAATAAGAGATATCGAAAACAAAGGTGCTGAAAAGTAAATTTAAAAAAAGCAAAAGAACCCTTAGATTAATAAATTACATCAGCTAAAAAATCACGGAAAAATTCAGAAAAAAAGTACTAGCCTAAGAAAATTCTGGATTGAAAATTTACCAACCACACATCGCCGGCGAGCAAGGAAACGGTCTATACATGAATCAGTAAAACTGCATCACACTCTATATGAACGCATAACGACGTACGCGTGCTAAACAAACAAAACTAACGATTTGACTATTCATTTGTTGCCGATCTGCTCTCAGAATAATTAAACGGCCATAAATTAATTGTTAATCAGTATCATATGCTAAGAAAACTGTATCTTTTTGGGGGGTCTTGCCTGCTCTTTCTGCTTCATCTAACAGGCTCGTTGCCGGACAAACTTATTCCTACAGTAGGTTTTTTTTTAAAAAAACTATTCTTTTAATGTATAGCCGTCTTAGCGTTACATAAGAGTCACAAAGAAACTTCACCATTTTTACCGTGGCATCCGCCCTTGTTGCTTTGCAGTACTAGCTCGTCGAGCCTTTCTAATCTGCTTATATTCAATGTATATGGATGGAAGTCATTTGTATTTTGGCTGGATCTAGACGCAATGCGCTGGTACGTAATGTTATGTTGGTTGAAAATATTGTTGCTACAAACCTCTCAAGCACCTAGCCTAAACATAAGAAGTATTAGAGTAAGAAAGGAACTCGCACCAACAACAATCTTTTTTCCATCAGCTAGCTACTTAAGCTTCACTCAAGATGAGTTCCTCTTATACAGGATATCAGTTTCATGCCTTAAATAATTTTAGAGATATTAAAAAATGTAGGATCTTTAGTACTTTTTACGCTGAATTAAAATCGATCCGAATGTAAAGGCTTTTTGAAGTAAATTTAGTTGGTAAAGCTAGTTTATATGAACTACAACAAAACACCTCGCTAATTTTAACAAGAACATGACAAGGGGACAAAGCTAAGCGATGTCCGCACTTTAGGGGTGTTCGCATCATCATGAAGTCTCCACGATGTAGGAATTGTACCAAGGTTGCCATGTTTCCAACCAAGACAACTGTCCCGGAAGAGGTGTTCGTATTTAGAGAGGTTTTAGTAAGGAGTTTTTGATAAAAATTACATAACCAAAAACTCATCTAGTGGGAGGCAAATTTTGCAAGTGCCTGGTCAAGGAATTCTACCAGGGACCACTGAGAAATAAATCCAGCTAGCGCTCAGCTTGCTGCTGGACTGACTTTAGTATCGAGTATATTCAATTTATTTTAACTTCCACGGAGCTAACTGCTTGTTTGTGTATGTCTGTCCAGCCGGCAATATGAAAGATTCACTTGATATGGTCTGTCGGATTTCAGCAGGCATAATTTTGAGCATTTTTTGGAATTAGAGTGACTACGGTGGCAACGTTTTACACTTTAAAGAATGCTGTCACTCATACCTTGTACCACTCGAAACTGAAGTGTTTATAGCCATGGAAATACACTAAGGGGCTGTCCACACTTGTTACTCGGGAACCAGTGCCTGGGTAGAGTTACAAAATGCTACCGATATGTGAAGTCTTGTGTTCATAGTTACTCTCTTTCGCCTTGCCGAACACCGTTTTGAAACATAAGCTTAGCAACGAATACAAAGCAGTGGACTGCCGAAGAACTAACAAAAACGATTTGCACACAGGGACTCGGTACCCACTTTTTTGCCCGAGTACACTGAAGGTCTCGAAAGTGCCCGAATTCTAGCGTGGCTACTTGACTAAAGGGTGTGTTCACATTAGTGCCCATGCCCAGTGAGTACCGCACTCGGGTACCGTGCCCTAGCACCAAGTGTGATCGCTGCCTAACATGCAGTGGCCTTCTGTTGCAAAAGGTACTATGCCACTCACAGAACTCCCAGTTTATTTGATACTGTTTGATATTAAGGAAGGGAAGGAATGAATTGACTGAAACATGGAAAATTCGCGCAGTCTTGTTTCCGTTTGACGGCAGTGTTATTCGTTATAGTCACGGCCCAGATCCCTTTTCCTTTCCGTCTGATACTTGAATGGTGTTGAATCTCATGCAAAGTTTTTAGTAATGTTTATTATATACGTACTGCAAGTCATGATAGATGTTCACACCTTTTCTTGGAAAGCCAATGAGGCGCAACATAACCTTTTAGACCTCTTGGCAGCGTAATAAAATAAAGAAACAAAGAGATTAGATCAAGCTTAAATTTGTCTCTTACAAAAGTTTAAACAACATGGAAAATTGTAAAAAGGTCGACCTAGAAAGTGGCCGCTTCCACTCAACAGAAGTGGTCGTTTATTAGAGATACCAACTATAACAAGGCTTTGATTGGAAAATATTTTGTGTTATGGAAAGCAATGAATGATCATAATTTGAGGATGAAATAATCGAGGGAAAAGAAAGAATTTCCCATAGAAAAACAGACATTAGAGTGAATTTCGTATTCCTAAGACTGTCCATTAAAATTCTCAAAGTCAAGTAAAATTGATGTTAATCAGATGTTAAGAACAATGTCCTCTAGTACGCATTTTGAAACAAGAAAAGCAGATCTGAAAGTCTCTTCCCTCAGTCAATGTTTCAAATAAGCGATTTCTTAACAACATCTTGGTTGCAGGTTTTTGCCAGGAGTGCTTCAAACATGGTGAACGAACAGACGTAGCCCATCATAAACACTCAAATTGTTATTAATTACTGTTGTTGTTTGATTGAGTTTCCCCACTTTCCCGATTTCGGATCCAACCTGTTTCCCCAGACCAGTGGCCCTCGTAATGGGGACTCCTATATGAAGTAGACGGGGATACTCAACCAAAAAGCCAATCAGGGCGTGGCTCAAGCTTGCCCCTATAAAAAGGAAACCATAAATGCGCCTTTTCCCGACGCATTTGTCTCGCGATCCTCTCTCTCTTCGCGCTTGACTTCCTTCGCCTAAAAAACGCGAAAAAAAGACAAAATAAAATAAATAACGCGTCAGTTTTCCGTAGGCTATGCTCTAACATAATATCAGGGCATTTGTTTCTGGCATAACTTTATCGGCTTTCCAACATAAACGCTCTAAGAAAAAACAAACTCTGTAATTTCTACTCCTATACAAGACGACGAGCATCCCCGTAAATTTCAAATATCGGAGTCCACCCCGGCCGCAGATCGGGCCTACGTTTGCTTTAGAAGGGGAAGGCCTCCTCGGTGTGATAACAGTCAGTCAGCCCACAGGTGGCCCAAGCGTAATATGGGCCACCTGTGGCGTAATATGAGAGTTTGTATGGGAAAAATAGAGTTTGAAACTTAGATGAAATAAATGAAGTAAAACCGATAAAAGTTATCAATAAAGTGTAAATATTGTTACCTGGAGTCGTTGTCTTTGTTTTCACGAAGTTTCAGCGCGATTTGAGTACTTTTACATCATCTGACCTGACTGTGTAATAATAAGAGAGCTTTATTGATAACTTTTATCGTTTTACTTCATTTATTTCATCTAAGTTTCAAACTCTGATTTTCCCATACAAACTCTCATATTACGCCACTGGTGGCCCATATTACGCTTGGGCCACCTGTGGTCAGCCATGCATGCAAACGAGTTATCACTTTTGCTTTTAACAGATCGCAGAAAAGTCTAAAGAATCATCACTAAGCCCCGCAACAGAGTTACAGAACGATGTGAAGAGTAGTAAGATAAAAATAGGTGAAGTATCACCGGAGCAAGAGGATGACGTAAGTGATATCCTGGAAACTCCTCCCCAACAACAGCAACGCAAAGCTAAATCGACTATGGTCAAGATGGCTCTTTTGGCACCGCTATGCCTTATCAATCTCATAGTGTTTGGGGCTTTCTCAGTGCTATCGCCGTTCTTTTCTAAAGAGGTATATAAAAGAGCTTGTAAGTTTTACGTACCGCGGTTTGTGTGAAAAATCGTTTTTGATCTCCCTTGAATTGATTGGCTTCAAAGGTGCGACAAAGTTGGGCTGAACCACCTAGACTTCATAACAGAGGTCCTCGAATGTGCTGGTGACAATCTGCTACTGCGCCCACCAAGGTCCAAACCTTTGAACAGGGTCAGAAAAAAATTCAATTTTTTTTTAAAAATAATTTTTGTGGAATTTGGTTGAAAATTACAAAAAAAGTCGCTGAATTCGCTTTCCCACACATATATAACTTGCATAGTTCAGGATAAGTAACATAAGTTTTTCAACACAAACACTGGTTTATCCCCAAGTACTGGTTACGATAAAAACAACAACAGTTAACAATTAAATAACGAACCTATTTCCTATGCAGGAATAAAAGGTGAAGCCAAATTTTGACTCTACTGAACACTCTTATTTTAGGCCCAGCGCAGAGGAGCAACGGGTTCTGTGGTTGGATTTATTTTTGGAAGTTATCCACTTATGATTGTCCTTTCTTCCCCAATTTTTGGACGCCTGGTAAGTAATGATCAACCCAGTGGGATCACTGTTTCCCTGTTTTACTGTGTGTGTAACTAGTCTAATTGAAAACTGCACCTGAATTAAATTCCATAAGTGACTTTTAATGGACAAGGTGGAGGATCTGCCCCACTGTTAACCCCAATTCCGAAATCTGAGAAATCTGGAATCCTGAAATCTGCAATCCAGCTCAAGGAATCCGGAATCCCGCTAAAGATTGAAATCCGGAGTCCAAGTTCCACTGACAAGCAGTCCGGAATGGAACTCCGCAATCTACAGTGTGTCTCGGATTACTTTATATGGGGTACAGGCAAAAGGATGCTTGGGATTTCTTCACAAATAGGTTGCTCTCCTTAGGTACGACATGTAAAGGTTGCACTTGATGCTGGTCTAAAACGCTTTTTGAGCGGCCGATTATATGGCGAATTTCAGACCGGAAGCAATGTTTAAAATTGGGCGGAAAAATTTGCAGGAAAATTTTCCACATTCAAAACTAAAGCAGTACACACTGCTCAAGTTCATATTTGAAGATGAAAGTGATTACATGGAGTTTCTTTAGGTCGTTTGACCAGGCTGAATTTTGGGCAACCCTTCTTCTACTCAGGTTTCCTGTGTCATTATTCATCCACCCTAGCCTCTTCACCAAAGGATGCGGTTTTTATGGCATCTAAGTGTGTTGGATATATTATACTACTACATAAGGAAATTTCTGTAATTTGATTGGCTTAGAGCAGTGTTATTTCAGCTTAATTTGAAATACCTACATGGGAAATTACAAACCTTTTGCGGGTAGTAGTATAAACAAATAATAGCATGATTTGTACAAGATGTTTGGCATAAATACCAGTCGTGATATTTCAAAATGGTCTCAAATTTCACTTGCCTAACGGCTCGTGAAATTAAGTATAACCATTTTGAAATACCACTCGTGGCATTTATGCCAAATATCACTACAAATCATGCTATTACCTATACTAATTTGCTCTTAAGCAACGATATTTTTTTCCCTTTTTGCCTGCCCTGAAGGTTTCTCAATTTTTTTATGACTTTATTAAGGTGACCCGAGTGATTCCCTATGTCTAGCCTGCATACAGACGTTATTCTATTTATTTATTTATTCATTTTCGTTTTTCAGCAGAGCGAAGACAAGCGCAAAGCAAGCAACGAACGCCTGACGCGCGCGACGGGCAACACGCGCAGAACAAGCGTCGTGCGTCTCTGGCGCTCCCTCGTCTCGCTTCGCGCTTCCCTTCGCTCGCCTGAAAAACGCGGAAAAGTAACGCCTGTTATGCAGGGTACCTTGTGTTAGTCTCAAAACCTGTTAGATGCCTGCTAAATGGAGCCAAGAAAAAATGGAGCTTGAAAAGTGGGAAACGGTAACATTCGTCGTATGAGGTCTTTATTGTATTAACAATGATCATTTTTATAGTTTCAAAACACATAAAGCGCGGTATTTCTTTAATGACATGAAGAAGAATCATGGGAATTTGGGTTGTTCACACTCAACGTTTATCATCTTTTTGTCCGACATATATAGATCCAGTATAATGTGAACACTCACTACACAAAACGGCGTAAACAAGGCCTACGCCCAAACTCCTATCAAGCGCTTAACACAGTTAGAGGTTAACAGGCATAGTAAGATTTATATATACCGCTTTCTACAGGTGGCCAAATATGGTCCTCGTCGTGTTCTTGTAGCCGGTATTATTGTTGGCAGCTCGTCTCTGAGCTTATTTGGGTAAGTTACTATCACCGAAATTTATGGTAACAGTAGCGAGATAGAAAGTGACAGGAATTCTGCGCGATATGAAATAACTGTTTTCTGAAGTTTCTGAAGATGGGATTAAACATGAACGCTAACTTCAGGCCGGCGACTTAAAAAAGAGACACAAACGTTTTTCGGTGGGAGGGGAGACGTTGAATTCGTGAAATATTAATAAAAGAACTAAGAATAAACAGTGAAAAAAGAGAAAAACTTCAAACAGGGAAAACTACAGGGGAAAGACCGCATAAAATGTAAGGGGCACTTCTATACGAGCTCAGCCCGTAAACTTTGCCAGGGAATCGAATCACGCCTCCCAACTTAAAACTAAAAGCTAAAAAAAAAAATGTACGATAGAACTATTTACAAGCAAAAAATAGGGAGACACACACATCTTAGCTAAGAAAGAATTAAGAAAGACAAATTTTGATTGTGCCATGACTGGAGCGTTTTAATACTACCACAAACATTTTTTTAATTATCACGCGAAATAATGTTGTTCTTCTCACAGACTGGGTGGTTTGACTTCTGATGCAGTGGCATTCGTGTCAGTAAGTCTAAGCCTCAGAATTGTGTCCGCTATCGCAGCAGCGGCCCTCCTAACGGCCAAATTTGCCATAGCAATGGAAGAGTATTCCAGCGAGGAATTGTCAACTGTTGCGGTATGCATTAACTGTTTATTACTTACTTGTTTTTTTAAGCTCAGTATATCCTCAAGCTTAATTTTCATCCCTTTATGCGCTTATAAAGTTGAACATCCTAAGATCCAGTCGCCTCGGGGTAGTCTATGAGCAAAAGATGAGGGGTGGGGTCCGCTTTCTTTCTCGACACATGTTCGTTCGTTAGTGAAGGGGTGAAGAGAAACTGCTGAAATTAACGAACAAAGAAGCTTTGAATGTGCTCTGTTCTGGTGTAAAGTACGCAGAGCGCAGCTAGAACACGAAAGAATTGTAGGGGGGAACACGAGACGTAGTCTGGAGACGAGAGTGGTGGATGAGAGGACAACAGACGTGCCCTCTTTTACCATACATTTTTAACATGTGAACAGTAAACTCGGACGTCAGCATACAAAGGCGCCAATGGCAGCCGCTCTCAGTCCATTTATGAGCTTACTGTACCCACCCAACCCACGATGTGAATGATGTGATGTGTGAAGGTTGACCACAACACCAGGGTCTGAGTCCCCTACTCTTTTCGAACAGTGGCGTCGGTTCTTTTACGTCCCACAAGAACCAGATAAGTGTAAGTGCTGTGAGACGGGACCCACGGTTTTTCGTCCTTATCGGAGAAGACTAACCGTTTGCAGATGTCATTAAAAAGGCAGCACTTTCTTCTCGTTTATTTAAAGACTCTGAGTGTTGGTCCGGCCGGGGTTCGAACCCGTGACGCCTCCTGCTCAGCAGACTGGCGCTCTCAACTGAGCCAACCAGGCGGCGGTACTTACTTCTTGAGTGCTCTATCCGCTTCACTAAGTTCACCACAACAGAAACAGAGCGCAGTCCCGGCTTCTTTATTTGTTTTATGATAAAGAATGCGTTAAATTCCCCACGAATTTCTTTCTTATATTCAAAACAAACTTGCTTTAGCTCCGTATTTTATACTCTCATAAAGCACGCTTTTTCAACCAATTAGAGTGCGCGTTATATCTGAACTTTACAATAACGAGTAATAAAAATCGTCTTTCCCCACTGCCTTATGCCTGTTCTCGCGCATACAGAGATGATTAAAGCTGTCTTTGGCATGTGTAGAAGGAAATGATAAGTATCTTGGCAACAGCTCTTAAACTTTGGTTGATTCTACCGTAATAAAATGCTTATGCGTACTACTGAAAGTCTTAGCGTCAGCTTTAAATTCCAAAATAGCACATATTACAATTTCTCACATTCACAGGGCATAATGGAAAGTTTTACTGGTGCTGGCACTGCTATCGGCCCCGCAATTGGAGGATTTCTTCGGCCGGTAGGTTTATCTGATGAATTGTATTTGATTTACGAGTTTGATAGAGTAACAGTCTCGTAACAGTAGGTCTCGGAGTCTACTACAAAGTTAAAAAAAAATCAGCAAAACCCCTCGGCCGAGTTGTTAAAAGCTGGGTTAAGAAAACCCAGGGTTAGTGCGAGATTTGAAAGTTTAAAAAGCGTTTCAGTTTTAATTCTTTTTGTCTACAAGTTGATGGTTGGAAGCTCTAAAAATAACGGAGAAAATTATCCGAGAAAATGCTTTTTGAACACAAGAAAAAGAAACAAGGGTTAAATTTAACCCCGGGTTAAGCGCTAATCGGCCTTCGAACAACTGGGCCCTCAGAATGGGCCCTCAGAATGAGATATACCGTATTTATTCGATTAACCACCCTGGGCGCTTATTAAATTTTGGACCTTTAGAGTGGGCGTTTATTCGAGGTTGGCACTTATTCGAGGCTGGGCGCTTATTAAATTTCATCGTTTTCAGCAATAGTGTAATGTTTATTTTGCAACAAAACAATAAATGGTAATAACAAAACGCCAAGATGTAAATGATCAATACTCTGAAGGAAACTTCGTCTTCGGGGAAGTCTTATTAGTACTTATTCATTTATGGGGGTGGGAGGGGAAGGGGGGTGGGTTTTTGTTGTGGGCGCTTATTTGAGGTTGAGTGGAAGGGGGAGGGGGTGGGGGCCTATTCGAGGCTGGGCGCTTATTAACTTTTTCTGCCTTTAGGATAGGGCGCTTATTAGAGGTGGGCGCTAATTCGAGGTTGGGCGCTTATTCGAATAAATACGGTACATGTACGTTTACTACAACACTGTCGGGTTTAGGTCTGATGATCTTTGCGAAAAGCAGCGGGGGTTCGTTCAATACGTCCATTCAAATTGATTAGCAAGGATGAAGGATAGATGATTGAAACGCTTAATTTCACGTTTCTACTACGTAATCTGAACTGAAGCTGATGCAAGGCGTAAGCACAGCCAGCATAGGCTAAAAAGTTTTTAAAGGGACTTGGTGGGTGGTCCTCCCAATACTCACGACCTTCCAATCACCCTCATGGTCGAAGCTGTTTTCTTTAACGTTCGTCTCTATGTCTACGGGTCTCCGATTAACTGAGCCAGCTCGGTGTGGATAGAATAGGTTGCTTTTACTGAGCAGTATTTCCAATTTATTTCCATTTTACCTTTCTTTAGTCTTCCCACGTACTGTCATAGTATAAAAAATTGCTACGCCCTTGGCAATTGTGATTTAAATCAGACCTAGGGCTTAAAGTGTGGCGAGGAGTTGATTACATTCTATCAATAACTATAACAATATTCTCAAATCTGATTGGCTATCAGCTACCCTGATATCAGTATTAATATTACAGTACGCGCTATACCTAAGTATTTGGATAGTACGCGAATCGCGCACGCGCACTTGAATGGGTTTTTTCTTCACTTCTAGCAAAAATCTCTCGAAATATCTCGAGTTTTAAGGGACGGACCATTAGAAAACTTTTTTTGGGGGGGGGGGCGAAATACAAAAAAAGTATTCGCGCAAGGGAAAATTAAATGAAAAAAATGCTTGCACGACAATTAATCCTACAAAATATTCATGCTGTGGCCTAAAAAAATTCATACAAGGAAATTGATAACGAAAAAAATTCCTGCGGCTCGAAAATTCCCCTCCCCCTCATAACTTTTCTGATGGTCCATCCCTAATGTTAAAAAAGCTGGAAATATCACAAGTTGCGTTATAGTTATGATTAATTGGCGACAGAAATTCGTGTCGTCCAATTCGGTCTGTAATCATTCTCGTGATTAAACAAATCGAACTCCTGGAACCTGGTCGCCCGATTTACTATCTCACTTGTATGATCGCAGACCGAAGTGGAATCCACTCAATCCTATTACCATTATTAATCAGTTTCTTCTGTCTGTTCAATCAGATTGGTGGTTACAAGCTTCCATTCATTGCCATGGGATGTCTGATGTTGTGTACTCTGCCACTTTTCCTCTTAACTTTTCATTTGATAGGAACAAAGAACCAAGGTTTGAAAAAATGTGTTGTATTCTTTGTTACCGGAGATAAGCCTTCGTGGCTGTGATTACTGGAGCTTTGGGGGTTGTAAGCTACGATTTGCGGCGGTGGCCAGATCGGGTATGCGTTAAATGTCCATATTTACGTATTACAGAAAGGAGCCCCTTGTAGCAATTGCCAACATTCTGCCAAGGATTCTAAGGTTGTGGGTAACCTGCGAGAAAGCTCTTCCATTTTTCTCCCCGCCCCTAGACCCACCTCCCAAAAGAGCTGCTTGCAGGATGGTTTGCGGGCTGCCACTTGATTAATTAATATCAAGAACTAATGCTGCCAATCTGAATGCCTACGCCAAGAGTGACCTAAGTCGATAATAATGATGATGATGATCATGACGATGACGAAGGGAAACAAGAGGATTTGGAAGGTTTAGTTTAGCTTAATTTATATCTTAGTTGCCAACTAGCAGCCTCGCGAAGACACGAGGCTGCGAGGCGGCAGCAAGCCGTGCGCGAAAGTTCCAACGCAGAATGAATCTCGAAGCGATGTAACATAAGGTAGTGTAAGGTAACTTTTATGACGCAATGAAGTACGGTAATTCATGAAATTTCTAAACAAACTGTACAGCGCCCGCGTTTGGGTAAAATCTTTTCTCGTTGGCACTTAGTGATGGCTATAACTAGTCTAGTAGATGCAAGCCCTCGAAACAATATCTTCAAACAGAAACAGTCGTGGTGTCATGCAGCCTGTGGCCCATGTCGCCCCATAGCACATGAAAAAGATGATTTATAAGTAAACAACAGAGATGGAACGAGCCAGGGAAATGAATGTTAAGTATTAAGAAAAGGAGAACAATTATATAACAGAGTATCAAGACTTTACATATTTTTTTGTAAACGGCGAAGGCACTGTGATTGCTTGATCTAGCCGTTTAACAAAAGCTTGCAGGCTCGCCCGGTTCCACTGTCTTTTCGCACAAGTTTAAATCAGAAAATGAGGCTGCGTTTCAAAAAAGAAAGAAAAGTTAAACAAACTAAAACAAATACTGAATGTCTAAATTTCCCACTTTTTCCCATGCATATTCTGGTGATTTAGGGCTTTTTAATTACTCAATTGAGTTCTTTTGTTTTGAAGCTGTTGCTTGATGTTTGATAAGAGCGGACAAATTAAAATAAGATATTTTTGTTTCAAATTGTTTAAATGTAGAAAAGAAAAAACTTTCTGAAGAAGAATCAGTATCCACATGGCAACTCCTCAAGATACCAGAAGTTTTCATTGTAGGTATGTTCCACATTTTCATGAACTTTGGACCAGTCTGCGGCCATATAAGATAATAACAACTAATACAATAACTTATAAACTTATCCTGAGTCTCAGTGTTAGAAATAAAAGGATATAAGAATGATAAAAAGAAAGTAGCTTATTGTAGGGATGCTTCCCTGTCATAAACTTGGACCAGTCTGAATCTATACAAGATAATAACTAAAATAATAACTGTTAAACTTATCTAGAGTCTCAGTGCTTGAAATACATCGATATATAGGAACGATATAAGAGAGAAGTTTGTAATGTACCAACGAAAACCTACAATAGAAAAGATCTTTTGAAGAAGAAATATTTAACAATTATTTTCGAGCCCGAATGGGCTCTGAGTCAATAGCCCATTCGGCCTTCGGCCTCATGGGCTATTGACTCCGAGGCCATACATGAGGGCGAGAGGAATAATTGTTTTAGTAAAATCCAACTAGTTGGTAAAAAATATCGAGAATAAAAAACTTTTAGCTAGTTAAAGCTAGATTTTAATCCTTTTTTGCCGCCAAAAGGCCCGCGCTTTTCGCTACTAATGGGGGCTATAACATATAGCTTAGTAGTAGCTTAACCAATCAGAACGCAGCATTGATAATAGACTACTAGTTGGATTTTACTAAAATTATTATAAACCCGTCTCCCTAAAATGTACCCAACTGGGTCTGACCAGTATTCGTTTTAGGCAACTGTCCCGGCGCCTTATGAGTTTTAGGGAAGTGTCCGTTTTACTGATAATCAAAGAAAATGACTGAAGAACGGCATGGAACAACTCTAGGTGCCCTTTAAAGCGCCGCGTCCGTCCTTTATAGCAATGTGTAACTCGCTAAAGGGATTTGGGGCTTCTACCATTAATAGTCAGTTTTGGTTCCGTCTCTGGACGGAGCTACTATAATAGTTCTTGGTTCGGTATACTGCCTCTTAAATGTAATAAGAGTGAATAGCATTTAACCAACTGCCTCGCTTAAGTGGAAGGTGGGTGCCTGGGATACCCAGGGGCTTCCACTGTGGCCAGCCAGCCCCTAGATAGAAAAACTGCCCCCATGGCTGGCAAATCCCCGCAACCCAGCCATGAGCCCCCATTCCAGGCACCCGTCACACTGATCAAACAGTGGAAGGAAGAAAAATAGGGATGGGAGGGGGGGAAGACGCTAAATGAACCGCTCCACAGACCACTGCACAAACGCTCGATGAACAACTCGCAGATCCTAGCCATGTACAAAGCTACCACACACCATGTGAGCCTGCACTTATGGGATTGACCGCTGGATGCCCGCTACGCTCGTGGGCCGCTTGACCGCTAAGCTTGAAGACCGCTTGACCGCTAAGCTTGTGGACCGCTAGACCGCTTAACTTGTGGACCGCTCAACTGCTAAGCTTGTGAACCGCTTGACCGCTATGCTTGTGAATTGCTTGACCGCTAAGCTCGTGGTGGTTAACTTAGTTAAATTACATTTAACCAAATTTAACCAACTGCCTCGCTTAAGTGGAAGGTGGGTGCCTGGGATACCCAGGGGCTTCCACTGTGGCCAGCCAGCCCCTAGATAGAAAAACTGCCCCCATGGCTGGCAAATCCCCGCAACCCAGCCATGAGCCCCCATTCCAAGCCGAAGGGACTCTCCGAGCTGACGCAGCCAGATCGGAGAGGGGAAAGAGGGGCTCAGGGCTGGGGAAGCCCTGGCCCCGAACTACCCAAGTCCCGAGGCACCCTACAAGGACAACTAGGAAAAGAAAAGATACGCAAGAAAATACCTGTCAAGTGAGAAGGCTTGCTACCCCACGATAGTACTGACGGGAGTGTGAATATAGATCTGATACGCATCGCTGGACCATCTGCCAAGTGTCTTGATGAGGTGATCTGGTAAGCCACGAGAGGCTGCTGAAGTAGCAGCGCCAATGCGGAAGCTATGACCGGTGTAGCAACCAGTGACCCCAGCAGCGGAGAAGATAGACTGAATACTGGATGTCAGCCATTGGCGATGTAGAGGGGTGCCATCAGAGAGAAGGAAGAGTGGGCCAGGAGTTGAGCCACGGACGTGTAGATACTGGGTAAGGGCGCGCACAGGGCAGAGATCACGTTTACCAGCACCAATGTAAATATGGCAACCTTGGCGAAAGGGGTCCGTCTTAGAGCACTTAATATGAATCCTGAAGCTGCTAGGATTGACTAGGGAATCTGCTTGGACATCACTGACAGCAAGGTGGATGTCAGGATTGAAGGGAGAGTTGACAGTAAACTCACCAGCACGTAAGAAACCAAAAACCCGAGACAGCAGGCAGCCCAAAAGCATTGTATGGTTGGAGTCAGAGAAGTTCAAGGACTGGAAGATAATGTGCATCAGCTCGATTGTGATGGGTTGGCGCTGACGCTTATTTGAGCCTTGGTGACGTTTGATGCCCCGCAACACCCGCTGTAACCGAAGGCAACCAACCAGCGGAGAAGGATGACCCTCCTCAATGTGAAGGGACCGAATTGCTGAAAGGTAAACCTTTATGGATGAATGGTGAAGAGTATCAGCAAGATGACAGCAGAAACGGATGAGCACGTCTTCACTGGCTGGAAGAGCTGATCCCGAAGGAGATAGGCTATTGTCCTGAGCACAGAAATCCAAGAAGCGGCGTTGGGCAGAAGCATAGACTTTCCTAGTGGAGGGAGCAAGACCCTGAGTCAAATAGAAGTGGTATTTATCTGACAGCGAAGATCCAAGTCCGAGAGGAGCTGCTGCGGAATCTGGGTTGGAATGGAGTCTGCAAGAGGAGCTAGCCGGCGAAAACGCTGAAACTGAAAGCGAGACAGGGAGTCAGCAATGGGGTTAGACTTCCCTCTAACTGGGGAGGCAGTGAAGGAGAAGGAGTGACGAGCTGCCAACAGGGACAGATAGCGAACCAAGGACATGATGGTAGGGGCTCGTGAAGTGCCAGACCGCAAAATGTCCACCACTGAACGGTTATCTGATAGGAAGTTAACCCGTTTGGAGGCCCACTGGGGGCCCCAGAGGTAAGCTGCCACGACGATAGGGAAAAGTTCCTTGTACTCGATAGACTGAGAGACCTGTGATGGGAGCCATGCACCTGAAAACCAGTGACCCTGGAAGACTGCTCCATAACCAAGAGCCCCAGAGGCATCTGAAGAAACCTCGAAGTCAGGAATTGGAGCCCACTGGGGGTACTGAAGAAAGCTGCAACCATTCCAAGACTGGAAAAACTCTTGCCACCAGGCTAGGTCAAGAAAGAACTCTTGATTGAGACGAATCGGGTGGTCATCGCGTCGAAAGGCACATAGTAGGTTAATCATTCGGCGCAAGAATGAGCGACCTTGGGGTACGACTTTGCAGGCATGCTGAAGGTGACCTATTAGGGACTCCAGATCCTTGCGTTTACACCAACGCTTTTGTGACCAATCTTCCAACAAGGCAGTTATCCTATCAAATTTGTCCTGAGGAAGGCGTGCCAGCAGATTAAGAGAGTCCAGTTCAATGCCCAGGATGGTTAGGCACGTCGACGGCCCTTCTAGTTTGTCTGGATGGAGGGGGATGCCAAGCTTAGAAAAACAGTCAATTGACCTGTCCAGATTATGTTGACAAACAGAGGAGCCGGGAGGGCCAAGAGTGTGGAAGTCATCAAGGTAATGCATCAGGAAGGTGACATCGTAGTTTTGCTTGGCCACCCACTCCACTAAGTCTGCTATACATGTGAAGATATATGGAGCTGACCTGACACCAAAAGGCAGGACCATATCAACATAAAAGGCACCACGCCATTTCATACCCAGCAACTGGCGATCTTCTGTATGGACTGGCACAATACGGTATGCATTTTGCACGTCAAATTTCGCCATGAGGGAACCCCGCCCCAGCCGCATTATGCCTGCAATAATGTCATCTACCTTCATGTACTGCAGAGAATAATCCTCGCCCGCAATTCCGTCGTTGACACTGTGCCCCGCAGGGCTAGACAGGTCCAGGATAAGACGCCATTTGCCAGGTTGGTGGCGTTTGGGGATGACGCCGAAACGACTCACGTGGAGGACAGGGAGGGGAGGCTGGGAGAAGGGGCCCGCCACCCTGCCTGACTGAACTTCCGACTGCAAGTAATTGTCAATGACCTGAGGGTTCAGGAGTGCTGAAGCCATATTCCCTGTTGCCGACTTCAGGGAAGTACTGTAATTGAAACCTAGGTGAAAACCATCGCGAAGGCCTTGGACCACATATGCAACTTTGTCGGGGTTAGGATGATGACAGAGTTCATGCTGGAATCTATCCACATTGATGGGAGTAAGCTGAGAAACTGGTCTTAACGGACAAACAGCTGGAGAACACAACGAAGAACTGGAACTTGGCAGACCCTGCTGCTGAGAAGGTAACACAAAAGGAGAACGCAACTCTAACGCTGAAAAATTACCATGAGAACCAACGTGAACAGGAACAAAACTATTTACAGTTGAATTGGCTAGAGGTTGCCTAGCGACGGCGGAGACCCCCTTTGACTGAGAAGGGAGCGGGACCGTTCTCTCCGCGCGGACCGGTGAGGGCAGTGGATGCGGGGTGGTCCCCGTGGCACGATTCACAGGAGTGACGAAACCGACAGCGACCAAAGGGCCAGCGACAGCGCCCGTCGTTCCAGGAGTGGCAATACTGGCTAGACCGGGGATTGCCTGAAGACCCAAGAGGCTCTGATAGTGATGAGGCAGAGGAAGTTGAGGAGCCTGAAGCAGTTGAGGTGGTCACTGGAGATCTGGTGTGAAAGTTGTAGAGGTCTGGGTGCATGCGAGACCAGTCGGTTGAACCTGAGGCTGCGGCTTCTTTTCGGAAGGCGATGTCGTAGTGGAGCCACGATTTGTCAGAAAAAGCGCCTTGCTGTCTGGATGATGAGTAACTTGTACTGATTTAAATCTTTCCAGCGAGAGGGGAGGTGTGGCAAAGAATCATAGAAAAGATTGTGAAGGCTTCAATCCAGGTGATGATGTCTGCTATTTCAATGACCCGTTTCTTCGACCCTGATACCACCAGTTTTCCCTCCAAAAACGCTTGGGGTTCGATTTCTTGAGCTCTGATGTTGTCCGGAAGGAGGTCAGCCAAGTCTACAAAAAAGCCCTGCGGTAATTTTAGAAACAAGCTTAAAGGGGACTGGAGCATAGCCAGGGCCCACCACAAATGCTTTATTGAGGTTTGGAAGCGTAGAGGACTCGGTTCCGGTCGCGCCACCACAAGAGCCCCCAACCACTACAGGCAAGTTGGCGGAGGACGTGGCGGGAAGAGAGGAGACTACCGAAGGACCGCCAAATGAGCTGTACGTTGAAATAAATGAGGGCACAACAAGCGTACCTGAAGACTGGGAGGTAGAGCTAGGGGTACTGGAGCTAGAGGATGCCGGAGACTGCGTAGAAGTCGAAGTCGAGGAGAGAGGTATAGACGCCGCGGCCGTGTTCGAGTTCCCGCCACTGGAATCTCGAAGGGAAGATAGCAGCGGAGGGAGCGATTCCGCGAGAGCTCTTGAAATTGCCTGGGCTAGCGCGTTGGTGTCCGGCAGGGAAACAGGTTGACTTGGCGGAGAAGCCGAGGTGTTAACTGTAGGAGCTGGGGTAGAACCGCTAGAAGAAGGCGAAGACGCGGTAACCGGGGAAGACATCGTTGACAGGCTGTTGTTCGTGGTACGCATCCTGAACGAACGTGACGACCCGCACGCTTTGAAAAATAAATGAAAGAAAAAAGGATACAAGAAAAAGCACACTGTAAGACTGACGCTCCAAAGATCGCTAAAAAGGCGAAAGACGCTAAATGAACCGCTCCACAGACCACTGCACAAACGCTCGATGAACAACTCGCAGATCCTAGCCATGTACAAAGCTACCACACACCATGTGAGCCTGCACTTATGGGATTGACCGCTGGATGCCCGCTACGCTCGTGGGCCGCTTGACCGCTAAGCTTGTAGACCGCTTGACCGCTAAGCTTGTGGACCGCTAGACCGCTTAACTTGTGGACCGCTCAACTGCTAAGCTTGTGAACCGCTTGACCGCTATGCTTGTGAATTGCTTGACCGCTAAGCTCGTGGTGGTTAACTTAGTTAAATTACATTTAACCAAATTAAAAGTCATAGCTATTATCCTAAAAGACATTATGCATTTTGCTGCCATAATTCGCAAAGGCAAAGAATGGTTGTGATGCATTCTCTCTGGTTGTGATGTGGTTAAGACACACAAAACAACATTACATTTCCTGCCTCTCATGAACATTAAGTTATTGCCTTAAACTTTAGCGGTGGCGTTTGACGCTTCAACTAACTATAATAAGCGTACCAGCTATAAGAGTTTCACAATTCTATCTAGGGTGTTTGAGAAGCTTTTTATGGAGAAATTGTCGTATGTGTTTACCCAATATTTTGCTTCCAGTGTTCATGTTCGCTTTTATTTTTCACTGCCGCTCATTTTCACCTCGCTGGCCGCAAGCATCTCTCATTTTCTCACCGCCGCTTTAAATTTCCACGTTTTTCTTCCAACGAATTTTCAATAGCTCGCTTTAGCTCTTTCTCTGTTATCCACGTTAGTGTACACATAAAAAATAACGCCGAAAAAGACACGACTTTTTTCTTTGTAAAAGTCCGGGCGGCCATGTGATTTCCTTCCAAATAACCTTGAGTTGCATTTGGGTTCCCATACCTGTTGATTGAGTTATTTTACATTGGTATGCCTGTGGTGCGGACGGACGGTCGCTCGCTCGCTCGGTGTACGGTCACGTGATTACCAAATTTTCTGGGATGGGTAGACTACCACATTTCCTTAGCTATGGGGCTCCGCCCACGCGCGCGCTTCGCGCTCCGCTATAAGTAACTATATTGGAAAATCATCCAGACGCGACGAGGTCAGTGCGCATGAAGTAAGTATTCCATGTCTAAGGTCACTATATTGCAAAGAATATGATCACGACTAAAAAACAAAATAAAATACCACTGTAACATTTCTCAAAATTGTGTCTGAAAATGCACCAGATTGAATCTCAGCGCATATTCATTATAAAACATTTCCGGTGGGGGGGGGGGGGTATGCCCCCGGATCCCGCTAGGAAGCTTGTGGCATTCGGCCACTCGGGTACCCTGAGCTATAAGGTGATAAGGCTTTTAATTTGGGATTATTTTGTCTTATCACTGGCAGCTATGTGTTATTCTACGGCTGGTACTACTTATAGCTTCTTTGATCCAGTTTTGGGACCTCACCTACAATCGGTAAGATTTTATAATAATAATAATAATAATAATAATAATAACACTCAGTAATGATAATATAACAACGGTTTATTAGCATTCCGTTAAAATGGTTCAGCTATGCTACAGTACTAACTATTGACACTAACTACAACTATGAAAAAAAAGTAGAACTCTAATTTTCATAAATACGTACTGTAAAAAAGGGGGACACACACTAAACTTGCTAAGGGCTACGTAAACCAAATTGAATATGAAATTCACTTTCTCTTCCACTCTTAGCAATATTTAACACTTACAAATGATTCTTTTCATCAAATAAAAACATATTTTGCAAACTTTAAGCAAATTATCACTTTAGAATGATGACACTTGATTTTTACTAGAAGTGAACTTTTTTTAGTCCCTACCCTTTTTGCAGAACTGTAATTACTTATAGTCATGCAAATAAAGGTTTGTTGTTGTTGTAATGTTTTTAACACAAATTTAGAAAAAATAACAGTTTAAAAATTCCTTTTCTCTCGCCCCCTTCTTCTATTAAAAAGTAGAAAAAGGCTTTTATAGTCACTTTTCTTAAACTGAGCTACGGGGCTACATTTTATGTATTGGTGTCTTAAAAGTAATATCGCTTATATGACTCACCCTTAGTTAAGGATATACTTATGTCAATTAAATTGGTTAGGCACAGTGCTGGTGTGATACCACTTTCGTAACGTCTCCGACACCGAAATCAAGTTTAGTACCCATTTAAAAGTGATGTCTGTTTTTGTACCTTAAAATTTTTCCTGGCAGCAGTCTTCATATAGCGCCAATGAACAGCTGCCAGTAGGTGGAAAGATTTACTAGACTACTTTACTAGACCCGAGCAAGCCCACTGATTAAACTGCTTGTCATCCTTAACCTCATGCTCGGCTATCATTGTTTTTCCTGTTATAGATTTGTTAATTTATATTGGGAACTGAACAGAGAGGAGTACAATATATTTGGTCTGAAATCATATGTGTGATTTTAAAACAGGACGAGCGCGCAGTGCGAGTACGATTTGAAATCATAAGTATGATTTCAGACCGAAATTGCACCACACGACGTTCAATTACCACTTAATTACAGTAATTTTGAAATCTTAAAATTCAATGAGTACCAATGCCGGGTTGTTGAAAAATGGAAACAAAAAGCCTATTACATAGATCATTTTATATTTGAAACAAAAACGATGCTATATAGAGCAAAAATGGTACGATTTAGAACAGAAATGAAGTGATTTAGAACAGGTGTGATTTAGAGCAAAAAATAGTGTGATTCGTGAAAAAAATCACGCTGCTGAAAGCCAATCATATTGTAGGGATCACCATCGATTTCAAAAGAGATTTCATAAAGTCTGAAAGCATTTTTCAAACTGAAAAGAAGCTCGTCTTGATCAGGGAAAAATAATAAAAACCTCAGCGTTTATCATTTCTAACAGGACGCCGAACGCTCTAATTAAAAAGTAAACAGTAGTACTGGCAATATTCAGACGAACTATGTTTAATGAACCGTACTTTTGCAGTTTTCAGTCGAACACGAAAAGGGCACTAAAATGGACTATAAGAGGTGTCGGATGGGGGTGGTTAGACAAATTCTACTACAGACATTTTCTGGGCCTTGCCAGTTTGGAATGGAATGAGAGTGATTTATCTTTGGATTTCCGATAGCTTGTTTACAGACGTTTTTCTTTTTTCTTCTTTATCGAAAATTCGTGTGCCCTTGCGGTCACTGAATAAATCCCCCGTGTTTTTTTGTTTCATACGCGCGTTCTACAAACTCTAAAGAGAAAATGGAGGTCCCGTGAACAGGCTAAATTTCCATCTGTTCCGGAAAATGGGCGTTACCATTTGAGCCTGTAAGCTTACTTTTCGACCCTTCCTTGCAAATAGTAAGCGCTCCTCTCTTTACGCTGATATCTTTGCTCATGCGTCTGTTACATGGCAAATGCAATTTTTGACTTTTGAGCATAGTGGAGAGTTTAATATTCGGATGTTCTGTCTTTTAGGCAGTATGCATGAGTGTGACAGACGTTGGCGTGGTATTCTCCTTTTACGCTACAGTCTATTGTGTTCTTACACCTTTCTTTGGATGGATTCTTAAGAAGACCGTAAGCAAACACCACAATTATCTTTTAAGTGCAAGAGGTCGGTCATATTTGTGATCGATCTGGAAAGAAAATGTATAGAAAACCTAGCTGCAATTGCGCAAGCTATAGAAAACCCTAAAATCATTTCGACCAGATTGCGCTGACAACTTCAGGAGAGAACCAGCTTTAATTCATTTATGAAGCTACTCTTTAGTCTTAGTTCACTTTCCTTTTACCCCAAGAAAAAGGCATCCTTTCTTGAGGTACAGTCGGAATCTCTTTTGAGACAGTTAGAGTTGGTTCCAAGTCGCCCAAGAAATAAGATTGGCGGGAACATAATCCTTGAAAGGACCACTTAGTTTCGCCATTATGGACTCTTAGAATTTCAAATAGATTTAAAGGGCAAAGATACTTACAAGAATGTTTAATAAGAACATGATAATAATTCATATTGTCGCATTATTTTACCTCTTTTTAGCATTGTTACCGATTCATGATAACCTGTGGCCTCATCGCCACCGGGATCAGTTACTTGCTACTAGGACCTGTTCCATTCATGGCCTCGATAGTGCCCGCAAAGTAAGCAGAAATCACAGTTTCAAGCCTTGTTCCTTAGTTCGTAGAAAGAGTTTCCTACTCCTGCCCTTAAACGTCATTTCGGGACTAAAAGTCTCAAACAAGTAACGATTTTGAATCTTTTATCAATATTAGGGAACTTAAGCAGCGACGTTTTTGTGACGTGCGTCAGCGGGAAGTGGACTTTTTGCACTCTTGGGCCCGGGGGAGGGGGAGGGGGGGTACTTGGGTTAATGTTTGCTGGGTATGTGCCACTGGCCTCTCAGAGCCCCTACCCCGTCATAGTCTATTTTTTGGGCAGCTATAGACCCCATCTTATCACTTTTTGGAAAATCTAATTTTCGCGATCCCAACTTAGTCACTTTCTATTTGTTTGTACATCTACCTTTATCAATGTGGTTTCAAGCGGCGGAATGTACTACGGTCAATGCGTGCTTATTGTTAAATTTAATAAACAAGAACTTTCTGATTTTTTAACCCGAGAATCTTCCCATTTTGAATCCCTACTCAGCCCAAAAATCCGAAAATTTGCGACCCCATTCTAGAAACTCTATTGAAAATGCAACCCCATTACAGTCAATCCAGTCGTGAAAATGCGACCCCATCCGGCGGCACATCCCTATTAGCCTCTTGTAAGAGAGTACCCCCCTCCCCGGGCTCTTGAACCGTGACTTTGAACAAGCTTTTGGGCAAATCGTCTCTATAAGAGTAAAGAAACCTAACAATACAAATATGGTAGAGTTAAGGCATATTAAAAGAGAAAAATGCTCACTTCCGGTTGACGTGTGTCGCTAAAAAAACGTGGCTGCTTAAGTTCCCTTATAGTCTCTCTAAACCCCATGTTCCTAACATAATAAATCATCTTTACTATTTGGTTAATGGGTATACAAATTTACCATACATCTTTTCTTATCACGAAAAGGCGTTATTCTGTGCTAACAAGCCATGTTATTTCCTTTTACAGTGAGACATGGTTTGTTTATTTGATCATGGGAGCAAATGGCGTTTTTCAGGGAGTGTTTTGGGTCACCATGTTACCAATTTTAAAAAGAACGAGCACGTAAGTATTTTGCACATTATCTAGTAAATATGTACAAGGTCGAAATCGGTTTGTTTTTTCACTGAACAAATCGAAGTTTCCAAAATGAAGCTATGATAAGATAACTGTAATTAGCGGAACTTCTGAAAGTTTCGTTCTACGCGATTGTACGATAAAAAACAGCAGTTGGTGATCTTTCTTTTAATTGCGTGGCTTTTTTAAAGGTTACGCAACCAAGATTGCTCATCTGATTTTGTACCTATGGTGATAAAATTCACATTGTCTGATTGCATTTGTTTAGTTAGTTGTTGAGTATTTGTTACTTTATACACCGAGCCTTTCAAGAAATACCTCTCTTGTTTTACACCAAGTCTCACTAGGAATCTCTCTACGGTTTTAGATTACGTGGGATTCCCGACAACTTAGCGACAAATGGCATTCTATCAGCATTGGTTGTCACCATGACAAATATAGGGTGAGTTGTTCGTTGAAATGTCTGTTTATTTGTTCTGGTTCTGATGACAGGAGACAAGAAGGAAAACTGCAATTAACCTAACGCCTTTGGAGATTAAGGAAAAAGTCCAACTGGGGGAAAAACCATAGGATAGTTCGTCTTAATTCACTCATTGCTAAGAACGCCACTCTAAACCAAATATTGGGGAGGGATACTAGCTGGAGGGTTGCTTCTTTAGGAAGAGTTTTTCGCGGGATTTTTCCTCTAGGTTGGATGTCGAGTAGGTCCGAGAGGTAGGATGGTCCGAGCTTCAGGTAGCATAGTCTAATTGAGATGGATTTGGGAGTTTGTTTTGAGTTTTCTCTAACAAGACCCCATCTTTCTGTGTTGCTTATGTGTAAATATGCAAAAGGCAATTCATGAGGCGAAACATTCAAATGATGATTAAAGGTACTGCTGCGTTTACTAAGTAAACTTTTAATTTAACCTAAATATGGATTGGAAAATTATTTAACAACAATTAAACGTGTTTAGTTGGTGTGAAATACCATGATGCATGGTGTGAGGGACTTGGCTTGCTGCCACTGACAGCACTAACAACGACGTGCCATACAAATCTGAGGCCGCTGAGACTGAATTCTAAAGTCAAGGTTCCAAAGTCTGAAGTTCGAGATCTAAAGTATAAAGTCAGAAGTCAGAAGTCCGAGGTCTGAATTCTGAAGTATGAAGACTAAAGTCAGAAGTCAGAAGTCTGAGAAGTGTGAAGTTGGAAGTCCATTCCCCGTTTTCGTAGGAAACATAGCAACCATATCATATAGATAACTCGACCAATCATATATATAACTCACAATACTTGTTTATTTTGGAAGGTCAACTGTGACAACACATTTTTCTGAAATACCCTCTTAGTTGTGCACTGAATGCTATCCTTATAACCAACAATTTCCTGATCTCCAATTACAGAGTCACGATAGGACCCACTCTGGCAGGGATAATGGATGAGAAATTAGGATTTTCTTGGGCCGCAACGGTAAGATTAGCTTGAGTGACAGGAGTCAAAAGCGGAAAGGTGTCGCAAGGACAACGAAAACGTGAAGGAAAATTAACGCGCGATGGAAATTTGTTCTCTCCGTTCCTTTTGCGGTTTTCGTCTTGTCTCCCCTCCCTCCCCCTTTACGCATGCAAGTCTTACACTACGATAAGGTGGATTTGCATTATTGAATTAAAAAACTAAGGAGGAGAGTTTGGAGGCAAATTTCGCATTGAAATGAAGGATAAAGAAGTATTATTTCAGAAAGCAGTCCCAAATCCCTTACTGAATTCCTAAAACGAAGTCTCTGCTACAGTGGGGCATAGTTGTTGCAGCTCCCATGATGCCAGAGCGACTAGATCCCTCACTAAGTTTAAAAATGTAATCAATTGCCATAAGGATTACATCTTACTGGACCACATCTCGCCTTCGACTTCGTAAAAGAAAGAGATCTGGGTACGAGATTAGTTTATTAATTTAGATGGCCCATTGTGACTAATGTTTTTACCGTGTCTATACAAGAGAGCCGAATAATTAAACTTGATTATCCTCTCTTGGTCCATGTACTGAGTGTATGTATGCATTATGTACAAAGGGGGAACGGAGGGTGGGGGCAGGGTATGGGAAGAGACACAGATCTCATATAGACTGCTAACATTCCCTCGGGATTGTCCCGCAGGCGATTGTTTGTCGTGCGAGCGAGCGAGGCAAAAGCACGCAAGAGAAGGCGGAAAGTGTGTGTTTACCTCGTTAGCTCTTTAGTTAGAATGTTCGGCAGTACAGTCAAACAGTTTAAACAGACACCAATGTCCAGAACCAATTGAGCGGTGTCCGTATAGAGGTATAGAGAGGTTAGGGACTGTCCGTAATAAATGTATCAAATATTGCTTTCTTCATGGATCTGTGCGTCTTTGCTTGACAAAAACCTAATGTGATGCATTAATAATCTGCTTTATCAGTTCATAAAGTAGATGTAGATGTAGATGAAACACTAAGCTTTTCGAGATGTCAACCAAAACTAACCATTAATGTTTACCTCTGTTGTAGATTGAGGGCCTTATTTGTATTTTCCAGGTATTATATACTGTTTATTGCTGTAAGGCTACATAAATCGAGTCACAAGTCCAGAAGCAAGACCTCGGTCGTCCAATGCAAAACGCAAGACACAGATCGTTCCAAACTACTTAAACAGAAGCATCACTACCGAATATACAATACTTTTCAACCTGAGCTTTTTTTCCTCATAGGTCTTATACAAATTTTTTTAAACTTAATTCTACAGTCCACTGCAAGTATACCGAAATTTGCTTTGCTTTGACCGGGTACTTACAAGCAATTGAACTGCTATTTTGTTTGGTTTTTATTTTAGGCTTTTCTGTATTTCTTGGTTATTTTGTTTGAAAAAGTCTCGAGAAGGTGAGTCCATTATTTTTGTAACAGTCTACAAGAAGTTTTTTTGCCTTAAACGGGCGGCAACGGTTAAGAAAAGCCGTCTTGGTAGGGAGTGCAGGTTGATGCAAAGGGAGTTTTCTTTCAACGTTACTTGCATCTGTCTTGAAATTGTTTGTTAGCGAACGCCTACTAAATGTTAAGGTTGATCTTTTATAGTTCTTTCTTCAAGCAACCTAGGGTTTGCATAGTGTATTTTCGATGAAAACGCGAGTGACAAGTTCAAATCTCTAGAATTTCTTTAATTTTAAGTAAAGTCATAAGATGATGATCTAGAACTGGTCCTGGTTTTCGATCAATCTGAACTCAAGAAGCTTGGGATCAAGAGAAGCGATACAAATAAATGCACATAAGAGAACATTATAAGGAGGAAAGATGATAGCCTTGCACAAAGATGGAGCAAAATTCTAGTTTTCAATTTTCTATTCACAGTTTTAGTTTCTTCGTAACTGCATTTGAATTCATTTTGTTTCAGATATGAAGCTTCTCCAGAAGCAGATAAAGAAGATGAGGAAAAAAAGTCTCTGTTGGAACTTGATTCCGACTAAATACTCCAAACTGTCTGAATCCTACCATGTTCTATTTAAGGCCGATGTAGGTGGTCAATACAAACGTCAAAGCCTAGTCAGATGTCCTCGAAACTTAGCTACTTGGACCTAAAATATCGAGGAACATTTTAAAAGTTACCACGACGTGTATGTCATAACGTTTCTATGGCAATAGACGTTAGACAGCCATGTTTTCTAAAACTTGTCATCAGTTTATCAAATTTATGATTATGACTATATTAAATGCAATTAAGGCTTTTCTAGTACTAATTTAAGAAAAACGAGAATTTTGTAATGATAAAAATTAAAGGTATTGAGTTTAGCAACGATGTTCATCTCTCACTAAACTTCATAGCTGCCACACTATTTCCCTTTTAGAACGTTGTTCTTCAAAACAAAAATCAAGAATTTGATACTGCTATCAAATAATCTATTCTGCAAATGTTGTAAGCATATCATTTTTACCAAAATGAGTTTTCGGTATTTTTTTTAAATGAGAACAAGATTTACTACAAGCTGGAAGTAAGGTCTTATGGACTAAGAAAAAAGCGGGGCTGATATGCTAGCAATATTCTTTGCAGAAAAAAATCTTAATGGTCTTTTCAATGGCGTTGAGTGCATTTAAAACACTCTAAAGGCAAAACTGCAGAAAAATGCTGTTATTTGTTACAGATGCATGTCTGATAGGAAGTTACAGTTGCACCTTTCATTCCGCGCATGACGTCATTACTGTTTTTAAGGGAGTAATCAATATTTATCACTAGGGGGGGTCAGCCTCGTTCCCAGTCGTCCTCGGCGATTTCGGCTGTGACGACACCTGTCAAGCTTGTCGCACTTGGTTCCAAGCCTCCTCCAGTAACTCAGATAGCGCGAACTGGCCTGTGTACGAGGCTGCAGGGGTGTTAGAGGATTTGGGGCCAAACAAGGTAAAATAGGGCCGATCTCCCTTTAAATATTGTTTCACTGGGGTGATCTCCCCTCATAACTCTTGATTACTTACGTCATCCCCCTAAGTTTTCGCACCATCTTTTGACATTTATATTTACTTTTATGGGTAGGCCTGTACGAGAAACTACGGCTTTCGGGCGGCTGTTTTCTCTATTGTTATCCTGTAATAATACATAAACAGATGAAGAATTAATGAAACCAATCAGATGCTATTTGATTCGGATTTTGAGAAGATAGGAACGCAGGCAGTGAAGAGACTTTCCTTAGTTTCTCTAACTTTAATTGTCTTCATGTCATATTGAATTTGATTTCACCTGAAATAACCAATCGTAGTAAAGTGCTTGCTTTTCAGGGATGCAGAAGTTTTGCAGAACAACCTCTACGTCTGAAAAGGTATTAAAAAACGTAATGAAATCTCCTTGATACGGACAACAAACGCCATTGATCAACTGAAGTGTCCGTATTGTAGGTATAGTTATTGTATAAAGTTAAATACTTTTTTGAATCAGTGTAACTGTGAGTAAAAGAGGTGTCCGTATTTTAGAGGTAGAGATTTTCTACAGTTTGGCATCTTTAGGAACTTAATAGAAACTGTACATAATAGGGATGTGTCGTGATTATGGAGAAAGCGATTGTACAAAGTTTGGTATCTTTAGGACCAAGTGAACTGTCCTTAATAGGGAGGTGTCGTATTATAGAGAAAGCGATTTAGACTACGAGTAGTCCCCCATTTTTCCTCAGAGATAGTAGAGCAAGGGAAACGCGAGCGCGCGTGAAAATCACCCCACGCGAGAAAAGGCGACACGCAGCGGGGTGATTTTCGCGCGCGCTCGCGTTTCGCACGCTCTACTATCCCTGAGGAAAAATTGGGGACTACTCGTAGTCTAAAAGCGATTGTACAAAGTTTGGTATCTTTAGGACCAAGTGAACTGTCCGTAATAGGGAGGTGCCGTGATTATAGAGGAAGCGATTGTACAAAGTTTGGTATCTTTAGGACCAAGTGAACTGTCCGTAATAGGGAGGTGTCGTATTATAGAGGAAGCGATTGTACAAAGTTTGGTATCTTTAGGACCAAGTGAACTGTCCGTAATAGGGAGGTGTCGTATTATAGAGGAAGCGATTGTATGATGTTTGGTATCTTAGGACCAAGTGAACTGTCCGTAATAGGGAGGTGTCGTGATTATAGAGCAAGCGATTGTACAAAGTTTGGTATCTTTAGGACCAAGTGAACTGTCCGTAATAGCGAGGTGCCGTGATTATAGAGGTAGCGATTGTATGATGTTTGGTATCTTAGGACCAAGTGAACTGTCCGTAATAGGGAGGTGTCGTATTATAGAGGAAGCGATTGAACAAAGTTTGGTATCTTTAGGACCAAGTGAACTGTCCGTAATAGGGAGATGTCGTATTATAGAGGAAGCGATTGTATGAAGTTTGTTATCTTTAGGAGCAAGTGAACTATCCGCAATAGGGAGGTGTCGTGATTATAGAGGAAGCGATTGGATGAAGTTTAGTATCTTTAGGAGCAAGTGAACTGTCCGCAATAGGGAGTTATGCTATAGAGAAAGTGATGGTATAAAGCAACAGAGGATAAAGTGTCCTCTCTTGTATAAAGTTTTCCAGCTTTTGGACCAAATAAACTGTCCGTATAATGAGTTTTGGTGAGGTCCACTGTACCAACAGAAAAATTTCTGAGAAACAGTTGAAATAAACTGTCCGTGGATCTGTTCCTGAAAATATCTGTTCTTCATACAAATTTTGTGGCTGGGAGGTCCTTGGAAGGAAAGACCTGTCAGACTGAATACCAACAGGGTTGCTTAAAAGATCTGATCCCTATGAAACTTCCCAGTAAGTCATGTTGCAGGTTGTAAGGTTGCTGGCTGGGAACTCTTCCATCAGTCTTGCTGGGAGTGAGGAACAGATAATTTTTTTCCAGCAATCTCCCAAAATGCTTAAAATAGTCTCAGAAATCTTTATTCACGCTTCGTTGTTGTTTTTAGGTCTTTTTCTCAAAATTTCCCGTTGGGTGCCCCTGCATTTCCGATGATGATAATTACCAACTGAATTATTATAAAGGCAGAGACATGGTCACCGTAAGGAAGTGTCGAGAAATCTTGGATTCTCTCCGACCGTAAACTGTGATTTAAGAACCGACGTGTCAAGCGCTAACCTAACCTCAGAGCGAATGAAGGATTTTATATGAGTTGAGTTTGTCGGTTTCCGGCAGAACCTTTGTTATAATTATTCATAATCAGTGATTTCAACTTTGTAAATATTCATAAGAACTTTGTTTTGGGAATTTATGCTCTAAACATTATTTACAATAGTGAATTAGTAATCTAGTTTCTCGTTCACAAATAGCTCCTGAAAAAAACTAAGAGGTTGATTTGAATGATTACTTAATACTTCATGGTACTAAGGGCTCAATGTCACGAGCATATAATCTTTTCTTCGCCTTTTGTCTTTACCAAAGACAAGCATGAATATACAAAAGGATTTTAACTTTTCATAATTTCCGTGTATTCACAGACAAATTTGACAGACGACAGAGCCTTTATAATTGTAAATTCTTTTCGGTTGCGTAAGTTAAGTTTTACATATATTTAGGATTTATTTAGATCAGTTGATTGATTCCAAAAATAGCGCTTAACTGTATTGAAGTTTGATCTACGTTCAATGAATTTATGTTAATGGATTCAGCTATATATATGATGTATATATTTTCATTTATTATTGTTATTTTTTCGGGTTCGTAGGAAGCTCGTGGAGTTTTTTGGGATTGGTTCCTACCCAGGTTTCCTCTATTTTTTTCCCGTCTCTTGCGGTTTTTTTTTGTAGGGTTTTTTCCTGGTCTCTGAGTGTCTCTTGTAGATACGTATCCAAAACTCCGTTAATTTTCCTTGATGTATTCTGTGATGTATTCTTTCGCAATTCTGTTTTTTAGGCTCCGTTGGTCTTCAATAAAGCGTAGCGCCCTAGTATGGCACAATAAACCAGACATGTTGTTAGTTGTTTTTTGTGTGTTGTTGGGAAGCCTGTTGTTAAGATAAGGGTTTTGGCGCATAGCCTATGAAAGATAGGTTTGCAAAAATGCAGCTGAACAAAAAAAGTGGTCGCTTACGGGAGGTGGTCGCTTGCGAGAATCAAACTGCATGAGGTCTAACTGCATTAGTCCGGACACATCTACTTCATTGGAAAGAATGTGTTGCGTGTATTTTTCTACTGTAAGTTAGGATATATGAAAATCCATGTTGTTTCTAAAAGTTCTTCTCATACTCTGAGAAGCGTAGTACATACAAGATCAGACCGTGACCATCGTAGGACAAAACAATAGGAAATTATAGAACCGTCATCCTAAAAAGTGGTTGTGGTTGTTACAAGCAATGGTTATGCTCTTATTCCATGGTCTTCTTTTGTTTACCTCTCGCTATTTTGCGCTATTTGTTAGTATCTGTTTCACGGTTCATTAGTAAAATCACTCTACGTGTCTGAGATTTGAAATATAAACTAAAAATTCAGTCTCAAAAATTAAATACTCTGTTTGTTTTCGAACACGTAAGAAATAACAGAAAGCAATTTAATTTGTCGACATGATAATAAACAACGGGGCAAAGAATATAAGCAAGATGTTGAGGTTACTTTACGAATGTTAGTTTATTACAGCATTGCCGTCTTCAGATTTAGCGGGAAATAAGGTAAAATTACTTTGCTCCACTGCGCACACGATACGTAACACTGATTTTGGCACTAAGGGCGAATTCATGATAATTTCATTGTCCTTCAAGGATTGTCATTTGTGCATGGGTATCATGGTCTTCTTTCAAACAGACAAATATTTTCTATGCATAGCAAGCCGGCAAGTTATGTGCCTACAAGGTGGGTAGATCTGTTAAAACTGGGAACGTATTATTTTACCTAAATGCTCTTAATATTTCGAAAGACACGGTGGTGCGAAATGCTGATCCAGCCGGTCCTCAGTGTTCGCCGAAGTTCAAGCGGTAAATTTTTGAAGACCAGCCTAAATCTGTAACGAATTCTTGTTTTCAGTCATTCCTTGATTTTTTGCCATTAACCACAAATACAACAACAGTATACAGAAATTTATAATACATCAAAGATAATATACACTTTTCTAACTAAATTCTCCTGATTTAAAGTTTAAAGTGGTAATGACAAGGAAGCCTATATAGAATCCGGGGGTTTATAAACTATAGGCTTCCTGGAACTATATACTTAGCCTGGAGAATTGTTGAACTTATAACCAGCGAAGAATCATTCCTTCGTAACATCCATGAAATAACACTAGCCTGAATAAATTGGCCTTCTCTCAAGCCTGGGGCTAAGTAACTTAAACATCCCCGACGAGTATACTAAGGTAATAATTTACTTGTGTTAAGTGATGCAGTTCTTAACAAATACTGATCGGGACATAGATTTGCCTGTGTCTAACATACCCGAAGCTCGGAATTTTTTTCTGAGCTTTCTGGTGTTAGAAATCTCCTTCTTCCAAAAAATACGCTAGGAGAAGTACTTAGCCTGTGTCTCACTTATACACTGTGGCACTGCCATGGGGCATAAATTTGCTTTTGTCTAACTATTTTTTAATATACTGAGGCGTTAATTTCCGTGTGTTTTACAAACACATAGGTAGGGGCATTAATTTGCCTCCGTTTATTTCATACCGGGGCATTACTTTGTATGTGTTTAACAAATGGTGGAAACAGTGTTTACGGACTTCGAAATAGGTCTAAAGAATAACCGAAGTCTCGGTATGTCAACCAAACTATTTGATGGAAGTTTACTATTACTATTACTATTACTATTACCCACTATTACTATTACTCCGCGGGCGCGCTTTGCGCGCGGAGCTCCGCTATTAAACTTAAGAATTCTGTCCATGAATGTACGTTAGAGGTCCTTAGCAGAACCATAGTTAATGGAATGGAATAGCCGAACGGCATTTGACTTCTTCTAGATATGATCGTCCTTGATTGGTCTAAAATTTGAAGCGGCTTCGATGATTTTAACCAGAACTCTGTCGTAGCCAGCTCGATCACAACCACTCCATTTCTTTTGTCATATCTTAGACAGAGGACCGGATGGAGTAAGATTGGAATAAGGTACATCAACCATGATATCGAGAAGTATAAAGCGATACAAATAGAGGAAAGGAAGAATTTTACGGCTAAAATCTCAATGTAGTATAAAATGATCCCTATTTGTACATATTTTTTGCGATCCGTGATCCCAAAATTTGGGAATTTTTTGATCCTTTCTCTTCAAATAACTAGAGTAAACTCGTCCAAAGAGAGTTAATCCCACTCTAGACGTAGGAAGTGATCCCTGTTTGATGGGAGTGGTTCTAACGAGTGACCTGACCATTCACATGAAAATGATGAATAAAATAAAATTTTGATTCGACTCGAGGGATAACGTCGATAGCAATAGATAGTACTATATAACAAGCGATAATCCTTAGGAGTATATGGTTCAGACATATGTTCAGATATTCTGCACATGACGATGCAGACACTCTAAACCTTTTTGATGAAGGCTTTCAAGGTCGAACTGCTCTTTCATTATTTACTGTAAACGCTCTGAGCCAACTTCCTTCCGTTGACATGAACTGGACCAATCGTTATAAGGCGCGTAAGAAACCCTTAAGGTCTCGGTAAAGGAAAACGAGGTGCCCAAAGAAAAAAATTCTAGTCGCGCCAGTATTTTCGCTACAAAGGCAAGTTATATATCAAATTAAAGCTAAAAGACTAAATTACCTTATAAAATATTTTATTTCATCGAATTTCAAAAGGCGCTTAAGTTTTTTGCTCTCGAACTTAGAGGTATCGAGTTTACTGCTGAAGCTCTAACCCTTTCGCGTTGTTAAATATTCACTTTCTTTTTATTGCATCTGATTGACAGATAAAAGACCTAAAAAAGGGTGTGAGGAAATTTGCATATGTCTCGTATTAGGGGAATTATTACATTTCAAACTAAAAAGTCGAATCTCGAGCACGATTTACGCAAAGAAACTGACATAAAATGAGTTACAAAGGGAAATCGGAAAATTCCTCACACCCTTTTTGAGTCTATATCATTATCCATCATATCTGAAAGTTTCAAAGCGATAGCTTAAAACCTGTCCCGACTGGAGGTCGGAGAATTTTGATTTTTGCGTCTAAAATAGAGTGAGAGAAAATCAGCTCTAAAGATTTAGCGCGAGGTCCACGCTTGGCTGGTTAGCTCAGGAAAGGCTCATTTTAGAAGGGTTAAAAAGCACTTTCTGATTTTCTTTTTCTGCCAAAATAAAATTTAGGACCCACTCATGCCAAAAATCCAAAAAAAACAAAATCGAGCAATGTACTAAAATTTTCATTTACCGAGACCTTAAGAAACTCGCCTATCAGAAACGCTCACATATGTCCCTACGTTTCTGCTGCATATCAGAACTAGCTTTTGTGCACTAATTGGCAGAAGGACTATAACAATGGTTTACGCGATACGTGGGCCGGCTGCAACATAGGCCAGAACGTGTGCCATCACATACGCAAGGACTTATTCTCATGAAATGTACTTTTAAATGCCAGGATAAAAACTGATCCGTGTTTCTGGATTTAGTAGGTGTAAATCCTTGGGGATAGATAAAACAGCGCTTCGGTATGTGCCGCCCTAAAGGGTATGGTTTTTAAGCCGTTTACGGGTATAGATTATGCCCTATTCTGGTCTGAAATCGGGTATAGCCTTCCACGGAGCCAAGAGAGTGTATAATCGTATTTGCCAATTTCATCTTCGAATGAACAATAAAGAAAGGATTCAGAAGGGGTAATAACCAAAACGTATCATTCGAACTGAATTTTTTTTTGATTGGCAGTCTAGGTGAGGTCTGAAAACGGGTATTGATTTTAGAGAACATGTCTGACTGAGAAAAGGGGTGCAAAATATAATTTTTTGGTCTGACGATTGGATCAGGATTTTGGGAACCGGAAGGCACACCCCTACCAAGAATTCCTAGGAGTACCCCTTGGTCGCATACCGTGTAGTACTTACTCTGTGTTTGTAAGACTTTCCGCATGACTGGGACGATAGGAATATTGATTAAACAAGATCGGATAGTTAAGTGATTGTCTAGCAAAGCACAGCGATTAAGTCAGCGAAGATACATGCATTTATTAAGGCTCCCTTTACAGAGCTTTTCAGTCACAGATTAGTTCAGAAGCAACTTCGTCTCTGTACGTACTGGAGAACACTGTTCGTTCGTTTTTTTTTTTCCAAGTTTCCCCATAGACAGAGGCAATGCCAAAAGGCTTGTGCGTGACATGAGCGCACACCAAATTTCAATGACCAGCGATTTTGATGAATGAAAAATGCGATGCGACCTTAGAAACTTACTTATTCAATTAGACATGCTGCGCCAGATTGATATTCAAGTGGTTGTTCCAGATTAGAGCTGTGTGGCCAGTTTAAAAAACATCAGTGCTGTTGACTTGGTAGGATTTAACACGACTTTTTGGATTCCGAGGTGCGTTTTAAGGTGAAATGTTCAAAATCGTTTTGATCCCGGATTTTTCTTCTGGGCCGAGTTGTTCAAAGCTGGGTTAAGATAACCCAGGGTTAGATCGAAATTTGAATTCAGATATAAAGCTTAAAAAGCAAATTCAGTTTAATTCTTTTTGTCAACAATTTGATGATTGGCTACTCTAAAAAGAATAGACAAAATTGTCTGAGAAAATGCTTTTGATGAAAAGAAAAAGAGACCCGGGTTAAAATTTAACCCCGGGTTAGCGCTAATTGGCCTTCGAACAACTAGGCCCTGGGCCCGGTTGCATAAAACGCCCGTAACAGTTACGGGTATACGTACGTGCACTCGTAACTTAAGTCAGTTGCATGAAATCACTTAAGTGGTCCACTTAGGGATTTCACTTAAGTGGCTGCATTTACGATTTTCGTAAGTATCCACTTGAGTGTCATTTATGCAACAGAAATTGCGGGTGTTGCATAAAACCCTTTTCACGGGAAAATTAGCACGTAAATTTACGCGACCTATGTAGGTCCCGTATCCTGAGAAGTGAAAAAAATTGTATTTTCTTTACGTAATTCCGTTCTAATGCGCTTTGTTAACCTCTGATGTATAATTTAAAGCCGTAGTTAAGAAAAAAGAAGAAAAACAAACATTTCCAATGGATATTGAAGTAAAATAAACTTTATTTGAATGAGAGGCTTAAAACGGTGTTCGAAACGACTTGACACTTTCTTTACACTCACCGATGCTTAACTTAATTTAAAAAAATAGAGTGGGTCAAATTAATAATTTAAAGTACTATAACAAAGTTACGTGTGCCCTTAAGTGAGCCCGTAAGTTACCACGTAAAACAGAAACTTACGAGAGTGCTAAGTGCGTTCCATGCAACACCCGTAAGTGTACCCATAACGGATTCGTAAGTGACATACTTAAGTGGGCACTTAAGTGCAAGTTTTATGCAACCGGGCCCTGATCTCTAATCCCATGGCTTTGATCCCCGTTCCGGGCTTCTGGGCCCGGTTGCATAAAACCTACACTTAAGTTAGGTCACTTACGAATCCATTATGTGTACACTTACGGGTGTTGCATGAAACGCACTTAGCACTCTCGTAAGTTACTGTTTTACGTGGTAACTTACGGGGTCACTTAAAGGCACACGTAACTTTGATATATTACTTTATTAATGACTCCCTCTTTTTTTTAAGCTAACCATCGGTGAGTGTAAAGAAAGTCTTAAGTCGTTTCGAACACTTTTAAGCCTCTCAAAAAAATGGAATTTGCATGCAATCGTTATTTTTCTTCAATGTCTACTGAAAATGATAATTCTTCTTTTTTCACAACCTCGGTTTTAAAGTGTACATCAGAGGTTAACAAAGCGGATTAGAACGAATTACGTGAAGAAAAATTCCTTTTTTTCACTTCTCAGTAAAAGATCTCGTTAACTTTAGTAAAAACAATAACGATACGGGATACATAGGTCCCGTAAATTTACGTGCTATATTTCCCCTAAAAAACGTTTTGTGCAACTCCCGCAATTTCTGTTGCATAAACGACACTTAAGTGAACACTTACGAGAATCGTAAGTGCAACCACTTAAGTGAATTCCCTAAGTGGACCACTTACGTGATTTAATGCAACTCAATTAAGTTACGAGTGCACGTACGTGTACCCGTAGTTGTTACGGACGTTTTATGCAACCGGGCCCTGATCCCTGATTCAACCCACCTGACCCCTGAACCCACACACCTCGTTACGACCCTGAAATTTGCCAGCATTTTTCCTGTCTCACTCCTCCACCCCAACTAACGCCGACCTTGTAGGGTTGTTGTAAAGTCCTTTTAAATTAAAGCGCTTTAAAGGTGTATTTAACAATGAACGATTAGGATGGAAGTTGACTGATACTTGAAAAAGTGCCGCCGAAGTTCTCTTGTTTAACTAGTGTTGTTTAGGAGAACTCAATCAAAAACATTGATTATAGTGTGCCCAACCTTGGAGAGGGATAAGTTGTCTTTTTCCTTGTTGTTCGGGGGTCATTTTGGGCATCAGCGACTGTACGTTTGGCGTCTTTTACACCAAAGTATGGGGATAAGTGATCCAAGTCGGCATCGGATACTTCCTTTTTGCAATATGCAGCATGACTCAATCTACTGAACAGAATTGCATTTTGTCAGCATCAGCGTATTGGAAACCGTGCTCCTTCCATCTCTAGATTGTCCATTCGTTCATACCAGATCCAGTACTCCGAGCTCATTATACCAGATTTTCAGTTGCAGCTTATTATTATGCCCAGAGTTTTATGCTCAATCAACTACTTTTATCTTTTTCTACAAGTGGTGCAAAATTACTTATTTTGCCATTGTTAATCTGGTGCTATCTAGTTTTGCCTTTCTCTTATTCATTTGTTTCTCGATCGATCACCGAAGTTTGAACTTTGCCTTTTTATTGATTAACAATATATTGTTACCCACCAAAAATTGCCCTTCTTGTTGTGGGTATCATAAACTGTAAGCTGTTGTTTTCAAGTGAAGAAATTATTTTTGTTTATTTGTTAACCACTTTGGCTAGATCATAGGATCGGGTCGGGGAAGAAAACATCTCAGTGACTATTGCATTATTGACTTACATACATATATATTACATAATTTAATTGATACTGCAGGTTAGAAAATACTGTCAACTAATGAAAGCTGATGTGGACCAAAGAGATAGCCAAAAGGCAGAATCATCTTAAAGCCCAACAAAACAACAAAAATACGACAAAAATGGCTACTAGAAGCCTGAAAAGTGGTGCTGATGTGAAAAGGAATGAAGCCGTATCATTGAACGAAGAAAATGCTCCTCTACACGAAACTCCTTCTCAAATACAACACAAGACTAAATCTACTGTCGTCAAGATCGCTCTCTTGACCACATTATGCCTCGAGAACCTCGTTGTGTTTGGGGCGATCTCAGTGCTAGCGCCGTTCTTTTCTACAGAGGTAGGTATATGTAGAAGATGACCTTATTTGATTCTATAGAAATTTATGCCAGTGAAGTGGAAGAGATTCACACTTAGGAAATTTGTGGGCTTAAAGAGAAGTTTTTCATACAGTGGAGTTCAGTTGTGGTGACTTACCCACAGAAGGTATTCGAAAGTATTCAATATAATCACTAAAGTGTTCACTTATTTTTTGTGCTCAACAAAACCAGTAAGAGTAACGGATGAATGATAGCTGCATGATCATCGCTACAGTTATGTTTCCATACGTTTTCACCCTGTCCTTAAACTCACCTCACCCCCACCCCCACCCCCACCCTCACCTTTGGTGTTACCCTTACCCTCGTTTTAGCAACTGCGCCGCTATTTGGATTTCGGATATTGTTTACCATAAAACTTGGTGGACTATAGCATGGAATTTCTTCAAGAGTTAATCATTTGAGAAGCTACTTCAAACACTGGAAACAATGCCTTATATGGAACTAGTACTCCGAACCTCGAAATAGGTTTTCAAACTCCTTTCTTGATGTAAACGTGAGCTGTAGTTAACCGGTATTACTGAACAATTTTATTTTAGGCGCTGCACAGAGGAGTATCGGGTTCTGTGGTTGGAATTGTTTTTGGAAGTTATCCACTAATAGTTGTCCTTTCTTCCCCAATTATTGGAAAGTTGGTTGGTATCAGTTATTATTTTCAGATTGATACAATAAGCCTGAGATCATTGTACATTATTAAAATGGGGGAGGGAACAATGCAGGTATCTCTCGTTTATTACCTCTATGACAGTGTGTAAGTGAAATTCTAGGCCAAGACGTTTAAATGCGAGTTTCGTTTTTTCGTTTTTTGCGGGTCCAGTTTTAGAAGCTTTTAGCGGGTCACTATGGTGTAGAAGCGTTGGCGGTTAATATCTTCGCTTTCTTTACAACTAACGGTTAATTTCTCTCCATTTCGGTTAACAGACATTTCTAAAATTGTCAACAGTTTAAAAAGTTAAAAATTAATTTTAACTATAGGAAGTTTAACTGTTAATGCTTAATCCCAATGAGATCCTCATATATTTTAGGTTCTTTTTTAAGAAGCCCTCTCCCTCCTCCAACCCCACCCTCACTACCTCCACCGCAAAAACCGTTATTTCCAAATTCCAGTTTGATCAGGCAGTTGAAGAACACAGGTTTGTCAGTCACGAACGAAGACCGTTAATTTCGCATCACTCAGTCGTAAATAACTGGCATAGTAGGGAAAGGGGGATCAAGGTGCGCCCTTTCGTGCCCCTTAATCCCTGCCGCTTCTTTCCCTTTCAAACAACAGTCACGCAAGTTCAGTAGAAGAATAACGTACATTGTTATTTGTTGTTGTTACAGTGCTTACATGTTAAATAAAAGTGTATACCACATTTAACAGGTGTCAAAATATGGTCCTCGTCTTGTTTTTATATGCGGTATTATTGTTGGCAGCTCTTCCCTGTTTTTATTTGGGTAAGTTATCATTGTAAAATGGAAACAACTGTTAGGTGAAAATTAAAGGTAACATTAAACATTTAAGCACCAGCGATTTCACTCAGAGATGTGACTGTAATTTAATTTTGGTTTTGTTCAAAATGGGGCACTCTATAGAGAGGGGAAGAGTGACGTCACGTTACCAGGGTAACCAACTTTCTGGATGTCAACAATCTTTCTTGACAGAGACGGCCATTGGCATTGTCGAACGATGGAAGAAAAGTTTGGGCTATCGCTTTGCTCCTGATTGCAATCATGCAAAGAATAGTCATGCATGTCAATGTTTTCGATTTTTTTTGCCATATTTGCAGGACCACGGTTTGTAGCAATCCATTCATTTTGCTACCATGGGAACGTGACGTAACGACTTCTTCTCTCTATTATTCTACTACTAAGGCGAGTTTTAACCGCTAAAAAACGTAGGCAATCAGCATTTTTGTCTATGCTTTGACTAGAATAGCTAGAAAAAAACGCATCGTGTTAACAAATGCCCTTTTCTTGTGTTCATAGATTGGGTGAAGTTATTCATAATGCAGTGGCATTCACGACAGTAAGTCTTTTTCTCAGGATTATGTCCGCTATCGCAGGAGCAGCCCTCCAAACGTCCAAATATGCCATAGCAATGGAGGAGTTTCCTGATGTGTTGACAACAGCTGTGGTAGGTTATAATGACTGCACGAATCTTATGATTAGTTTGTTGAAGAAGAGCCTGTGTGGGAACAGTGGATTTTGAAATCCTTTTGTAAAAAAAATATTTAAACTGGGATTTGGGTTTAAGGATTCTGACACAAGAACAGGAAAGTTATGTAATTCCCAATAACTATTTTTATTAACTTCATCACCATCATCATCATTATCATCAGCGTCATCATTATTATCACTGTTGTTATTATTATTAATTATCATTATCATTATTATTTTTTACTATTTTACTAACTGAACAGGTTGTATTGGAAATCTATTTCTCAAATTCTAATGCAGGGTATAACAGAGAGTTTTGGCGGTCTTGGACTGTCCATCAGTCCCACTGTTGGAGGGTTTCTTTTCTCGGTAAGGATTAAATTGTTAGAAAAAAAAAAAAAGAAACTGCAGAAAGGCTTACATCCTTTTACCTCACTCAACAACAGCTTCCTAGACCTTGAGCAGTCTCTTTAGATGATTCCTAGGTTTTTGCTGCGGGGCATATCTCACTGAGCATATCAAGATGGTGGCCGTGAACATCACGGAAAGATTACTAAAATAACGTTGATTGAAGGAAAAGTTACTGAAAATTTTCAAGAGACAGTTTTTCTGGGAGAGATGAGTCTTCATGGTTTCAGAACTGATGTGCATGAAGTAAACAGTAGGCGCGTTAATTTACTTTCATAGATGTCAAGCCTGTGCCCTGCCACTACAGTTGGCATATATGCTTTATCTTCATCATACTGCGCCCATATTGCGATATCTTGATGTTAATTTCGTAAAACCCTATTTTCAACGCTGTGCATGCCGGTGGTGCACAATTTCAGTGTGCCTTCTCACCATAACGAGTAAGGTGATCCCAATTTTTAATTTCATGATTTTTATAAGAACAGTGTTTCCTTTCAATGAGAAGAAAATTTATAGGAAAATATATGGCCAGCTTTTTTGGCAATTTATCTAAATTAAACGAATTGAGCTATAACGAGTCGAACAGACTATATCCAAATTAAGTCTACCTTGGAAAGTGAAGTCAAAAAAAAGGTATTCAAAGGCATTTTTCTAGGGCGTAGGAGGCAGACTCTATGCGAAATTGCATTCTTTTTGGAAAACATTTAGCCCATTTGTCTAGTTTGGGGTTATGTGCGCTCATTGCTAGGGGCGCTTATAAGCCAAACTTGTCGTATTGCACCGTTCCGCAGAGAAGAGCATGGTAACCCCACGGTGGCCCTCACTATGTTTTTACATTACGTTTTTGATTTGTTACAACAGAGTTCCAAGTTTCATCTAAAATCTTTGGTAAGTTCTTCTCCTAGGGAATCACCTAATGTTCCTTCAAAGCTACTGTATTAGCACACAAAGCACGAGAACAGCAATCGGCGAAGCCGCTAGGAGCGCGCGACGGCGTGAGCCTGAGCCCGTCAGAGATTACGAAAAGCGCATTTCCTTTCTCTGCGTGCGTGGCTATTTTCTTCTCTGGCGCCCTATGTTCGATGAAATAAGAGATCAGAGAGGCTGGTTGTTGTTTTCTTTTTTGCCCATCCCCCGCGTTTGTGGAAAAGAACTGCTTTCTAAAACAATGTTCATATTGTGTATTACATTAGATTGGCGGTTACAAGCTTCCGTTTATTGTCATTGGATTTCTGATGTTGTCTGTTTTGCCACTTGCCATCTTAACGTTTCGTCTCATACGAGAAAAGGACCAAGGTTAGGGAAATTTTCTTGCATTTTCTGTTTTGCATTGCTAAAGAATCGTGTTTTAATAAATGGGTGTCCGCGCTCGTGATTTGTCATCACTAGCTCGCATCTTCAATATGAGTCTATTCTGCCTGCATTCATCCATTCTCCCCCAGTTTAATGTGAGTTGTCTGCAGGAGACGCTGAGTTTCTACTTTCGTTTTTGTTCTTTTTCACCTTCTTTCAATTTTGTTACTCACGTTTGTTTCGTGTTTTTTTTATGAAGAAAACTCGACGTCTTTTTCTCTAATAAGACAAACTGAAAGCAAAGACACACATACACCAGCCCACGGCCTTGCCGAGATGAGCTTTGCGACCAAACAACTTTGCGACCAAAACCCAAAACCAACCTGTAATTAAGGTAGGATAGGAGAATTTCGAATTTCTCCAAAACGATTTTAAAATTCTATAGCCATGAAAACTAAGCCCAGTAAAATAACGAAGTCTAGTGTTGATTGAAATTGCATCTTTATGTCCAAGGCAAAACAACTGAGGTAAAGTCTCGTGATTCCCAAACTGAATTGCTCTAGAAGCCACGCACAGACTAAGAAGCTGTTCCTTTCCTGTATTGTGCAAACGAGCCCATGAAAGTTTACCAACAGAACGGGAACGTTAGTTGACGAGGGAGCGCTCAAATCAAACAACTGGCTTGAGCAATGGTAGAGATGCAAATTGGACACCTGAAGTCGCGTTTAGTCTTTTCCGCGCGCTTTCCCGTCATCAACTGACGTTCCTGTCCTGGCGATAAATCAGGTTCAGAACGCAGTTCTCTGGTCACTCCCCTAACTATGTGAAGCGGTCTATCAGTAAAAAGCTCAAAGTAAGGTGAACATATGGCGAGGCCACGTCGGAACTATTTAAAGAGTTTTAGACGATTTTAAACGATAACTGTTTTTCATTTTACTCCTTGGTCACAGAAGCCAGCAACAGTCTAAAGAGAGAAACGGTATCCAAATGGCAACTACTCAAGATACCAGAAGTTATAATCATCGGTATGTCCCTCATCTCTCGAGCCCTAGACTACATTTAGATCTCCGTCATTTGCATCAGACAACATCAAATCTCAGATATAGGTTGCGGAAGGAATCATAGTGGCAACAGGGCTTCACTCTAACTACTGTAAATTTTGTAACTAAACACCTAACGTTCTTAAGGTTTATAGAAGGAGAGAGGCTTGAAAATCCAAGAAAATTTAAATAAGAAGGAAACGAATAACTAGGGAGGGGGGAAAAAACTTAAGAAGACCAATATACCGTTTGATACTAGAGTGGATATGTACAATGCACTGGTAATGCCATATTTTAACTACTGTGGTGCCGTATGGGGTAATATCAATAAGGGACTAGCAGACAAACTTCAAAAGCTGCAGAATAGGGCTGCTAGAATTCTCACCTTTTCTAACTATGACGTTCGCTCAAGTGTTTTGTTGGATGAGCTTGGCTGGGAAAGGCTAGAATATGTAAGACTTAAACAGTTGGCTGTGACAATGTATAAAATCCATAATAATCTTTCCCCATCGGGATCTTTACCAACACCTCAAATGTACATTCACAAAATCTTAGAAATTCTGAGTTAAATTATTATGTCCCCAGAATCAGAACTGAGTCTGCAAAAGGGAGCCTACACTACAGAGGATCTGTTCTGTGGAACAAGATTCCCTCAGAAATTAGAAAAACTGCCTAGTTTAAATGTTTTTAAAACTTCAATTCATGGGAAACATTTTTCTGATACACCATGACCCATTGTAACTTTTATTATTCATAATGTAAGTTTTTGTATTTTTAACATTATAGTCAATAGTTCCTTAGAGTATTTTAGTCTAGTTTTAAACACGATTGCTAAGAAGACCATGTAAAATGATACGATTTCGTGTATAAATAAAGATTGATGATGATGATTATGATGATCATGAGCGTGCAATGCAAGCTACTGCATTTTAGTAACGAACAATCCCAAGCACAAGGTCTAGAGTATAAAAGAAAATACGAATTTGCTTAAACCCTGATCTCCTGGATAACCTGAAGACCCTAAACAACAGTGTAATACTACCGTGAGGTCTCAAACTACCAGCAGATCAGTTTCTTAACTTTCTGTTCTTGTAATGTTTATATGTTTAGTGTGGTTTTTGTGCGTTGTTGCTCAGGGCTCCCATTGATAACAGACAGCTTTTTGCGTCTGAAAGGGCTACCCTGAGCGGTATAAATTAATAAAGTTTCTTCTTCTTCTTCTTCTTAACATGGATTTATTGTTTTGTGTTATCTTTGGCAGCCATGTGTTATGTAGCTGTTGGTACCTCCTATAGCTGGTTTGATCCTGTTCTTGGACCTCACCTGCAGTCGGTAAGATCTATGTCACGAAGCTTTGGGACAAAAATAAGATTTCCTTAAAAAAAAAAACACTCCTGTGATGACAGATAATACTTAACTGTTTTACCTCCCTCCCTACATGTGACATCCTGAAACCTGCCGGTTTTAATGGCGTTGCATTCAGTACCGTGTAACAACAATGTGTCTTCAAAGAAGATCAAATTTCTGTTTTAAGACAGAGTCGATCCAAGCGGACTTTAAAACAATTTTTAAGTCAACGCTTGACAGCACACTTCAGTTAGAAAAAACGAACAGAACCTAATACCCAAGCCATTGGAGGAAAGCCCTGAATTCAGGCCTGATAAAACTTTCAAAAAATAAACTTAATAGTAAGTAATATGGAATAAAAAACTTTCCTCTGGATTATACTATTAGATCTATGGAATATGTATTATAATTTTTACGATTTTTTAACACCCTTTTCAATTTTTCACAGCTAAGTCGCATTCAATTATTGGGGTAGAATTTTCATATTTTGAAACCTTTCGTTTAGAAAATAGGTGGGGGGGGGGGGGGAGGGAGAGAAACCAAAAGGTGAAAAACGGGAGACAGAAATTAAACTACCTGCTCCCCTACCCTCCACTTACGAAAAATTGAAATCGATCAGAGAGGAAATCAGTCAACCATGATAGTAGAGAACCACGAGTAAGAGGACAAAACCCACAGATTAGTTTCTTCCATAAACGCACTATGGTAGCTGATGTTAGAGTTGCACGTTTCACAGTGCAACACCCCTTCAGGTTGAGGCAGGTCGCGCTACTTTAAGATGCACTGCCTAAACCAGTTGGAATATGACGACTGTTACCGATGAAGTTTGAACTGATAGTACGATCCTTCACACCCAGATGTTTCTCTATACTGCAGCAGAAGGCCTTCAAACCCTTAACGGCTCTTGTAAATATAACTTTCAGTTGGTTGCTGTGGTTTTCAATTCTGTCTGAACCAACCAGTTTCTTATTTTCAGGAGGTCGGAATGAATGTCAAGGATGTAGGCCTGGTATTTTTCTGTCATGCTCTAAACTACACTATTTTTTCGATCGTTCATGGATGGGTTGGAAATATGACCGTAAGTGTTTTTGGAATTTTCCAGGGCTTTTCCAATGTTTAATTCTCATCCCGGCAAAACTTTCGGACATAGTTCTACAACGCTTATTTGTTGAATGTTTAACACCAATGTTGCCGTTTGTTTAACATTATCATCACCATATCACAAAATGTCAATACTTACTTACTTTGACACAATATTATCGTTTTGTAAAGTACTGTTACCGATGCATGGTAGTATTTGGTTTCATTGGCGTGGGGATGACTACGTTGCTGCTAGGACCTGTACCATTTCTGGCGTCGACATTGCCTGCAAAGTAAGTATACCATCAACTGATGTGATACAACTCACTTTGACGCTGGAGATGACTACTGCACAGGTTGTCGAAACGTCAGTCACTGTCAACAACAACAGTCCTGTTCAGGACTACGTTCACCCGGACGATCATACTCAACGTACTTATGAAATGACTCCTCCGTTCAAACCTTTCACAAAGTAAGAAGAATTGGCAAATTTCAGCTTTATCTCCGAAATCTCTCGTCTTCCCTTTCCATATTTAGGGTGTTTGTTGGTGTTGGGGAAAGTATTGTCATTTATCTAGAAGTTTGCTAGCTTTTCGAGGGATATTTTAAACGCTAAAATCTAAAATTTTCACCTTTAGAATTGTTCTGGTTCCTTTTGGGATATTGGACAGTAAAGCAATGGGACCTACTCTACAATATAAAGCTTTTAAAATTCTTCACGAGTAGTAGACCAGATTTATTGACATTAGAAATGGTAAATGCCAATTAATTTCTTGTTGTAGACTTGGTACCCCTTTGGGGTGAAAATGGATTTAAGCCTGACTCTTACAGACCAGATTCTGATACCTTTAAAGCCTTTTCTGACTGGTATAATACTTTCATTTTATAGAGTGTCCTCCACCCCGGTGTTCAATGTCTTTTCGATTTGAGTTTCACTTAAAGTGATGTTACAAGAGGCGATTTGCAACAACGAGCTTTAGGGCAACAATTTTGGAACATTGTTGAAACAACTCGAAACGATGTCGCAACAATGTCGTGTTGCACTAAAAATGTCGTTGCAAATCGTGCCGTGTAGCACCGCCTTTAAATATTGGTGACTGCAACATCTGCTGAAACTATCCTTCGCCATCTTTTTTTCAGTCAGGCGTGGTTCATTTATTTGGTCATGGCAGTAAAGGGCTTTTTCGATGGAGGGTTTGCGGTCATATTGTTACCGATGTTAAAAGGAACTTGCTTGTGAGTTTTGCAAACATCGCTGTTAACATGAAGTAGGACTACGATTGAAAATTAAATTGCATCAAACAAATGTTGCAAAAGCTTGCAGTACGACCAAAATATATCTCTAACTGAAATAAATTTAAATGAAACCACTAAAAGTCAGTTTGCACTCGAAAATTCTCAACATCCAAACTTTGTTGCTTTGTTCGATCATGATAGTATCCCCTTAAGACTCAATAGAAGCATCCAGTCCTTATTGAATACATAGTCACTTAGTACAGTACGTGTATCTTCAAATGGATGAAGCATAATATATACGGTAACTGGAGCATAATTGAACCATTTTTGGACTGTAGATGCGTCTTCTCTGACAATTACAAGTGCTTGAAGAATTTGAAAGAACCCACATAGGGCCCACACAATCTGTGTGACGGTTCGTATGTAACAATTAAGAGAAAATTTATGGGAACAACGCAAAAGGTTTTCAAGATCGTTATATACGGTGATGAATATTAACATACAAGAACAACATAAACATATTTTTGCCTAAAATGTTATAATGTCACTCTTGTGGTTGAAACGTAAGGATTTTAGCGATTTTAAGGGTTTTGTGTTGGACGTTTACTTGAGCGTTTAGTAAAGAGACAGGTAGGATAACTTGGCGCCTTATAACGCTGGACCGGTCCAGCACGAGCCGATTTTAACCAGCAAATCCCCACGACACTGCTTCCAAACCACTCACCTGCCAAACTGAAAGCCAGAGGATTCTTCTCTCTACTATACGCCATAGTTAAATGCCAACGCCCAAAATTTCCTTTTTTTCTTGCGCATTGGCGCTAAAGTGGCTTGAGGAACTTATTTCAGATTTGGAGATACTTTATAAATATGTGATGTTTAACTGCATGCTAAACAAATGCTAATGTTTTGTAAAACGGAGGTTTGTGGGTCTCATTGAAATGGTCCTCAGTACATTTCTTTTTACTAGAATTCAATATCTCCCCTCTCTGTTAGATCGCATGGAATTGCAGATGACGTATCAACAAATGGAACGCTATCAGGCTTGGTTGTCACCACGCTGTATTTAGGGTGAGTTTTCCTTACGAATGTACACCGTGTTTTTCTTAACACTGGATGGTTAAGGATAGTCCCATATTGCATGGGATAAAACACAACACAAAAGAAAGGAAAAAAGTTAAATGTAATTCAAGACACCGAATAACACTCAACTAAAATTCTGTTAGTGAGGTTAGCTTATAAAGAAACTGAGGTGTTATATTGGTGGGGGAGTGAAATACAACTAAGTTGATAAAGACTATTGGCCGCCAGAATCCCTCTATCCGGTGGCCAATATACTCAACCAACTCAGCTGTTACGACCACATGTTTGCAGAGCTCAGTTAGAGCGGTAAGGTTGGACGCAGTCAACTGTATTGGTTAGTGTAACGGAGCTAAATAAAGGACTTAAATTAGGATAGTAGCTCTGGACCTGGTCTTGGGTAGGGTATCCATTTGAACTGCGTTTCGAGTATATTCGACCTCATTTGACCAGGTGCGCGGGTAGGAGTCGCTTTAGGCCAAAATGAAAGGATACGTTTTTTGGGGTACACACTCAAGATTCGTACCTGCAGTAATCATGAATAGTCACCATAATAGTTAAAAAGGAATACTTTTTTTTAATTAGTTCAGTGTAAAAGTGAAGATGATAAACAGTGTTTTCCTTAAGTTGATGTCCTATTGATAAACTTTAAAGCCATTTGGCAAGGGTTGTACAAAATTCCCAACAATAGACTATTCATCAGAAGGCAAAACATAACTTGAGAGAAGGCTACAGCGCCTATTGTTATTAACTGAACTGAGTCACCAAAATTATTTGGTTAAGATTAGAAGATATCCTTTTGAAAATATGGGCAAAGGGTAGTTTTTAGAAATACTTAAACGGAATCCTTTATCCTTTACTAGTATGGTTACAATTGCCGTTCCTTATTATGATTTTTTTTGTAGCCAAAACCGCGGGGCGGATCTAATGCTAGGCTACTGTTTCTTTAAAAGTATTTGACAAAAAAGTGTCACCCAATCTTTAATTACAGAGTCACGATAGGACCCACTCTAGCAGGGGTAGTGGATGAGAAATTTGGGTTTCCCTGGGCCGCAACGGTAAGACATCTTTGTGTTATTATTTTAAGGTAGAATACACTGTTTACGATTTTGTATTCCACGTTAATTTAGTTTTTAGAGATGAAAATAGTACGTATAAGCACGACTAGACCGAATTTGGGTTTAAAACAAAATTTTAGTGGCACATTATTTGACGCAGCACTTTAATTAACTTTTTATAAACACAAATGAAGCTGGTTACCTGAACGTGCGGGTCCGGGGGGAAGTCCCTTACATAAGTAATATAGGGTATGCGACGAACCAAAGGGTGTGGTTTTTGGTTCGGTTTGGTCTGAAAGCGGTAAAAGACATTGCCCATTTTGGTCTTGCCAGGAAATTGGGTATGATTTTCCACGGAACTGCGGGAGCGTGTGAACGTATTTATTGTTTCAATTCCAAATGAATGAGAAAGAAAGTAGAAATATGAGAATTCAAAAAGGATTAAAAGGTTTCGTTTATCGTTTGTCTGCTGGTCTTCATTAAGCGAGAGTGTCGATTTACTGAGTAGGACTATTTGTACCACCATGGCTGTTAGTTTTTGGTTTATCACGAGCCTCACTTATGGCTGGTGGAGATGCAGTAGTGTATAAGATTCCTTGTCAGGATTTGAAGAGTTTGGCGGCACACCCCCACCAAGAATTCCTAGGAGTACCCCCGGCAGTGCAGGGCGCACTCCACTGAGTGCAGAACTGATATCTAACCTGGTACACTGATCTCTCTATAAATAAATGCAATTAAAACTGCCCTAGAAAAACAAAGGCAGTCGTCCGTTAGTAGGACAGAGACGTTTTTGGCTTTGAAAGGAAGGATATTAAAAAAAAGGAAAGTAGGGAAGTAAAGAGGTTTGTATTCCGTTGACTGCGGTACAGAGCCATATCATCTCATCGCTGATAATGACCGAAATGCTTTGTAGAATACAGCAAACAAAACAAGTGATGGGAACAGGGGAAGGAGAAAAGAGGATTCTATTGATCTTGCCCCTGTTCAGTGTTAGTAATGTGGATAGTGCTATTCACGGGGTAAATCATTATCTAGTGGATAAGTGTTTTAAAAAACGATTGCATTTTCCAGTAGACAGAGATTTTTCCCGTATGTAATCGAATCCACTTTTTGAACAACCAGGCCAGAGTCATGGCACTCAAAATATTTGTCTTTGGAGAGGGAGCGGGCACTCCCTTAAAGCCACATTGATATGACAGGAGCTAAAGGGTGAGGTTTGTTCATTTGTAGTTAGAAATAGGGAATTGTTTGGTGTGTGTGATTGGGTACGATTTGTTTAATGTGAAGCTCTTCTCAAATGTTTTGGCAAACGAAACAACTGTATGTATCGGCGTTTGCGTGGTTTAAAGGTCTCGTCTGTACTAGTGTATCAAATTTTGGGTCTGATCTAAAATGTAGGGAAAATCGTATATTTTGGTCTGAAATAGGGTAAGGTTTGGAGAAGCAAGCCCCACACTCCGCCCAAACTGTTCGTAACCTCGCTCCCCAAAATATGAAAGAGCCAATGTAGATTGAGCAAAAGAAGTAGTCACATGTACATATCAATACGTCTTTTTCAGGTTGAGGGGCTTATATGCATTTTCCAGGTAAACAAGGCCATTACTATTCTTAGTCTAAATCAAATGTAATTCTAGAAACTATACGTGCCCTTAAAAAAACAATGAAGCCAAAATCTCACAGAAAACAGGAAAATCCAGCTCCGACAATCAATAGCATCACCATGAAAGAGGATAAGCAGAAGAATAAGCGAAACCACTGCTGTTAAGCATAAACATTTTGCTTGGATATATATCAGGAAATCTATGCTTGTCTCAACACTATTTTCATATAACTTATCACATTCTGACTAGCCTGCGTAGCTGGCGGGATTTTTGTGCCCGGGGTAGTTTCTCAGAGCCACCACGCGAAGCGAGCAGCGTAGTCGTAAAGGAAAATCCCTCAAACTGACTTCTTCTCGAGGCTCCGCCGCCAAAACAATACAGCACTCTCCACGCTAATCCCGCCAGCTACGCAGGCTACATTCTGACTCTAACTTAGGCTCGATTTCGAGGCTAACTTTAACTTGGACGCTATTTGCAAAACCTGGCGATCGCATATTGCGGGAAGAAAGGTCAACTTTTCTTAACAAAATAAATGAAAAAATAAATGTCTGTAAATACATTTACCAGTTACTAATCGAGCTCGAGGTTAGTATTTTAAGTCACAGAGTATTTTTTCGTTGATTTATGGCTTAAACGCGATCCGAGGTTAATTGGTCGAGCGGACTTTTAAATTCAAAGATTGAACCCCAGAGGTCTTCAACAACATGTAGCTTTTGCACTTGATTTCGACTCTCAACGCTAATCGTTTTCCCAGGAGCTTACTCTAAGGGTTAGGGTTAAGATTAGGTTAGTATTACATCGAAGATCGAAGATCTTTAACCATTTTTAAACATTAAACACGAGAGGTTTTCATCAACACGCCTCTTTGCACTTGATTTCAGACTCTCAACGCTAATCGTTTTTGTTCGGGAGCGTACACTACCCTAACCCTAGGATTAGGGTTGGGGTTAGGGTTAGGTTAGGGTTACATTGAAGATCGAAATTTTTTCTCTGAACCATTTTTACAGATTGAACCCTAGAATTTGACGACAGGAATTTTAGCGACTAGTTTCAAGTTTTTCAAGGCTAATTATTTTACCAGGAGCCAGCCCTAAAGCTAGGATTAGGTTAGGTTATGTTAAGTTAGGGTTACATCTAAGATCAAGGATTTTTTTCCTAACCAGTTTTAATCTTACTTTCGGGTGAACGGCAATTTAGAATGAAATATTGGAACTGGAATTTTAAAATACGTTTTCCTGAAAAGGGTTTCATTCTGGGAGCAACTCAAAATTCAATTTGTGTTTCTAACATAAAACAATTTGGCTACGAAAAGACAGGACCTTTATCATCTTGTTCAAAAGCATTTCCTTGATAATTCCTGTAACTGCATGGTTCTACTTTCAGGCTTTGCTGTATTTGTTGGTTATTTTGCATGAAAAATTTTCAAGAAGGTGGGCGAGTTTATTTTAAAATAGTGACTAACGTAATATAACATCATATTCTAGTAGTGGTACACTAGATTATCTCCTCTAAAACGTTTGGCCTGCGAAAAGATACAGTAGAAACTGGACTTTTTCAGACGTTTAAGCACTCATGAGCGCCTCTCTACTTACTTTCACAGGGGCTAACTACGGTCACAAACCTAAACTTGTGGATTTTGAACCAGCATTTGACTTGCTTCACTGCATGTTCATTAGTTTAACAATCTGTGACAATAGTTCTTTCTTATAGGTTTTTACTATAATGCCTTAAACCGTTAAAACTCCGTGAGATATGCTCACTGCTTACTGAGAGAAGTCATACATGTAGGATGACGATCTAGTATCCGCGCCTATTTTACTTTACTAATAATCTATCTAAATCTATTCAAATCGTCCTTCTAAAAGCTTGGGAGAGGCGGATAACTAAGAATAATGTATCTAAAAACAGTTGAACGATAAGGAGCTTACTACAAAGATGAAGCGAAAGATGCTACGATTTGTTTTGTAACCTTTTAGCACTTCTTGATTAGTTCTTTTTTGGATTAATTATTGGTTTCAGGTACAAAACTGCTCCTCAAATAGATGAGGAAAGGAAGACCTTGCTGAAGCTCGATTCCAACTAAATACCTCAATTTCCCTGGTTACTATTTGAAGGATTGTAATGATGGACCAGTTGGAGGTTGGCCAATATCATAGTGATCATGAAGATGGTGACAATGATGATAATAATCAACAATTATTGGATAAGGCTGAGTATGATTTGAAGAATTCTGCAGATCAATGAACAGTTTTGGAGCTGAGGAAGAAGGTTCTACTAACAAAAGATCGCATTGTTTTCCCAAGGGAAAGTCTAGTAGCAGTTCAATCATTTGAGCGTGACCGATATTCAGATTGTTTCCTTATGGAAACATATATTGAGAGAGGTCGAGACTGGTTAACCAAAATTTTATAAACAATTTAGAGTTTTTGAAGGAAATGCAGAATATAATCGGTAGCCAGTGGCGTTCATAGCGTGCTGAAGTTAATGTGGTCTCTTAGAAATAGAAGCAATAGTCTGGTCTTTTCAAAATGGAGATCTCAGTGTTAGGAAGACAATATAGTGGGCTATTGCAATAATCCAGTAAGCTCGTAATAAAGAATGTACTAAAGTTCTGAGACTTAAATTATCCCAAACTTGCTTATAGTTAAGATATTATGAAGATAAAATTGTGCGCTACTAACAAGGGCTCCTGGTGCTACTCAACTTAGTAATATGCGTCGATATTGAGAAGTTAGAAATGATTCAAATCAAATTTCTCGCTGCAGAAACAGGGAAAGCATCACTGTTGCCAACTCGTAAGAAGCATGATTCGATATGTTAGAAGAGTTTCTGTTTAGAACAAATAGAAAACAGGACAGCTTTACTTACTAGCCCTAAGGCAGACAGGTTTACTTACCAGCAGACACCTGCGTTTGACCCTTTTTCAGTTGTATAAAATAGAAGCCTTCATTACATGGTCGAAATTTTCAATATATGTGTTTCTTTACAATCTAAAATGGAGTGCGAGCAATCTCTTATTCTTTATTGAATATTCTAATTATTTTCTTTGAGTCACAGCAGATCGAGAGCACTTGCGAGGGGCGAGCGGGCGAAGCCCCAATCTCCCCTCCTTCTTAACATTAATTTGCATAATTTTACTTTTTTGCTCGTCGCGTGTGGCTCTGAAAAGAGGGATGACCACTCGCGATCAAACGATACAATGAACTAATTGAAATTCATTAAGTCATAGGGGTGATGAATGGTCCATTAAAATTTTTTACTGCTCGCAAAATTTTACCTTTGCTCGATTTGTTCGCAAAATTTACACGCGTGCTCGCTTGCTCGTGCTCCCCAAATTTTTGCAGTTGCTCGCATGTTCGCTTTCTTGTCAGTATTGCTCGAAACTTCTTTGGATTAAAGCAAGAGAAAAAGTAAATCTAATTCTGTATGGTGCTTAATTCCTTTAAATGTGGCTATCAAAGTTCAGTGGAAATGCACGCGATAAAATGAACGATAAATAATAAATTAGCTAATCTAGTCATATATGGTTAAAAAGAGAAGATGTTGTTACCTCGAGTTCTTCCGAGTTTCTCTAGCGCTCTATACTGACTGGGCTTTAATTAGGTCGTGTTTTCAGTAAAAACGGTTTGGAAGCTTTAGGATTTTTCCAGAAGAGGTTGTTCTGACACGAGGATCTTGTTCCTCTTCAAGTTCTTCGTCATCCACAGCAGTCATGTCCCTTTCTTCAACCCCCCTTGTACGCTCGAGACATTCTTCGTAGAGCTCTTGGTTTAAATCGATATGAAAATCTTCGTCTGTGAACTGAACTTCCCAAACGGTTTCAATCACAAGATGTTTCTCTACCTGAGCGGTGAACTCGTAATTGAATATTAGACAATCTTCGGGATCGCTTGCGTACAGCTGTGTTTTAACTTTAGACGAAGACGAAGAAAAGGATTTCTATATGGATTGCTGCAAGCGGAAAATATAAGAAGTGCTCGCTGCTTGCGAGTTGTACTCTCTAAACTGCTCGCTGCTCGAAAGCAAATTTTTTTATCTCTGCTCGTGCGCGCAAAAAAATCGCAGTGCTCGCATGCTCGCGAATGCTCGCAAAGACAGTGCCGTAGCCAGACCAAACGGCCAACCGAGGCAGGCGGGAGTTGCTAGGGGGGTTCGGGGGCATGCCCCCCCCCCAAGAAATTAGAACTTTAGTCTCTCGGAAATGCGATTTGCAGCGTTTTCTGAGCCTTTCGGTAACTTTTTTTCGAGTTAATTTAAGTGGAATTTAAAAAGCAATAATCAGAAACAAGCTACACAATCTGGGTGACCGTTAACCTCGCCAATGGTTTTGATCAGTATTTGTTCAAAAAAAATTTGAGTTAACGTACGTAGCCCCTTGAGATCGATGATATGGTAATTTTTTCATAGTATGTTGACTGAATTGCTGAATTCTTTGTAATATCATGATGCGTTAAAAATATCCGATGATCGCTTATGTAAAATAAAAATGATCGGCGAAATTCGTCAAAATTTTACCGAGGCGAGTGCCTCGGTTGGCCTCATACTAGCTACGGCGCTGAAAGACCTAGCCTGCGAAAACATCCGTTTCTCCTCTCTCTTCGTCGCTGGGGACGTTTCGCGCGGAGGAACAAACGTCCCCAGCGGCGAAGAGCGAGGAGAAACGGATGTTTTCGCAGGCTAGCAAGGACCATTCGTCACCCCTAGTCATGTGTGCTAACACACTGTGTTTGTTTACAGTTTAAACAATAGAGTTTGGGCCTAGTTTAGTGACACTCCCCTGGAAAGAATATAGGCGACTTTAACTCTTTCAAGCAAAAATTGATTTAGACCAAGCAACTACCGTTGAAGACAGTTCTCACGTAACTGGAAACATAAATTCGGTCGTCGGGTGCCCCGGATCCTTGTGTACATGAACTAGTTGTCGACAGGCTTCCGACCTTTCTTTTTCGCCACGTATAGGCTCTTGTTTCCAACTATTAATCCCTCAAACCTTGTTAGCAGTTCTTTACTTAAGTAAATACTTCCGTGGGTCAGTAAGTTAAGAAAGAGAGAGAAAATGTGTGAAAAGTACTTACATTTTCGCGTTGGTCGTGGTCATCTAAACAGGAGTAGCTTCTTTAAGTCAAAAACCCGTCAAAAAAGGTATACGTAGAAAAATCGTCGTTCTACGAACGCCAACGGAGACCGCGACAAATGGCGGGAAAAAAAAAAGATATCACGTGATCATCTCTTCGTGAACCCGAAGAGACTGGTAAAAAGAGGTTGCACGGTTTTTAAATATAATAATAATAATAATAATAATAATAACAATAATAATAATAATAACAACAACAATAATAATAATAATAATAATAATTATTATTATTATTACAGTAGAACCCCGATAACTCGAACGAAGACCCATTTTCCTTTGATTTGCTCCAATCTTCAGTCAGTTTTACTCGGTTAACCACAGGGTCCAGAGGAGTTTCGTGTGAATAAATGAATTACTTACCTTGAAAAATGTCTATACCTGTCGCTTAGCACGATTAATTAGCCCAACGGGATCTTTATAAATCTACCGTAAACGATTCTTATCTGACCCAGATCGACTTTTGAAAATCAATAACCGCAAGCCATATCCTCGCTGGCGCACGGCACGTCGCCCGAAGGGTGACCGAAGGCCGTCGCCCGGAGGGCGACCGAGGCACGAAGTGCCGAGTAAAAGAAATTTTTATACTGTAAGCCGATCTTGCGAGCCCTCAGTCTCTTGGTTTGCGGTCTGTAGAATGTGTAACGAAACCGTAACGCGATCAAAATAACCCATTTTTTCAGAGGTTTTCGACGGGTTTTGATGTTCTAACGACAAACACATCTCCTCTGGACCCTGTGGGTTAACTCGACCTCGGATAACTCGAATTCCTCGCTAACTCGAACTAAATTTCCTTACCTTAGATCAAAATTTCACTGAAATTTGTATAGGCAATAGCATGATTTGCAGTGATATTTCGAAATTTGAGACAATTTTGAAATATCACAAGTGGTATTTATGCCTAATATCAAGTACAAATCATGCTATTATTTGTTTATACTTCTACCCACAAAAGGTTTGTAATTTTCACATGTAGGTATTTCAAATTAAGCTGAAATACCACTGACCTAAGCCAATCAAATTGTAGAAATTTCTCATGTAGTAGTATAAACCCAGATAACTCGAATTCTGAAACATGTCACTCCACTCTTGATGCCATTTTATTAGCTCCTCTTGTTGTATAATTGGTAAAACCACTAAAACCAACAACACAGCAATTTGAGTTTGATTGGTGCAACGAACAAATCACATATTATCATAAAAAGCATAATAATGCTACCCTTTCTGATGAAATAAGTTAAATTTGCACTGTACCATACACTGAAGGGCTGAAAAATCAGTAACTATTATCAAGATGGCAAATTTGGCATTCAATCGACCCCGATAACTCGAGCCCCCGCTAACTCGACCTGTTTTTCGTTTCCCTTCAGAGTTCGAGTTCACGGGGTTCTATTGTATTATTATTATTGTTATCGTGGTCTAGATGTTTTATCCGTGATGGCTCAGTCAACGGCCATTAAGCGCAAATACCAATAACCCTACACTAATTTTTTTCCCCAATTCAGATTGTTTTACTAATTCAATTGGAGGATCATTTTAGGTCAGCGTATCGAAACTTGGTCTCTGGAGTTAAAGCTCAAGAGTATAGTTAAAAAGTCCAGTCACGAATTTGGCCTAATCATTGGATTAAGTTAAGGGGACTGCCATAAAGAGACCAATACCAGAACTCCTAGACTCCACCAGGAAACAGCCTTTCAAGAAAGCTTACGTTAGCGCCCCACCCTACCACCCCCTGGGATTGAGCCTTGAGTGGTCAAAACGGTGATACGTAAGTCAGAATACAAAAATACTTTATTTTCTAATCTAACAATGCAAAGGCATTTTAGAACTACAGTTCTTTTTTTTAAATTTTTTTACAACATGCACTACTACATCTATGCCAATAAACTACTCCTACAAGTACACAAAATACACTTCCTACTATACATAAATAAGCATTTTAATTGTTAGAACTACAGTTTTAACAAAATACAAAATTTCTACGGTATAACCTGCTGATTTACTAGCCGTTGCCTTGCTCGGCCATCTATGTACAGTGGACTCAGGTGGTACTCGCCCAATATGGCGAAACTCGAGACTTGACTACACAGCATTAACCGTATAAGGTGATAACCGACTACAATAAGCTATAAAGGAGTAGATTTTCAAAGGTCGAAATAACCGTGGTCACAAAAAGTAAGACACAGATATTCACCACTTTAGAAACGAGAAGGGAACTGGAGCCCAAACGCGTCCCGCAATTGTTTCTGGGATTGTTAAAGGGGACGTTCAGCTATTGGCCAACAGTTAACAGTCCCTGAAGTCTTTGCAAAAGTTAACTCAGCCCAATTTCCCTCTGGTTTCTAAAGAGGAGAACGGTTTTAGTCAATACCAAACTAGGCCATTATAATGGCGCATGGCTGAACACTTTGAAAAATTGTTGAAAGCCCAGAGGCTCTGATAAAGTATATTACAAGATGTTAACTGAGATTTTTCGCTTGCAGTTGCCGGGGGCTAGTACCACTACTGGAGCACAGCCTGCCTGAGATCTTTTATTTGTGATCATAAAAATACCAGACATTGCACCTCTTAATAGAAGGCATCATTTTAATGCTTTAATATGTACATTTTAAGTTTAAAACTTCTAATTTTACTCATTAAAAACCTAAATACTACTACAATTCACCTAGTGATAACAACTATTTCTCAAAAGGACACCTCAACAATTTTTAATTGCTAAATTACACCAACAAAACACACATGATTAACTTTGAGTTCAACGTTTAGACTGTGAGCATGATCACAGTATGAGTTTTCTGTGCAAAGAGTGCAATCATCAAGAGGATCGTGGTGATACAGGCCTTTTAAATGGCGCTGGCACCCTCGTTAAAAGTCTTTATTGACTTGTCCCTTGCAAACGAAACTCAAGGTTTGCTATTCACAGCTTAGGCAGTGTTATATAACTTATGAGTCTTATGTCCATTGAAATTCCTAAACATCAAGCAATTTAACGACCATGTTCCCTAAGGTCTCCTTCCTTTCTTTTCACATGGAGTCTGAGCAGGGATTGAACCAAAAAAAAACAAAACAACCACAACAAGACTTGCCAAAGGACAATGCCTTCTTTTCCTGCTTAACAAATGACTTGCTTGGACCCTTGTCCGCTAGGGAATTGAGCTTAAAAATGTTACTTGCCCGACAAGACAATCTGCTTGTCCAGGGTAACTGGACAGGGCTTTTATTGAGCCCTGGAGAGAAGACAGGAGAAAGAGACCCTGTGAATAAGGTTATACTACTTTAATTTTAATCTTCATGCAAAAGACGTGCTTATCTTTTAAGTCTGAAACTCTGCCACCCCTGATTGAGACTATAGGAATTGATGCATGTCAAGTACTAAATACTGCTCTGTGATGCAGCCATTTATAAAACTTTCCTTAAGTGGAAAAACTTTCTTAAACTTTCTAGAAATTTACTTTGTGCATTCTAACTACATTCTACAAACAATAGGTATAATAGAGCCAGTACTGACAGCACATGTGCCTCAACTGTTTTACACAACCATCACTTTCTAAGAACTGTAAAAGCAAAGACAAATAAATGATAAGATGTGGGGATCACACCTAATATCTAAATCAAGGGCCTTTTACTAGGAAAATATCCTGTTTAACTAGTAAAAAAAGGAAATCTGTGAGAATTTCAGGGTGGCAAGTGCTGAGCTAAATTTTTGTCAGGTGAAAGAAAAAAAAAGACAGAAAAAGAAACGAAAGGATCCAAGCTGAACTTATTGGTCAGTGAAGCAGCAGTAGATATAGATAAGGGGGCACAATGTAACTCCAATAATAAATTACATAGTTTAACCTTGCACAGCATATTATTTTAACCCTTTTAAGTGAACAATCACATGTATCCTAAGCAGAAATTCAGGATAATAGTGTGTCCAGTTATGGGAGGTACCCATGCTGTAGATAGTTCAGGAAAACACCAATATAAACAGTCAAAAACAAAGTGAAAGTTACCTGGTATACTTCTTGACAACTGGCTTTTCCAGCAAGGCTCGAACAGTAGGACGATCTTCTGGGCACTCCTGTGTGATAACAACAAAGACATGTCAAAAAAATTAATCAATGGACCTTGTGAATAGCCTTGCTCCTCTTGAGACTCACTGTAGCTCAGTGAATAGAGCACATCCTTGCATGATGTTTGGCAAGTCACAGGTTCAAATCTTGTCCTGGAATCTACGATTTTTTCCTTTGCCCAGAAATATTTATGTGCATTATTTTATCGTCTTAAGTTGCTGACCATAATATACTTTGTAGGTTAAATCTTACTAGTGGACAGAACTGTTCACTCACCTGAACACACTCTTCAACCAACTGAGCCAACTCATAGTCTAATTCACGTAACTTGTCGATCTGTTTCAACAAGAGAACAAACACAACAGACTTTACAATCAATTCTACCTATATAAAACCTTGCTACTACAAATAATAAACTGTATTGAAAATTACTTTGATATAATGAAATTTACTGTATCTTCCCAGCCCCTTAGCATTTTTAAATCAGGCTTCCACAGTAGCTTTTGTTATGCATCAACAACCACACACTGGCAATAAATGGGTGTCAACTGAGGAAACTATCATTGTTTGGCTATGGTGTCATGATTTGGGTGATGTTTAGAATTTCTTCAGTCTCCCATATTAAGTCGTTGGTGATCAATGTGTTGATTTTGGTTCAAACATCACAGCTGTTCCACAACAATGATCTTATACCTCTTTATATTATAGAGTCTAACAGTATTATAATAATTGTTACCATATTATTTTGCTTATAGGGCACAGCATTTTTTCAATGAAAGTTTGCTTGATAGCTCTAAATAATGTAATTTCAGGGTACATCTTATAACCGAGTATCTTTGAGCAAGAAAACAAAATTACGTCAAGTTTTTACTCTAAAACTCTAGCTGGTCATCCTCTTCTTTTTTATTGGTTTTCAATGACTTTTACATCTTCTAAAATTGGCATTAAGCAATGAATCATTTTGCCTACAAAACAAATCATCTGCCACCACTCGTTTTGAGCTAAGGGTTGATGCTTGGTAACCAGGCGAATTTTTGAGCACGTGCTTGATCCAAGATGGCGTTTTGTTTACAGTCATTTCTACACTGTGATCTTGTGCTTGTCTCTGACCTATATTTTCCGGAGAAGGCTTCCAAATCTGTTAGTTGAATTGCGAGAGCTCTTTCAGCACAGTTGTTTTGATAAACAAGGGCTTAATTTTACCAGGTTTGCCAGTTAATTAACAAAATATTCAGGCTCATGTATTACACGATCAATTTTATCTTAATACTACCGATGCATGTACCCATGTCAATATGCCGCAACCAAGACAGCTGACTTGTTTATGGAAAAAACAAGATTCATTAAGTAAGGTGAGATTTGATTGCTTTTGATTGAAATATGCAACCTTTGTTGCGTAATCAGTGACGTTGAAAAGCATGTTGTTGTAGTTAAGGCGAACATCGCCAAAAATCATGGCTGCAGCTCATACCAGGTACTTTGACTTAATTTTCAGTTTGCTAGCTTAGAAAAATGGCATTGAAAAGTTTGGGGTGCATCTTATAACTGAGTATGCCTTATAACCAAAAAAATACCGTATTTCCTACATGCCCAACAAGATATCAAGGCATTCAATAAAACTAGATTAACAATAGTGATACTACATAGCCTGTTAATGTGTACCTGTTCCCACAATGTATCTCGGCTTGGTACCCCCACTAAAAGTTCAATCAAGAAGCATCCCAAACTATAGACATCAGCTGGTCTGCCATGAGGCTTTCTTCCCAAAACCTGCAAATAGATGTCCAGGAAAACATTAACAGACTTCCCTCTTGATGCTGTCTTTTTGAGTAAAAATACGTTTCAGTCAGTTTAGGATTCATTTTCTGCAGAGTCACCTTCTGCAAACCTACCTGAGGGAGAAGAAAACTGCATAGAAACTTCAGATGGTTCATTCTGCCTATAAACACCCTACATATGTACATGATGCATATTCAAAAGACCTTCAACCTCAGCAATGTATTGAATAAAAGCCCTCTTCTCTTGTATTCAAAGTTGGATGTGAAAGCTTTAATACATCTACGAAAGTGGCTTATCACTCTCAGCTCAGAGAGACATGAAAACTTATGCTAAAAGGATAAAATATTACACCAGCAACAAAATGAAAATTTACTAAAATTAATTAGCATGCTTACCTCAGGGGATGCAAAGCCCTTTGTTCCCAAAGGTTGAAGCCCTGCCTCTGTGAACTCATCACTAAGTCTTTTTGCCGAGTCAAAATCAGCAAGTTTGGCTCTGGTGTACTCCTCAGTTAACAACACATTCTTGGCTGATAAAAAGAGGGAAAAAAACCAAATAAGCATTTAATCCAAATTATTATCCATTCAAAATATTTTGCAATTTCTGCTGGGCTTGAATCCTGCAGCTAATTCTTCACCATTCTTGGCGCTGACCAAATTTGTAAGAAGGGAACATTATACCAGAGAAAAAAAATCTGCCGATATTCTGAAACCATGCCAAGAAACAGGCAATTGTTTTCAAGAGCTCTGCGATTACTGAATTTGGCTGGTAGATGACATTTAGAATTTGCAGATCTTGGAGGCTATTATCTACCTCCACTGATAACATACTCTTCGATAAACACAAAGAAAACACCTGTGAACTTAAAACAGTAAGGCTGATGAAAAAAACTTTCATATAAATCTGTGCACAAGGACAGTACTTCCTTTTAAATTTAATACAATAAACTTTGCCAAGATGCCAGGGATCCATATTCGCTTTTGTCCAGTTGTCACAGACAACTACAATCTCCTATGGACAAGAAAACTCCAAAAGTTGTCCTTTGGATGAGTGAGGTTTTTCTCAACCACAAAATCTTTTTTAAAATACTTTTATGATTTTAGATGTTCATATTACCTGTGTTCTGATTATTTCTCATTCATTTAAAACTTTAAGAACGGAGAGTAACAAAAAACATGATTTTGCCTATGACAAAATCGCTGATGGAGCAGTAACTTCCACGAAATGGTTGAAGTCTCAATTTTAATGTTGTCAACCTCTGGCATTTTTCATTTTGTGAAGCACTGAACTCATCAAGACGTGGTGTTTTTAGCAGGCATTTTGCTGCCTCCAGCGAAAAAGAAAAAGTGAAGCAGGAGCCACTACATTATATGGGGAAACACACGAGTACCCCTTCGTGCATTCATGGCTCTTGGCTTGTTTTTATGCCTTAGCAGAATGTTGCTCTTAGTAAAACCCTTTCACAGTAGGCTTAACTAGAATGGAAATATAATGCAAATCAGTCCTAAATGCTCAAGTTGCATACGATAATCACCATTCTCTCTATAATTCTGCCCTTTTGTCCAGGCAACCCAAATTTGTAACCAGGGAAGTATGCCATCAGGCTTACTTGCCTGGCTGACAACTCTGATAAAAAAAGAATATGGATCCCTGAATGCAGAAACAAATCTCACCCTTTATGTCCTTATGAATCACTGGTGTAGGCAGGGTGTGTAAATAGTCCACAGCATGAAGTACTTGATTGAAGTAAAACATGGCCTCCCCAAGGAAAAGTCGCCTACCCAACTTCTCCATGCGAGAGAACAGACACTCATCTGAAAAAAGAAAATACATGCAGTTTAGGAAAGACCAAGCTTATCAGTAAAATGCAGAGATGAGAGATAGTACCAGTGTATTTTTTTCCTGTAGTAGGACACAAAATGTTTCTGCTAAAAAGAAAGTCTCAGTCGGGTAGACAGTTCGCCATAAAAGAGCCAAAAATTTGCATAAAAATAATCATGACACAAAAATAAATACTTCTAACCATTAGTTGTAAACAAACTCAAAAGTAGACACTGTTCAAGCCACAGCAAAATCAATTTAATTTTTGGCTCATCCCAGAAACATTTTAGAGGACTTAAAATAGACCTTTTTCGAAAATAATAATTGAATTTTCCTCTTCAAATGTTTGCTATGGAAAAGCTAAAATATTAACCACTAACAATGAATGCCACCACTCAAAGAACAACATACCACACTTTTCCATAAAAATGCTAGCCTTTCCTTCACTTCCTCTGAATGTCCCTCCATAGTGCTTCACAATGTGTTCATGGTCTCTCAAAAGTTTATATACTTCAACTTCTTCCCTTGGTATGCAATAATTTGTCTGAGCAAAAATAAAAATAGAAATAACATCTAAGCAACATCTCAAATAATAATATAAAAGAACGTCCCCACAATCCCTAATATTAGGCTGAAGCCTTATAAAAAAAGGACTTTGCTATATACTTTGCAAAACCCTAGTACTACACTGTAACTACGTCAATGTAAAAAGGCTTAATATCACTGGCCTGGAGATTCTTACATTTATCAAGACCTAGATTTCTTTAAAAAAGATCTGATCCATTTGTCTGTAGTCTTCACTTAACGCTGCAGCAACCTTGAATTTCAGTTTCCCCATTTTTTGTTTTTTTTTCCATGGGCTTTGCCAAAATTAATTATTTTTTTTCTCTTACCACAAAAAATGTGTTTCCCCTTACTCTGACAACCCTCAAGCAGTTAAAAATAAACTGAAAATTTATCAGAGCACTTGCATTTGATCATGGCTTCCATATTTTTTGGACAGCTACAAAGAAACAACCTACCTCTTTAACAACCATTTGCAAGCTCCTGTCTGATTGCAAATAAACTGGAAAAATGGCACCATTGCTGCCACCACCCAGTTTATCCTTTCTGATCACATTATAATCACAATGCTCACAAAAATAGTTCACAGGGAGAAGAGTAGAGTTCTGAGGACAGAATTACAAGAACAAAGCAAGTTACAAATTATGACAATTTAAATAAATCAAAAGGCTGAGTTTAATGACCTGATCGAATCAAACACCAAACTCTTTAGTATTTACTGTGTTTAAAGCTCATTGAACATCTTTTTTTGTCAAGGCCATGATAATTGCATACACGACAAATATTTAATTTTATGGAGTGAGGGGTGGGGGGGGAGGCGGGGCAGGAATCAAGGTAAACTGGCTAACTGCTACATTCAAAAGGGGACATTTACCACTAGATCAAAGTCAGATAGCAACTTATTCCACAAACTCCCTCAATTACTTTGAAGTAAGCTCCACTGTATGGTTATTTCACAGATATTGCAAGTTACCACAACATTGGTAAAACCTATTCAAAACATCATAAATTTTAGTTTAAGCCTTTTGACCCCAAAACAGGTTTCTTGACCCCCTGTCATAATTGTTATTGAAATGTACTTTGCCGAGAGTATCTTTTCCTGTACGTTGCACTGATATTGTCAATAACATTTTTAACATAATTATTACCCGGAAAATAACTTTGCCATCAATCTGAAGTTTGTCCATCAGTGGAGTACAATACAGGGTCCTGGAGGGTACCCATGCATCCCATCGTGGTACTTGAACTGGTACTCGCTCTGGCTGAAAGGGTTGAACAGGCTGCCCTTTGCCTTTGTTCACGTTTCCATTCCTTTGAAAAATTAAAACACGATTTACAATACTCTTCTCTGTCACAAGAATTTAAGGTGACAAAGACAGTCTTTCTTAGAGACATAAAAATGGTATGCAACAAGTGAATGTACGTCTGATTTAAAATTTATCAGCCCAAAACTTGGCGAGCAAGTACTTCAAACCACTGTCCAACTTCATAACATTTCTGTTTTAAAAAATTGAACTCAGAAATATGCTACTTCTCTTTCCTAATTTCTCCTAGAGGAGGATGTCCCAATCATATGTGTTTAGCTTCTCAACTTCTAGGTTTTGGTCTCTCCTTCGTTTTCACACAACATGTGTCTAGTTGAAGTGGTTGACAAATGCAACAAAATAGCACCAGCTCTTTAACAACAGCCCTTTGTAGGTGGGTGAAGGAAAACTAAAAGAAGTCAAGAGGCTGTCTCTATATTATTGGCAGGAAAGAATTATAATAGATGAGGACTTCAAGAAAAGTGTTGTTACCTGGCGTTGTCACACTCTGGTACACGACATCCGTCTCTGCGGCAAAATTTTGCATGCTGTTGGACAACACCATATGTATTCACACACTGAGGGCAATCTTGGTTCCATCCTTTGTGAGCTTTCATGTGAATGATATCTGCCTTCATCTATCGGAGAGATTATACAACAATGTGGCAGTTAAAACCACAAACAAAAACATGCACCGATAAGAAAAAGAGAACCAAAAGTGCTAGAACAGTTATATGCAACAGTGACATGATTGTTAAAACTTACAGGTTTGCATTTCACATTTGGGCACTCAGTCTTTGAACAATAAGAAGTATGCTGGATGTCTTGTGGAAAAAACATAAGCTGCAGATGCAAAAAATTATATAGTCAAGTATCAAAGTATTTCCTTATTTGTAACACTCTGATATCAACAGCTTGATTACAGACATTTACCCACACATGTTCCTTGGTTAAAAGGCATTCTAGGATGTACTTCCAAAAAAACAAAAACAATATAAGGGCCAATTATGGTATTTAGCCTTTGTTTAACAAAACCACATCCCCAAGCCATTTTCCACTTGCCCCACACTTTTATCTAAACGCCATTGATCATGAACAATAGGACATTTGCACTAAGAGGTCATGTGACAGTTTTCATGAAAATGAAAGTCATATGATTTTCGCTTCGAAAAATGATTAGTGGGTCATATCCTAAACAAAATAATAGTGATTTGGTTTTTTAAACCCACACCATTTTCTTAAAATGAGTAAGTTCTTAGCTGGTTACATGACCAAAATGTGATTTTTAAAATTATGAATTACCTCTTTCTGAACACAAATTTTGCACTTAAACCTCAACGAAAATGTTGAAAATATGATGTAGTAACATTTACAGCACATCTGAGTGCAACTATCAAACGTTTAACAAGATATAACTAAAAAGTACTTTTGGCTGGCCCTCCAACATGGCTGACAATACAAATCATACTACTTTGTTGAAAAATTTAAGTGCCAAGGGTGCAAAGAAAGTCAGTTCTACAGCTTGCCATTCGGGCAAGCTGTAGCTAGCATGTACTAGCCCGAAAGTCATTTCAACTAGCCTGAAAAAGATTTGATGAGCAGGATTGATTACAGTTCTTCTGTAATTTGAATTTCCCTCAAAAAATCACTTGCCCATCAGGCAAGTTAAGAATAGAATTCACTAGCCCGATAGCAAAATCCACTAGCCCCAGGCTATCGGACACCACTTTCTTTGCATGCTGCATAAAATATCTCCCTTAAATATGCATCCTCTCAAATTTGGGGTGTAAGATAATTTTTGGTGCTCTGTCAATTTTTGGCATCAGCAAGATTCAAACTCATTGTTTAAAGGAAGCATTGGTCACATGACCTTTTAGTGCAAGTGATTAGTGGCCTATTTCTATAAAGCATATAGCATAGACTGGAAAAGCAGTTAATTTCTTAAATTAACTCACTAAGAAAGAGCTCTGCAGGTTCAATGATTTCTTAAACCATGACCTAAGTTAAACTTCATTTAAAAATCGACCTTAAAACTTCACTTAAGAGAAATGTCACTAATCACTGAATGATGACAATAATATTGATGGACAAGAGAGGCCACAAGATTTGTTAGTTCTCAGTAAAATGAAACTGTCTTGCAAAAGGAGAGACCACACCACTGAAGTTTTTTGTTGTTCAGCACAGCACTTAAAGGTAGAAATGAGCTGAGAGTAAGAAGGTACTTTACCTTCTGTTTTGGAGTGGCTACTCCTCCCCAGCCAGGGCCATGGCATTGCTCAGGATTGTCTACTTTGCTCGGTAGGAAATTCTGAAAGCCAGACATGTCTACTTCCATCTTCTCCTTGCATCCGCTGTCTTCTCTTTTCTTTTCCTTTTCACTGTCTGGAGCCGGAACGTTGTCTCTATCAGGAAGATGCCACCATGGATATTTCTTTCCTTTGTCATCATCGTCACCTTTATCATTACCTCCCCCGTTTCCACGTGCACCGAACCCTCCACCACTGCCACTTCCAGCTGAACAACTCCCACTGCTACTGCCTGAGCCACTGCCACTTCCAGCAGAAGCACTCCCAGCACTACTGCTGTACACACCTGAGTCTTTAGGTTCACCCCTGGCTGGGGAATTTGGAACTTTTCTTTTTATAGCCCTTTTTGAAGATCGCTGCTCATTTTGGAACGTGCCTGGTTCATCCACATTGCTGACTTCAGGGACAGACTGGTTGCGAACACAGCCCCTTGTTTGCCTTTGCTTCCTTGGCTTTACTGATTTACAGGTTTTCTTTCGTTTAGGTTGTACTGCAGGAGGTTCCGGTTCTGTTATGCACCAGACACTTCTTTTCACTCTTTTGACAGCATGCCTGAAAATACACACAACAGAAAAAATAATTAAATTTCATTATCTGTTAACCAGCCAGCTGACAGGACATTTGAGTTAGCATGTGAGATGTGTTCCGTGTTGCACTGAGTAATAATATTATTGTTGTACCACATGTAAGGGATTGTTTTAGGAATGGGATTCTGAACTAGTTTCCTGTACAACTTTGTAATAGCTGGCAAGAACTGAAACATCCTTAAGGCCCTCCAGTTTCAAGAGAGACCAAAATCAATCATCTCCTCACAATATCAAGCCATAGTCAAGAGAAACAGTCATGAGAGGTAATAAAAAGATCACCCAAGGGAAAATTCTTTGATCTTTTATCAAATTCTCTTTAATTATTCTTTATGGAAATATATAGAGACCAGTTAGGACAATTTGTTTGTCAATATTAGGGCTTAAAGGATTACTTATCACTGCAATTCAGAGCCATCTTCTAAGTTTTTCAGCACCTGCCACATAAGAATTTGTACTTTTAAACTTTTGTAAACAACAAAGTAAAATACAATAATAAACATACAAACCTTCTGAATAACCGTTTGTTTTTTGTTTCAATGGATTGGTCATTTTCAAGGTTAATTTCTTCAACGTAAGAATGGGCACAATCTTCATCACCAGTTGATACAGGGTCTTCTCTTGGAGTAAGCTCTGAACTGCTGGGTGATGGAGGCGGAACTTGCACGCGGAGCAAAGTCTTCTCAGGTTGACACTGAACACTCTCTGGTTTAGGAAGAGTCTCTTGAACAGAATATGGGACTACCAGTGGTCCATCATGAATTAAGATTTCTTTAGCTTTTAATGCTACAAAAAAAAGAAAATAAAAGAAAATGTTATAAATATGACCAAAACATTTCAGTAATGCTTCTCAAGATGCATTTTCAAGAGTATAATTTTGTGAAAAAAGGTAAAAAGAAAATATAATGTGTAAATGCCATGCAATATCATCAACTTCGCTTCCTTTGGTGAACAAAATATGGTTTTGTTTATAAAGCAAGGAGTCAGTGACGACATGAATAATTTAAACAATGTCTATTATTTGTGAATAACAAGGAATTCATTATGATATTATTGCTGGTTACGTCTTCGTGTCAAAAGAGAAACTAGTTCCCAGACAAAAAAATGCAGCCATAAAAATTTGCAACGCTTCCTCCTTTCCAGACCCCCAAGACTTACAATCACGTGATTAGAAAAGAAATAGTGTCACCAAATTAATAATGCAAATTCACAAAAAGGCCGAAAAAACTGTTATTTTAAGCCTTAAACTTGGTAAACGCGCACCCGCACAGACTCTTTCAGCTTGAAATGGCTAAAATTTACACAGGCAAGGTAATCAACCTGGAAAAAGATTAAGAAACACTCGGATCGACCTTTGAACCTCGGTGAACGCATGCTCTCGCGATCACACCCACGTCTTGTTTGTTTACTCTCTTCGCCTTTCTTTCGTCTTCTTGAGAAGCGATAAATTGTACCAGAAAATACTTACCACATTTCTCGTTCTTTAGTTGAATTTGTGAGCTTCTTTTAACTGTAAACTTCTCGTACTCAAACAACGAAAAGCTGCCGAAGTTTTCCGACGTGCTTGAATCGTCGTTTTCAACCGCAGTTTTCTTTACAAATTCCACTTCCAAGGCGACCTTGCTTTTCGCTTTCTTTCGACTTTCGTCTTCATCCAAGCCACAGCTTACACCTGGCCAAGAAACCTCTGTGTTAAGTGTTTTTGCATTGTTGCAAACGGTGAATGAGGAGACTGAAGTCTTCATCACGGAAACCAGTGAATGAAAACATTCCTCACGCTCGCCGAGCAGTTGAAAGCTCTCTTCTTCGGAGCTAAGGGAGCTGACTCTCATAAATCTCGAACTCTGCACATTTTTGAACGGTTCTTCCTGAAAATGGGTAGATTTTGTACAAACCACGTCTGTTTCAAACGGGATATTCGCAAAAGTTTCTAATTCTTGGTCTTTGCGAGGAATTAAACATGGCGGAATCGGAGCCATCTTTGTACAAACTGTTTAACGCCGGTCTACTGGCCTTATAATCTTCTTAGTAGTTTCTCGGTGCCTTCTTTGTCACAAAAGATGCGTTTTTTCTTCGAAGAACGAGATAATAAAGCACTTTTTCCTTCTTTAAATTGAGAAATTCTGCTTTCAATTCTACAGCACGATGCAGCTTCGTTGCAGTCGTCACACCAACATTCCATACGCCCATAAATGGTAAGATGAAGTAAAATCAGACATTACATCATCTCTTCCTCAGTCCCCAACGACTCCTGGACTACTTGAATCCAGTCCCCTCATACGACCAAATTCGAAATCAACTCCTGTCTAGTGAGTTTTCTTGTGGGGACTTCATCTCGATCGGGCGCCCTTTTTGTCTGGTGTTCCCCAGGGAACTGTGTTGGGACCCGTTTTATTCCTCATTTATATTAACGATACCTCAAGGAACATTACGTCTTGCACAAAGATGAAAGAATGACAATTCAAGCACTCGATTTAATTTATGAGGTAACAAAAATGACTTGAAAGCTGTATCTGAAGTTAAGGATCTTGGAATTCATGGCTTCAAACCTGTCATGGAGCTTGCAAGTCAACAAATGCGCAAATAAGGCAAACAGTCTGCTTGGATTTACATTAAGACGTACAGTTGGTCCCAGAAATTCTAGGTTGTTTTGGAAACTTCATACAAGCTTCGTACTTCCAATGCTACTTGAGTACTGCTCTCCAGTGTGGTTCCCGCTGCAAGGAGGAAGCGGACCAAACGAGACCGGAGGAACAAGTCTCTAGTTGGGGAGGGTGGAGGGGGGGACTAGAATGTCTGAGACTGTATTGCGGACGTTTTGAAAAACATGGATATTTCTCAAATTTTGGAGAGAGAAGACACAACTTTATCATTATCTGGTAGGCGGTAAATGTGCATAAGAGCCAGAAGGGAGCCTCTCTTGTGCCGCGAGCATTACTTTTTTGCACCAGAAAACAACAGATATTTCAAACTATGCAAAAAGACAAAGGGCTACTCAAAAAACGAACAATGCATATCTTCATCTCGTTCAAGCACAGATAGCCGATAAAACGAGAATCAGTCCCAATCCCTGAAACGGCCCGATAAAATCCGTCCAGTCATGAACGGTTGTCCCGCTCTCGCCACAAAACGAAAAAAAAGGTAAAAGTTAATGTTTCTCCCTGGCTAGAAACTGTCCCGGCAATAACTGCAAATGCGGGTTGAATAATAACGTCATCTGGCTTCAGTCTCAGGATTCGCATTACTGTAATTTACGTATGAAAGGGCTTGGATTGACTGATGCATGCAACACTACCAGAGTAGGGTAGCTTTAATAGGACCTTCGATATCCTGCAAGCAACGCAAAAACGCTGGGTCCAGCATGTCAAAACTAAAGCAGGGAATCTCATACCCCGTCATACTGTTAAAATAACAATTCAGATCCAAAACTTTGCAGAGAACTATGGAAGCAAACCCTAAAGGTTGTTAGGCCGCTTTTAAAAATAAGAAAGTAAAATCTTAACACCTACAACTTGGTATAGACCTCCAGATTCGAAGGTCGAAATATTTGACATATTTGAATCCTACCTACTAAAACTTGATCAAGAAGATAAAGAAAGTATTATTATCGGTGATACAAATTGTAATCTCCTGTCGCAAACGTTTTACTGAAACTTACCAATATATTCAATTAACAGATCAACCAACGAGAATTACTGCTAGCACTAGAACACTAATAGATCATATATTTACTAATAAACCAGATATAATAACGATCATGAGGTCTTGCATGTTGGCATTTCTGACCACAGTCTTATCTATGCCACTCATAAACATAACAGCTGAAAGCTGATCTAAAAATAATAGAATCTAGACAATTCAAAATTTTGACTGTGAAGCCTTCATTGAAGACATCAAAGAGACACCTTTCCACCTCTTATGGATGACCCGAACGAGATGTGGGATGTCTGGAAATCTTTATTTCTGGAAGTTGTAAATAAACATGCCCCGATGAGGAAAGGAAAAGTGAAAAGTAATTCTTTACCGTAGATAACAGCTGAACTGAGGCAGAAAATGAGAAAGCGCGACTTTTTAAAAAATCAAGCACTTAAGCAAAAATCTCATCAAGGGTAAAACGATTATAAAAAGGCAAGAAAGGAAGTAAATGCTACTACAGTCAACTCTTTCTAAGACGGACTCCTTTGGGACCGGTACTAAGTGTCCATCTTAAAGAGATGTCCGTCTTATGAAGAATCAAATAAAAGGAGTAAAGAAAGGCAGGGACCAACTCTAGGTGTCCGTTTTACAGAGCTGTCCGTCTTATAGAGGTGTCCGTTAAGAGAGAGTCGACTGTATGCTTCTTAATGCTATCATTAAAGAAATTAGCCCTGGCTTCCCTAATACAGTCGACTCTCTCTTAACGGACACCTCTATAAGACGGACACCTCTGTAAAACGGACACCTAGAGTTGGTCTCTGCCTTTCTTTACTCCTTTTATTTGACTCTTTATAAGACGGACATCTCTTTAAGATGGACACTTAGTACCGGTCCCAAAGGTGTCCGTCTTAGAAAGAGTTGACTGTAGTGGTAATTTAAAGGAAACCTGGAATGTCATAAATAGTTCCCTGGGTCGCAAGCGTAAAATGACAGTTATATATGAACTCGTTTACGAGGGCAAAGATTTTGTACAAAAGCAAGATGTCAACTCTAAGACGGACTCCTTTGGGACCGGTACTAAGTGTCCATCTTAGAGAGGTGTCCGTCTTATAAAGAGTCAAATAAAAGGAGTAAAGAAAGGCAGGGACCAACTCTAGGTGTCCGTTTTACAGAGGTGTCCGTCTTATAGAGGTGTCCGTTAAGAGAGAGTCGACTGTAGTAGACTCTTAAAAGCTTTGTAATCCGTATATCTCAGACTTTATATGTGATATTATTAATCGTGTGCTGGAGACTGGAATATTTCCTCATAATAGGAAAAAGGCAAAAGTACATTCTATTTTTAAGTCTAATGAACATCCCAAGTGAGACCACAATAAGCAATTTTTACTCCTAAGCGCCGGGGACGAAAAGCATCAAAGTCACTTTTGTGTTAGCATGCGTCGCAGATGTAATCTAACACCGGTTGGCAACTGAAGTTTAGTTCCGTCTATGGTGCAGACTACTTTTGTACATGAGAGTCTCAAAAATGGTCGTTTTTCCTACCATTTATGTAGGAAATATCCTCGGGCCCAAAAATCATCGGGTGAGTTTCACTTACCTTATGGAATAGGAAAATTGATTATAAATATATTTTTTAAAAAAGCAATTTTGCTCGTTTTTAGAATGTTACAATTAAGGCGTCAACAATCCACACTGTTGACTTGAGAATGTCCTTTCTCTGCGGGATTTCAATGACTAATGGGTTATAAAATTTTCCGAGGACATAACGGCATAAAAACACACGCAGTCCTTTTCTCTGAGTAGAATAATAATAATAATAATAATAATAATAATAATGATAATGATAATGATAATGATAATGATAATGATAATGATAATGATAATGATAATGATAATGATAATGATAATGATAATAATAATAATAATAATAATAATAATAATAATAATAATAAGTGGTATGCACGAAAGCCTAAAACGATGAACTTGCACCAAAACCCACAAAAAGTCTTTTCATTCATTTCATTGAACACCTTCATTTAACGTTAACTCTCAGACAACTGCTCAGTCTGTGGTAGCCTGGTTGCCATCTGAAAAACTTAAACTGGAAGAGGAAGACTGGTGAGCATAAGGTGAAAACGACCAGTTAATGGAGTTGTTCATCTGGCCAAACTTGGGTGTACTGACTGTATTGCACAACCTTCCCAACACTCGCAAAAGTCTGGTTGAAGTGGTCTTCCGACAGCTCTTTATCCTGATCGGCAGCCTAGAAAAAGAAGAAGAAAACGTGAAAAACATTCACTATTAGCTAACTTTCGCTTTAACAAGGCCAAGGCTTGCCCGCATCCGTCATAAAACGTCCCATTCTATGTATGGTGAGCATTAATTTGGACAAATTAGCATAACGTCAAAACAGTGAATACAGTAATTTTTAGCCGGTTCGTAGGCTAGGTTTGTCTTGAAACTTCAAGGTACAGTGAATCAATCTTATTGAAAGTTTCAGACATTATTGTATACATCGTGAAAATTATGTGATGAGGTTTAAACAAAGAATTCGGAAAATATATTTACGTTTTATTTGAATTCAAACATACAGAATTTTTCACACGGAGGTTGTTTGCTAAACGCCATTCTTTAAGTTCCTGGTGTCGGATTTTCAGTAGCAGGTCTAGATCATGCACAATTCGGCTTTTATCGATTTCAAAGTTTTTTTTTGTTTTTCGTTGGCATAGTGATATCGATTTTACTTAAAAACGCATTTTAACAAAATTCAATTCAAACTCAGTTACTCGCGAAATTTTTATAGTGATCAAAAAGGCTAAAATCACTTAAAGCGATTGAAAATATCGGTATGACCTCCGAAGAACTGTATCGAAACACATAATTAACGAAAATTGTATCCTCCTAAAATTTTTTCTCTTCAGAAAATAAGGCTTATTTGAAGGTCTAAACACCCTATATTTGTTCTTCTTACCATTTATATAAGATCATATTAAGGCTACCTTAGGAAAATGTAGGTTCTAAACTCGCGTGATAGTACATTAGTACGTATTTCTTGTTGTACGCCTACTTTTGCGCTATAACGCGTTTACAGGAGCCCATGACTGTGATGGGCTCCTGGCCTTTATTGTCCATCTGAGCCTTGGTTCCATGCTATATCATAGGGACTTGTGACGAATGCAGGAAAAATCTACTATACTAAAAAAAATAAAGCACAAAAAATACTGTGCGCACGAATCAACAAATGTATTAAGTACAGTAAAAACCCGCGACTGAGAGCTTTGTTTTTAAGAACCTGTCAGGCAAAAATTTGCCAGTTAGGTCCCCTCTATATAAGAAACTGTTTAGCCTAAAATTTGAAAAAGGTTCTTATTTTCTAAAATGTGTAGTTACAGAAAATATCCATACCTTCCCTACTGAGGGCAACAGAAATTCTGAGGGGAGGGGGAACCAAAAGTAGGCATTTCCGAGTGGGTGAGGGTGGCTTTTACAGGTCTTTTTTTCCGGGAGCCCCGAGTAACAATGGTGAGTAACAAAAACTTACAGCTTCTCTATTG